TTTTTTGACACACAAAGCAATTTAAAAATACATGTACTGAGAACTTTAAGGGTTACTGCCAAAGTTACACCCCAATTTGCCAGGTTGGTTTGCTGTGCCTATGTTGCCTTTAAAACTGTATAGCAGGCCAGGAATGAAAATTAACCCCATCATGGCATACCATTTGTAAAAGTAGACAACCCAGGGTATTCAAAATGGGATACGTCCAGTCTTTTGTAGTAGCCACTTAGTCACAAACGCTGGCCAAAGTTAGCGTTTTAATTAGTTTTTGCATTTTTTCACACAAAAACTTCACTTTTACTGGTGATTTCATCATCGATCATCATCGTTACAAACACTTATATTTGTGTTCAGCGAAGTCTCCCGAGTATAACAATACCCCCCATGTACAGGTTTTATAGTGTTTTGGAAAGTTACAGGGTCAATATAGGGTTTGCCAGTTGGTTTGCTGGGTCTGTGTTGCCTTTTGAGACCATATGGTAGCCCAGGAATGTGAAATAACCCCATCATTACATACCATTTTCAAATGTAGACAACCCAGGGTATTCAAAATGGGGTATGTCCAGTCTTTTGTAGTAGCCACTTAGTCACAAACGCTGGCCAAAGTTAGTGTTTTTATTTGTTTTTTATAAATGTTTTTTCTTTCCAATTTATATTAGAGGTTATGGTGGGGTAAATTGTGATTGAAAACCCCTTCCACCTAAAGTCTGTGAATTGTTAATACAATGTTAAACAAAAATCTGCACACCAGTTAAGCCATAAGACTTGCTTTTCCCACAGAAATCACAAATCTGCAGTGATGTTACTACCGCAAAGGATTCTGGGCGGGGCATATGCAAATTAGTTTAACAAAGCATCACATTTTTGCCTCATTCCATTTTAAACATGCATTTCTTTGAGTCTGTGCTTGTTGTAAACAACAGCTTTGAAACACAACTTAGTAAAAGATGCAAAGCCAGTAAACCACTCATGGACAGCTGTTTCATTGTTAATGTAAATCATCAGCATGAGGTTGGTTACTGGTTCCAGCGCTCAAATTTACCGCGGACGTATGTTGGTACGACTGTTTTTTATCAGACATACCTTATACATCCGTGGTCCTTAAGGGGTTAAATTACTTTTTTAATTGGACCTAACTTTGCTGCTGTTGTATTGTTTGGAGCTATATCCCTGGTGGGCATCATACCACCCAAGCACTTTGGATTGAGCACACCGGAATTTGCTCTTTAGCATGTGAGTAGGTTTAACTTACATAGTTACATAGCTGAAAAGAGACTTGCGTCCATCAAGTTCAGCCTTCCTCACTTATGTTGTTGCTGTTGATCCAAAAGAAGGCAAAAAACGTGGTCTGAAGCGCTTCCAATTTTGCCACAAACTAGGAAAAAATTCCTTCTTGACCCCAAAATAGCAGTCAGATGTCTTCTTGGATCAAGCAGCTATTACCCCACTAATAGAAATTATATCCCTGTGTGTTATGTTTTTGTAAGTATTTATCCAATTTCAGTTTAAACATCTGTATGGACTCTGACAAAACCACCTCTTCAGGCAGAGAATTCCATATCCTTATTGTTCTTACTGGAAAAAAAACCTTTTCTTTGCTTTAGATGAAATCTCCTTTCTTCCAGCCTAAATGTGTGACCTTGTGTCCTATGTATAGCCCTGTTTATGAATAGATTTCCAGATAAAGGTTTGTACTGGCCCCGAATATATTTGTATAAAGTTATCATATCCCCTCTCAGGCGCCGTTTTTCCAAACTAAACAGATTTAATGTTTTAACCTTTCTTCATAACAAAAATGCTCCATTCCTTTTATCAATTTTGTAGCTCGTCTCTGGACCCTCTCCAGTGCCATGATATCCTTCTTTAGAACAGGCGCCCAAAATTGCACAGCCTATTCAAGGTGTGGCCTTACCAGCGATTTATAAAGAGGCATCTATTATTATCTATTATCACACTACTTTTTACGGTGTACACTATTGTGGGTCTGTTTATCTCGACATATACACGGATGGAAGAGTTTATACTTATACCTGTATCCTTGAGTGGGGATCATACCACTTCAAGCGCCAGGTTTTACAGCTCCATTACACGTGAGTGTACATTTTATAGTTTTTACCTATCATTGCTCCATAGCTCTACATACTTCACCATATACGATTTTTATTTATTTTTATGAGAATACCCCCTACTACATATATAATTTGAAGAATTACCTCTGCACTTGATCCATAGGCAGGGATTATTCCGCTCAGGCGCATACACTGGAGCTGTATTGAAGCTCTAGAAAAGTATGAGTGCACATCTTTTATCTTACCCATTAAAACTACAATTTTAAAATAATACACTATTATTACTTCTCTAGTTCTCTCCACATATACCTTGTCAAGGATTACTGAAGCGCTGCACCAACTCCGTATTGGTGTTTGAGCTGCTTGTGGACTATTATCATCTTGCTCCTGCGCTGAATTTTGTTTTTGTGTGTGTGTTATGTATTATATTTAAGAGAAGGTAAACTACCATAGCAGGATGACATATTCTTAAATTAGAGGGGCAAAGGTTTAAAAATAATATCAGGAGGTAATACTTTACTGAGAGGGTAGTGGATGCATGAAATAGCCTTCCAGCTGAAGTGGTAGAGGTTAACACAGTGAGGGAGTTTAAGCATCCATCTAGGCATAAGGCTATCCTAGATATAAGAGACTAATAAAAGTATTTAGAAAATTGGTCAGACTAGATGGGCCAAATGGCTATTATCTGCTGTCACATTCTATGTTTCTATATGCAAAAAGAATTAATTGATAAAACAGTTCCTGACCTGTCTCAGCAGTGCTTTATGGGTACACTAAGGATTCTAGGGAAATTTAGTTCAATTTGTCAGTTTTCCACTGTACAAAACTAACTAGCTGAACTACAAGTCACAACACTATCTGTAGCAGAATTTATGGGGCAAAAAAGAAAAACACTTACAGTTGGGAAGCAGGGTAGAAAGAGTCGGCTTGTACAGCAAAACAATTTGAAAACCCATCTAACATAAGCAAATGCTTTTAGCAAACATCCAGCAAGATCAAGATTAGTACTTAACAGTTGGATATCCAACTGCCCACCCATCCACCCAGGGATCACTAATAAAGACTTGTCAGGGGACATAGTTAATAGTTAAGGTCCATTAAACTCCGTAATGGCTAATTACTCCTCGACAAATGGGCAATATATGAGTGATGAATTACAAATGCTTGATGTCCCCAGAACACACCTACAACCACTAGCCGGCACCTGGTCTGTGTGACAGATGGAATGAGCGTCCCAAGTGGGTGCTGATCTAGTTAATTGGTTTTCTTTGTCACCTTCTGGTGTCTCCATATTTTACAAAGACCCCTGATGTTCACTTCACCTCGGTCAAGTGCGGTGGTCGTGGGATGCAGGTGAAGGTATGTTTTACTTACATGAAGCTGTCCTTCATGAAATTTGCACTCTGAGCTTTTAGTAAACAATACATATTTGCACAGTTGAACCATTTTTGAGGGGTGCAAACTGGCCATGCTGACCAAGGGCTGTACTTTTTCCCCCTGGCAACACTTTTGGCTGTGAACAAGAACAGCAACACATTACGTTTAGCAGGTGGAAGAGATTTGCCATTGGTTTGTCCCTCGCTCGCATGGGGACAGATTCCAAAGAAAAACTGTGAGCGCAATCTAACCACATAGCTTGTTATCATAGGATTTTGGCTCAAGCTTGCTAAAAGATGGTATGATAATAGTAAAGTAACTCCCTGCAGCTAGAATATTATGATCTTGTGTAAACAGAGCACTTCCTTACACTGTTTGGTTATGGTCGGACTTGGCTGCTGTGTTCTCTTTCTTGTTACTGGCCACCTGGTTATCTGCAGAGGATACAAAGTCATGTCTGACTTGATAATGTGAAGATGTTTAGCAGTTCTTGTTTTAATCATGGATTGGATAAAGGAAGGCCTATTCTTTGTGTGTGTGTGTGTGTGTGTGTGTGTCTGTGTGTGTGGAGGAAGCAAGGAAGGTCCCTCAATCCACATGGGAGTATATATCCTTTGTTCTTTTCTTCTTTTTTTGCGTGTTAATGCATATCCGTATAATCCGGAGATTTGTGGTGCTAAAAATACACCTATTGTATGATCAACGCTGAGTGCTGCTTCTCTCTGATTTACTGAATGATCACCGTCGATCCTGGTTCTTTGTTTAATGCCATATTGTGAACTCACAGTACAAATTCTCCATTCTAATTATTTGTGAGGTTTACAATTATGGTAACAGTCTTGATCTACACATTGTTACATTAAACTGACAAGTTTATCACACTCCCATGATGATATTACATGTCCTTATTTGTATATATATAAAAATAGATTTACACACACCTGCATACACATGAAGCAAACTTTTGCAACGTGCAGTTGTACAAAGAAAAAAAAAAATAACCTTCATCTTTTACGTTGCAACACTGAATCTTATTAGTTCTCTGAGAGTGAAAAGAAAACCCAGCATTAAAGCATGGGTATTCGAAGCCATAATGTATGAAAGATGCATGTGCCCACTTTATCAGTAGTTTTCTTTCACGTTCTTCTACAGATAAAGAAATAATGTTTTACCAGGAAGGATAAAGTGACATGTTCCTAGATAATGCTCATATTATCAACCAAGGAATAAAGTCGATAATGTCAGGAAGTTAAACTGCAACACTGATAATATTATTATTATTATTATTGCTATTTAAATAGCGCTAATAGATTCCGTGAACATTTTTTATGGTTGGTGCATTTACCAATTAAATATCTCACCTGACATGTTTCACTCTATGGGTTATTCACTAAAAATGTTTAGAATTTAAATGGAAAAAATGTAGGCTAAACTTACAAACGTTAACTATAGTCGAGTTGGGGCAATTTTCCAGATTAGCCGTTTTAGCCTAAATTTTACCATTTCAGTTCTCATAGGATTGAGTATAAAAACTATTTAGTATGGGGGGTGGGGGGGGTGTGGCCTGACCATCAACAAGAGCAGTCGCATGTCTGCAATGCTCCAGACTGAAATCGGCAAAAACAATGAAACTAACCCAAAACCTGAAGTGCCCCATCAGCAACTCGGCTCCTAACCCACATCACGCCATGGGGAAACTAGCATAAAACCTACTCTGACAACGGCACACGGAAGATAGGAGACATATTTCTGGCATGGATTAAACACAAAATGGTGGCTCTCAAGGCCTAACATAGGATGAGGACCCGCTGGACTCCCCTGGCGCCATACCAGAGGCAGATGATCCATTCACGGCGGGGCAATTGGAGGATGTCCTGCAACAAAAGGAGACATCGTGAGCCTTTTGAAACATCTGCGCACATGGTTAGGCACAGACATAGAGGTGCTCTGTGAGGAGGTTACAGCCATAACAGACAGGGTGAAGGCCACAGAGGAGGATGTCTCCTCCATAGCACAACGGAACACACACCAACATAAAAGTCAGAGGTGTCGCTGAAATGGTAACGGACACTGAGCTACCCCACTTCATCTGGCGCCTATTGTCAGCGATATTGCTCACCAAGGCAGGCGAAAACCATACAAGTGGACAGACCACACAGGCTCCCCGGGTCTCCTAGGGCACCGCCAGCCACACACCGCGATGTCCTCCTTTGATTCCAGTCCCCCTGGGACAAACAAGCATTAATGGATGCACTCAAGAACAAATGCCCATTCCCATTCGAAGAATCACAACTCACCTTTCTGCAGGATCTCTGCAGGGCAACATTGGAATGGAGGCGCTCCGTCAGCCGGGTCACCAGGACCCTCCGCGAAGCTGGCATCCATTACAGATGGGGCCCATCACACACACTCATAGCCACCCAGGGAGAGACCACCCGCCAACTCACATCAGCGACAGACTCTGACTCTTTTCTCCACAGCCTGGGGCTGGACAGACCCAAAACATACACTTCCACCCCTGGGACATACCTAATATAATCCCCTTCGTAGCTCGCTCAGAGCCAGATACTGGCTGAAACACCACTAGTGGAGTTGGTTAACGTAACCCCCCAGCGGAGAAGTGTGCCGAGGGACTAGAATTCCAATTATAGTCCAATTTTAGCCTAGTTATATTATTAGTTTACATTATGCATATTTAGCCAAGTTTTACTGCTTCTATAATTTGCTGCGGTTCTTACACCAGTCCGTAATGGAGAGTCAGACCGAACAAATCCCCCCCCCCCCGATGCTCAGGGGTCAATGAGCAGTTCCCCTGTTCCTCCCACATGGTAACACTAAGCCAGACACCGGCTACCAGCATTGCACCTCTCTCAAGTACTACCACTTGTTTTAATTTACCACACTAATTATTAGCCTACCCACTGAAATCCCTATAAAACAGCTATACCACGTCTGTTATTAGATTATCCCTTAAATTAGCAGGTCGTTTATATAAGAAGTGCAAGCCCATCTTAGATCCTGCTAATTAACTAACATGTGAGGCATTGATTAGCTTGTTTATTTGTGTTATAAAAAATGTGCAATTATCTCATGCCATGGCACTGCCTTTTCCTGTCATTTACTGCCGTGCTTGTCAACGCTGTCGTGGCGCCACAAACCTGTGTTTTCTCCCATGCATAATAAAAATAAAGAAATAAAAAACTATTACGTACAAACTATACGTTGGGTTTTAAGTTGACCTTTTCCCCTTCAGACTGTACACTACTTGTCCTCCCCTTTGTTAGCTTGGACGTTGACTAATATTAAAACTTTCAGACAGCCACGATAAAGGAGAGTTCAGTACTGCCATAGAGGCAGAGGGGTATGGTTGATATACAGTCATTACTGCAGTAAGGGACCCAAGTGTCCAGGTGGCCTGTTCTTTTGCCACTGCAAGTAGGGTGTTATTTTTTTTTTAATTCTTTATAAAATACAGACCAAATATGGCAAAAAGGCAAATAATACATTCTTGGTAGTCAGCATTAGGCATAAAAAAATAATAATAAAAATAAAAAAACAACTCTCTTGAACCAAACATTTTATTATGCATTTTTAATTAATAGTACTGACTCAAGGATAAAAAATTAAAAAAAAAAAGTCATACATGGCCTCATGGTCTCTAATCGCAGCCTTGCAGAAGGCACTCTTTTTGTATATATTTACAGTTTGATGAATGCCCCATTGTCTATGGATTGTGGTTCATACGACTTCAGGAATGTGACACCTCATGCAAGTATAAAGAACTGTTTGGCTATTATGGTTTCCTATCCTATCAATTACAGCAGCATCAGTTTTGTGTTATACAGAAACCAATTGGTGAAATATATTTATTTAGCAAAAATTATAGAATTAAAAGTCGACACAGACAATGAAAAGTTTGTTTTTAATTGGCATGATTGTGATAAAATAAAAACCCACTCTTGTAACAGCATCTTTCAGAGCGTATCCCAACACTTAGCTACTGTAAGCCTGCTTTAACATATCAGACAGGTTTGTTTTGTAGCTCATGCCTGCAGTGGTCCTGTTCAGTGGTTATACCAATTTAGCACCAAAATGTAAAACCTGAGCAACGTCTGAAGAATATCACTGTTGAGATTAAAATTGTGTTAAATAGAGAATTTCCGCTGAGCCTTAGTCTTCTGCCTTAATCATTGAATTCCGAATCGGAAGCCAGAAAGTAAAAGTCCACTACTGTTTAAAAGATATATTGCCAGAGCAATACATATCATGCAAGCTCAGACACGTGTAATCACAAAGATGGAAGAAGTGATGTAGGAGTCCAACGCAAACCTCAACTCATCCAGTAATCATACTGCTATGTTAGGACGGGTAGTCATTTAACTATACAAAAGGAACACCTCAAACACATAAAGCACTTCAATACAGAGGATTACCCATAAAGTGACCTTATGAAGCAGACTATGGAACCACAAATTTGTTTAGCCTCATTCAACAACCCTACGTGAAGTTCCATTTTCAATAGAAATCGTACGTTTATCAATGAACCTTGTCACACCTCCCAAAATGACAGCAGGTAATGCAAAGACTTCTCAATTGAGAAGTCTATGATTGGACGGTCACATAAAGGCTATGCTGGGGAAGAAGGAGAGGGCTTGCAGTAGCTTCAGGTACTATATATGCAGTTACTGCAAAGTCAAAATACCATATATCCCCAAAGAAAACATGTAAAGTTAATTACCGGTACAAGAATATTTTCTTTGGATCTTTGTCTCTGGTAAATTGTTATTATTTTTTTGTTGTTGAAGTGTTCCTTTAATTCCACAGTAACTGGGAGGAAGTTTTACTAGCTTGGCAAAGTTCTACTTTTTTGTATATTGCACTTGTGGGTACTCTGTAAATGTCTGGATTTTTGGTTACACTTTCCAGCCTGATTCCCTACTAAACGTAAAGGAACAAGTGGCTGTTTAAGTTACCTGCCCCTCTCTTTGCAATAAAAAGGTTACTTTACTCACCTTTTCTTCCTTGCTGCGGCTGGCTCTGCCTCCATGGCTGAGATCATCAGTCTTGATAATTTCAGCCAATACAATGCTTTCCTACAGAAAATGTGCATATGCGGCAAAGCGCTTCACTGATCAGCGTCTTATGGGGAACGTTAAACGCTTCCATGCAGAGCTTGGAAACACTCTGAGTGATTGCCACTAGAGGTCTTACTAGCCAGCAATGTAAACAATGCCTTTACTATGAAAAGGCAGAGTTTACAGTGCTAACACTGTAGGGACATACTATAGACACCAGAATCACTACATTAAGCTGCATTGGTTCTTGTGATTGTAGTGTCCCAGTAAGCACCATGTTATAAGGATCAGAGTACTTTGGCTCAGCTGTAGGGCTTTATATGTGTGTTAATCATATGTGGGTTTTTACAGGCACACCATAACATGTAGGAATATAAAAATGATTTGTTTTATAGCACCAATATTTTAAAGCAAATTATTGCATAACTATAAACCTATATAGGACCTCACTTCTCTTAAACAGTGTATAATTCTCAAAGTCTCTCCTTTCAATCCAGTAACTAGTGCAGAATTTATTTCCACAAGCAAAGTAGCCAGTGGCTTTGTGTTTTAACTTGGCACTCCTACTACTCCTTAATGCAGGTGGGTTCTGCAGCAATGAGTGCAAATCCTTGGTAGATTTAGGGTTTCTTATTTCCCCTCATGCATGCCAATCATCTGTGCACAATGCTAGTAAAATGAATAATACATATTATAAACCAGAGAATGGACACAGACCTCCTCACAGTTTGTACATGAAACACGATTATACTATTAAAAAATAATAATGCCATAGTGCATCATTACACATCTAGAGCACCAGAAAGTCCAATATTGTAGGAAGACTTGGGTCCCTCACTGGCCAGCCAGCGGGGCATCAACCGAGGTCAAATAGAGGTCACATGCCAACAGCTAGCACCATAGGTCCAGAGGTTATGTAGCATTGGACGGCTTATATTGATATATGGCAGCTTTATATTAATCCTTTCTTTGCTGGGACTTTATTTTCGGTCTCTTTTTGATATTTATATGAATACATATAGATGGTCGTGACTGGTATGCCATATGGGTTGCTTCAAACATACCACCCAAGTGGTGTAAAAAAGAGGATGCAGAAAGATCTCCATGTATTTGTTCCAGCAAGGGCCAAGTATAACCTACCAATGTTAGCATTTTCATGTAGTGAGCCTTGAGTGCAGCCCATCTAGTCCCTGAGACAGCAGACATGCCTCCCATTCTCACCTCCGGGACAGCTGCTGTTTACCATGCTCACGAGGGCCTAGGAGATGAGATTGACAGGTCTTGCAGCATAGAGTTTGGACCATTGGTAAAGAGCAGCGATCTAGATTCATCAAGGCCTGGCAGAAGGGTAATGCGATTCGGTCTCCGGAGCAAGAGATATCTGTAGAAACAAACACTCTTAAATAAACAGGAGATGGAGTGGTATTGCCTTATAGGGCACTTAATGGATTTACAAATGATTATCTAAATAGAGTTTTTCTGTTGAGAAATTCATAAAATGTATAAATCCACTGTGTGGCATCAGCCTTCTACAGAATCACCATAACGATGAGTAATTTCATTGTGTCTTTGCTCAAAATACTTCCTCACAAACTCCTTGGCAATTGAACACGATGTCCTTGCTAGTTAAAGTTGATGGAAAGAGAATAAACCTGCTTTGTCTATGCCTTCCTGGTTTTATAACAAGCTCAAAGACTATCCGCACATCCCCTGGGATCCAACAATTTCTGAATATCTCCGTAGTAGAAGAATATCCAGGAAATTAAAGGTTTTGTGTCTCAAGTGTGTGAAAGAAACCGGATATACTTCCTGTGCCTCAAGTCTCTTTAAAAACACATCAAAGGTTTCCATTTAATATAGTAACAATAACAACATCTATATCCCAAGACAGATTAGAAAAAAAAAATATATAAAAATCACAGATGTATCCATCTTGGTAAAAATGTTTGAATTCTTCTCAAACCTTTGCTGATTTTAGGGTGAGTGATTGCAAAGGCTGCAGATAGTAGGTCTGCATCTTTTGCAAGCTGTTTCTTTTTTTTTTTTTTTTTATAAACCCAATGAAAACATGCAGACAATAATAAATAATAAATGCATGTTGTCTTGTGGGGTGTATCTACTAAATTGTTAATAAAAATAAAATGGAGTGTTCTTTTAGCTTACGTGGTATTCTGAAATAGCCATGCACTTCACTAATATTTCAGTTTCAGTAGAGATATTTCATAGGAAATGTTATTAATTTGGGTGAGTTTGTTAACTGAAAAGTTGACATTAGTGACACATGACTGAAAAGTGCTGATTCTACTGGTTATTGATTAAAAAAGAGATGAGAAACATTTCTGATTATGTCATTTTATAATAGCCCAATTCATGCCATTGATGCCAATATATGAAATATAGTTATACGAAAACTTAATGTGCATTAAATCATGTAACACTTTGCTTATTCAATAATTGTAAACAATATGCATTGCATCCGTGTGAAAGTATATCGTCTTACATTTACATAATATCAAAGGTTCAATGATCAAATTGAATCTGGAGACATCTATGCATGCATTCGGTATGTGCTCCGAATGTTTTATCAGTAGTGCCTGGGTTCATAATTGATGATACCTCATCTGATAACTTTGCCACATATGTCTGAAACAACACCAAAAGTAGCCACAGGCATCTGAATGGATCTTACCACGACCTTGTGAAACACTTGCTCAGTTCAGCAGTTGGACAAAATCAATGTTTTAAACACTGTAAGCTCGTTTGAGCAGGGTCCGTTCAACCTATCGTTCCTGTAAGTTTTCTTGTAATTGTCCAATTTATAGTTAAATCCCCCCTCTTATACTATTGTAAAACGCTACAGAATCTGTTGGTGCTATATAAATGGCAATAATAATAATAATAATAAAAAGCTGAGAACTGTAAAAATTATTCTATCACAAGGTGATAGCCAAGTGTTTTCTGAGCAGCTTCCAGTCTTATCTACTCGCAGGGGTGTGCCAAAAATGAATGGTGCCAGGCTGCAGGATTTTATTAGGTACCTTTGTAGGTGATTGTGGGTAGGTTATTTGGTATGTGACTGGGTGGGTAGGAGTATGACTGAATGAATGGGAGTTAATGGGGGTGTGGAATTGCATAAGTGTATGGATGAGGGAATGCAACTGGCTGAAGTATGTGAACAGATTAATAAAACGGAAGTCACGGGTTGCAGGGGACAACGGACAACACTTTTTATTTACTTAGTTGCTGCCTGGTGAGCTAAGGCACCTGATTCACTGCACCCCCTTTATTATTATTATTATGTTATTATTTATATAGCACCAACAAACAAATTCCGCAGCGCTTTACACTGGGTGGACGAACAAACATGTAGTTGTGACAAGTTGGACACACAGGAACAGAGGGGTTGAGGGCCCTGCTCAATGAGCTTACATGCTAGATGGAGTGGGGTAAAGTGACACAAAAGGTAAGGATAGTATTAGACTAATGACAGTTGCAAGAGAGGAATCAGTCGGAAGCTATTACCAGTTTAATTGATACGCTTTTAAAAAGAAGTGGGTTTTTAATGATTTTTTGAAGGAGTGGAGACTGGGTGAGCATCTAACAGAGGAGGGAAGTGAGTTCCACAGGAACGGTGCAGCCCTCGAGAAGTCTTGAAGGCGAGCATCAGAGGTGGGAGTACGGACAGAAGATAGACGTAAGTCTTCAGCAGAGCGTAAGGGCCTAAACAGGACATACTTGAGTTTTAGGGAGAATAGATAAGTGGGGGCAGCATTATCTAGAGATTTGAAAGCGAGAACCAGAATTTTAAATTGAGCCCTATATCTTACAGGAAGCCAATGTAGGGACTGACATAAAGGTAAGGCATGGGAGGTGCGGGCGGACAGGAAGATGAGTCTCGCCGCCGCATTCCTTATGGCCTGTAACAACGCTAGTTGGGAGCACGTAAGACCACTGAGAAGCAGATTACAGTAGTCAAGTAGAGAAAAGACAGTGGAATAGACCAGCACCTTAGTCACATCTGGCGTTAAGTAAGGTCGGATGCGCGCAATGTTTTTGAGATGGAAGCGGCAGGATGAATATCACTGAAGAATATCACTGTTGAGATTAAAATTGTGTTAAATAGAGAATTTCCGCTGAGCCTTAGTCTTCTGCCTTAATCATTGAATTCCGAATCGGAAGCCAGAAAGTAAAAGTCCACTACTGTTTAAAAGATATATTGCCAGAGCAATACATATCATGCAAGCTCAGACACGTGTAATCACAAAGATGGAAGAAGTGATGTAGGAGTCCAACGCAAACCTCAACTCATCCAGTAATCATACTGCTATGTTAGGACGGGTAGTCATTTAACTATACAAAAGGAACACCTCAAACACATAAAGCACTTCAATACAGAGGATTACCCATAAAGTGACCTTATGAAGCAGACTACGGAACCACAAATTTGTTTAGCCTCATTCAACAACCCTACGTGAAGTTCCATTTTCAATAGAAATCGTACGTTTATCAATGAACCTTGTCACACCTCCCAAAATGACAGCAGGTAATGCAAAGACTTCTCAATTGAGAAGTCTATGATTGGACGGTCACATAAAGGCTATGCTGGGGAAGAAGGAGAGGGCTTGCAGTAGCTTCAGGTACTATATATGCAGTTACTGCAAAGTCAAAATACCATATATCCCCAAAGAAAACATGTAAAGTTAATTACCGGTACAAGAATATTTTCTTTGGATCTTTGTCTCTGGTAAATTGTTATTATTTTTTTTTTGTTGAAGTGTTCCTTTAATTCCACAGTAACTGGGAGGAAGTTTTACTAGCTTGGCAAAGTTCTACTTTTTTGTATATTGCACTTGTGGGTACTCTGTAAATGTCTGGATTTTTGGTTACACTTTCCAGCCTGATTCCCTACTAAATGTAAAGGATGAGGTGTGAAGGAGAGGCCAGAGTAAAAGAGAACTCCAAGGCAGCGAGCCTGTGTGGTGGAGCTGATGGTAGCACCGTCGGCTTGGAGGGAGACAGACACAGGAGTAGCAACACTTGAGGGAGGAAAGACCAGAATTTCAGTTTTGGTCAAGCTGCGTTTAAGGAAGTGGGCAGCCATCCAGTTAGAAATAGCAGAGAGGTCAGAGACACTAGTCAAGAGGGACGGGGAGAGATCAGGAGAGGACAGATTTGTGTGTCATGCGCATAGAAATTATATTGGAAGTCAAAGGAGCTAATGAGTTTACCAAGGGAGGCAGTATAGATGGAGGGGGACCAAGGACTGTACCTTGGGAGACACCAACAGAGAGGAGTTGGGGAGAAGTAGCAGAGCCAGAGAAAGAAACACTGAAAGAGCGATGGGAGAGGTAGGAGGAGCACCAGGAGAGACCAAGATCTTGTAGACCGATATTGCGGAGGATGAGAAGAAGCTGTTGATGATCAACAGTGTCAAAAGCTGCAGAAAGGTCAAGGAGAATTAGGATAGAGTAATGACCACGAGATTTTGCAGAAAGTAGATCATTGGATACTTTGGTCAGTGCCGTTTCCATAGAGTGCTTATCCCATCTCTATGTACTTGGATGAGTCACTAACACTAAGGAATACTATTTAGAATGCTCGATCTTAGAAAGCAGTTATATACAGTTGAAAAAATGAGTAACTTATTTAAATCCCTCGTTTTTCTGGATATATTTTTTTTATAATTTCTGTATTTTAGGCATATGCCCAGCCTATACAGAGTTAAGTAATAACCTTTTCTGTCAAATAGAGTGCATTGCTTCTGTATGGTACATGTACCAAAGAATCTGTTCCTGGCTGGTTTGGCAGCCAAGATGGCATTAATGTTGGTCAACATGTCATAATTGGAATTTTTGTTTTAATACAGTTGGCTTAGTTAAAGGTAGAACCAAGTGCAGACAAGTTAGGATTAAACTGTCTCTCATACTGCACCATCGCTAACCACAAGCCACTATATATTAAATGAGAGATGGATTCGTATTAGACAGGATATCTTACTTAGGACATTTCCTTGTGTGTGCATAAACAACTTTTATCTCTTTTTAAAAAACTTTAATAGAATTATGTCAATGCATGACACTACATATGGCAGCATTCATACATAAATGATGATTCCAAATAGTTTTATGGGCAGTAGGATGTTCTTTAATAGTATCTGTCATCTTTTTGTTTGTGAATATTAGGGATAAGTGGGTAGGTCAGACCAGGATGGTCAAACTTTCTCTAATTTATACAATGTTCCTATCAATACTTTTTGAATTAACTTTTAAGTTGGTATTCTAGTTTTTATTTGAAATATAGTCAGTGTTGTCCAGCAGGATTGTCACTTGTAAAACTAGTCAAGATTTTTAATTTTGCTTGTATCCCTTTATTTTATTTTTTTTGTGTATTTATAAAATGTGAAAATAAAGATTGTAAAAAAATAAATAAAAATAAATAAATAATAGCTTACTAGGGTGAAGTGTGCGAAAATTGACATATAAACAAACAAGTAAGTGATACCTGTGGCCATTTTGCTGAGATGCCCAGTACAATTATATTTGTGCCAGATTTATATCACGAGCACCTGTAGGCAGTGTGTGTACTTGCAATGCTACATTATAGGGCTTGCTTTATTAGTGTTAATAAATAAAAAAAATGAAAAAGCACACACATTAGAGAAAATTAGGGGTACATTAAAATTCAGCATTGTTTTTAATGGTTTATCACTTTTGTTGAAATCACAAAGTTTTAAAATGATTACAATTGAAAACTCACAATTTGTTTACTGACACACATTGGCTTAAAACTCTGCCTATTATGAGGTTAATGAAGCACTATAAACATTGCAGCTTGTTGTAATGACAATAGTGCCAGAAGTTCCCTGGCACCATCTGACCGTAAATACTCAAACCCAGGGCACTTTTGAGAGCCCCTTTTCACCAAACTTATAAGTGTTGCAGAAAAGGATTGAAAAGTACAGATTGTTATCACTTCAAAATTAACGGACTATTGGCAGCAAATAATTGTCAAAAATGAGAATATTCTCCCTTAGTTAGCTATTAGAATGTATCTTTATTTCTAAGGTGAGTTCTTCTTTAATGAGAAGGGCAATGAATTGTATATTTCTGTTTATATCTTGAGACCAGTAAGGGGGTGTTTTGTAACCTGAATCCCAAACTGTTATCCCAGATTCTCAGAGTTAATGTACAAAAAGCTCATATATAAACTGGCTGTGAATAACTGTAACTGACAGGGTGGTAGTGGATTTACCAAGAACTTCGATTGGCCTATTCTAAACATTCAGGTTCATACTTGTCAGCAGTGAAAGATAACCAGGAAAACGTGAAGGAATTCAATCTGAGTTTATTGATGTTTAGTGAATAAACCCCTAAGTGAGACAATTAAAACTGGATTTCAAACTAATAGTTAAAATAGCAGACTTTGAAAAAAGGGCAATTCATCCATATTAGATATTTTGTAACTCTGTTGTCAATTCACCACAGCTTATTGTTCAGGGAACATACCCATGAGCAACTGAAGACGAGAATGTAAGTGAAAGATTTCCAGCCCTGGATCACCAACTATGCAACCTTGATGCCTGTCTAAAACTTGTTCAGTGAGCGAAATACAGTTTGCAGGTCTATGGAGTAAAACATATATATATGGAAATCTGGGAGTCTGTAGGTAGTGATTATATATATATATATATATATATATATATATGTTTTGCTTTATAGAGTTATGTAGGTTACCTATATATTTACTTGCAATTTGGCTAGCACATTGTATACATGTAATTTTAAGCTCTTGACTAGATACCAAGTCAAAATAGACACAACAGGTGCAATTAACCCCTTAAGGACCAAACTTCTGGAATAAAAGGGAATCATGACATGTCACACATGTCATGTGTCCTTAAGGGGTTAACAACTTGGCAAGCTGAGTATACACAAGTAACATGGAGTATATCGCTGTGACATCATAATACTGTGCACTACACAAGAGTTAGAGGACTGCTGGCTTAGACTCACATTTCCTGTTTGAGAAGCTAGTCCATCCCTGAGAAAGGGGGCAGCAGAAATATTTAATAAGAGTGAGAAGGGTTGTATATACAAAAGAGTTGAGAAAATGAACTGGGCTTACTTGAAAGATGATGTGGGATCCGAGACTAGATAAGACATTGGTTGATGGGAGGCAATTAATAATAAATAAGAGGGAGTTAAATGACAAGGGGATATTGAACTACAGGAGGTTGAAAAGTCATTAAGTTTGAAAGACTGGGAGGATGGAGAGGGGGAGAGAGGGGTAAGACATTATGCATGTGATTTGTAGTTACTACTGCATAGATCAGTGTACAGGATTCAGGATTTATAGACTAATGAGTGAATTGTGATGAACTGAGAAACCAAGATGCGTCATTTAAGTCAACATTTAGAAAATTTCTCCAACTGAGCTATATTATAGTAAAAAAAATATAATTCTGTTGCAGTTCACCATTCAAATTAATGAAACATACCATACCTTAATATTTATATCTGACAGATTAGTGATAAAGTAAACCGAGATTATATTTTGAAGGATTAGTTGAAGAAATTGCCAAACTCCGATAAGTACTTTGATTCAGTTTTGTACAGTGCACCATATGACTAGACAGAAATTATATTGCATCAAATAGAACAAAGAAGGTTTAAATAAGAATAAATTCACTGACTATGAATGAGAAAAAAGTTGGAGATCGAATTTAAGGGCAAAAGATGTTTGGACAGAAGCCAAAACTAACAGTGGTGTCTAATACTGGAAATCTGGGAGTTACCAGGATTTATATTCACTGTAAAGTACTGTTAATGTAAGGATTTATTCACTTGAATTAACATTCTAAGGTTAAAAATACATTTATTTTTTAACCTTATTGTGTTCCTTTATTGTGTTAGAGTATAATCCCTCTGTCCATTTACATTTAAGAATGCAGAAAAAGAGCCTTTAAACACAACTTTAATTCAGCATCTGGTAGCCACTGCGTTTTCTCTAATATCATTATTTAATGGCTATGATGAGTATGAGCAGTGAGTGCATTCCAACTACCTCATAGGAAAGCATTTAATCAATGCTTTCCTATGGGAGATTCTGCGTTGCGTGACCAAGTTTTACTCTGTCAGTGCTGAAGGAGTGCAGTTAGTGGCTGTCATTATGTTTCTCAAAACTCTCAAAAACGGCATTGTTTTACACTGCAGGGTTAAAAGGCCAGGGACACTGTACCCAGACTACCTTCAAAGACATGAAGTGATCTGGGTGCCTATAGTGTCCCTTTAAGTTGTAGTGGTTTTGGTGCTTAGATAGTGCAGAACAGTATTGCAAACTTTATATCCAAATAGTTGAGTTGGAAAGAAGTATCAAACTCAGCTGAATAAACCCATGAATGTTTTTTGCTTAGCATGGAGTAGAAGGGCTATTACAGCTGTGAGATCTGAAGAATCAAGGAACACAGAGCAGGCACGTGCAGGCTGGAGCTACGGACCACTCCCAATATTTTTCACTATGGTATGCAATTGCATAGCCCAATCCCAGTGGAGCTGGTAAACAGTGCTTTCATTGTAGTGCTGATCCTGCCCATTTCTGTTCTTTTGTCCAGGGATGGACAACTTGAAGACTCCAGATGAACGGATTTGCAGATCAATTGAATCACAGATGAGCTATGCTTGGATTCCCAAATATCTCACTAATAGTATATGGGAGCAGAATTCTAAAAGCATATCAATCACTGTGCATTTTAATGGAAAGTTACTGATGATTAAATTGTTGAATACAATTGTAGATAACACCATGCCCTTTTTATATATTTATCAGCACAATGACTGCCTTGTTGCCTTTCATGTCCATTTCAAATAATTCTAGAATGCTTTGTGCCACATCATGTTACGCACATAAGCCAGCTAGCTATTCTCCAATGCTAGATTGTTGTTCTCTGCTTTCCATCAGTGTTCATGTTAACTTGCGATAACCTTTGCTATGAGTACTAGACTTTTTCTGTCCAAATTTCAGTCGTTCCTGCATGAATGAAAGTCTGATCCTTGCCACAGCTGCATTTTGCAGCCATTTAGTAGATAACTCCCTAAACTGGTATCTTTGTGGGACTGCCAAATTTAAGGGTAAAAAATTAGGGAGCTGTTTAGTAGACAGCTCCTTTTTGTTATCCCTATGGCAATCTCACAAGGATTGCTACCCATAGGTGGGGACTAACAGGGGACATTAGATCCCCCACCCCAGATCTACCAGTGTGCAGTATACGCTTTCCCCCTGTTTGTCCTGCTATTATTACAATTATTAGCCTATGAGAGTGGTTGTAATCTTCTTGTAATTATGGCCCTGGGTGTGCCAACTAAGTTCTAGAGTGTCTCTATGCCTGTATATAAATTAGTACTATTACACCAGTGTATACACCTTTCTGTCAGCATTTTGGTTGGTTTGCATCTCTTCATCATTATCTTCTCAATTCTTCTCTAACATTAAATTTGGAACTATATCTCTAATCAATAGATGGATAGTTATGTCATCTTTACAAAATCCCCTCCAATAAGTGTGAGTGTGGCCCCTTGGTATCTTGGCCTCAATTAAACTTTGGTGTTTTTCCTCCTATTTCTTACCACCTATCACCTTTCTTTGTAGTTACTAATTTTCCTACTGCCAATATACTGATTGGTTCAATCCATTTGCATTGAAACATATATGTTCCTCCCACCTGTACTTGACTCCTCCCACATGTGCACCTCATTGGCTTCTGCCACCAACCTTATATTTATTGGCTATTTCCACATTCACTTACTAGCTTTTCTCCCCCATTAACGTACTTATATTCCTTCAATCATGCGTCTCCGTATTGACTCCACCCATTTGCCTTTCTACGTTTTGGCTCTTCCTACGTGCCTTTGTACTGGCACTACAGTTTGTATTCTGTATTGTGAACCATAGCCTCTCTGCCACAATCACTTTAAAACATTTTATTAATTAGTCTTTCATGTACTGCATGGAATTTATAGGTAAAAGGCAGCAAGCATTTTTGTGTACTAAGAGTAGGTGAAATACAGTTGAGGGAAAGGTTTGTAGAGATATTTATATGAGCCAGACAAGCACTTGCATTCACTTACTTTGAGGAAGCGGACATTCCTGAAGATTACATTTCTGGGTGTTATCAGGCCGCGGCAGGTGGTCGCATAGGCTGCTATCTTCCTCTGTCAGTCTTGTCCTTGTGTTCAGACATTTTACCTGCCGTTCCTGGATGCCACCACCACACAACGCTGTGCACTGCATACAGCCAAGCGTGAGGGCAGCATAGAGATAGGAGAGATAGAAAGGGGATGTGAGCGGGGTGAGGGGCCCATATAGTCACTCGAGCAGGAAACTAGTTAATAGATCCTCCCTATGGACCTGACTAGTGCAGTCAGGAATTGTCAGTAAAGCAATGTTTTGCAGCCTCTCCTCTATAGTAGGAAACATTGTGGAGATGTGTGCCAATGCTTTCACTCACCCGGCTCCATGGAGCCACAGTCCAGGTGGTACATGGATGATCATTACATGTGCGTCTGGAGCCAGGCTTCAGATTTTCATTGCAGCTTCCAGACTCCGGACATGATACCTCTCTCTCCTGAGTCCCCTCGCCACACTCCTCTGAGCACTGTGTGGACATGACACAATATTATACAGTCTGATCAATAAAAATAGGAACAGTGAATTTCCATTTTCATGTACTATCACCGACCACTGCAACATTCAATAAGCTGTACCTAACTTTTACTATCAACAACTAAGAACATATCAAGGATCTGAAGCTTTGCTGTTCTTGTTGCCGGGATTCACAAAACAAACATTCTAGTTTGTGGTTTCTATGGCTTGACTATATTTCTAAAAGAACTGAGGAAAGATGGAACAGCTAGCCCAAATAATTAATATAGGTGTTGGGGGGGAATGTAGTGAGAATAAACTTGCGCTAACGCGTATTGATGCTTTACGAGGGCTGTAGTTGTGACATGATGTTCCAACCTTCCCCCATCCCCTGCCCTACAACCACACTTTTTTTTCCCTCCCTCTTTCCCTTTCTTCAATTCCACAGTAACAAGCTCTTCCTTCCACAATGTGCTACAAAGCGTAAGATGAGTACGTTTGAAATGTTTAATTCATAAGGTAATGCATCAAAAATGTTTTATTGTAACAGGGAGATTGTATAGGATAATCTCTGCATCTTTTTACTTTATTGTGGAATGTCTATGTGGGTCTGAATATATATAATGGATAATATATTGTAGGATTCTCTTTGAGTTGATTGCAGTATGATCAGTATTAATTCAATAAATGGAGTGGAGAATAAATATACTTTCATATATTCAATTTTGACATGGTGTCACTTTGTGGAGAATAACACATCATTAACACTATACTACGCAGTAGTCAAATCGCTGGCAATATTAATTAAATAAAGCAAATGTTTACCAAGGCTAATAACGTAGATCAATTTGTTGTTTCTTCAATTCACATATAAAACACAGTATTTTTTTTATGGAGTCGACATGATTTCATATTCCTACCTCACTCCAGGATGAAACGTTCCACTCCATGCACTGATGTTCTTTGCAAGGTATCTGAGCACGTGGCTTGGAGGCAACAGTTTGACAGTGAAATGGACGCAAAATCCTCTTGTCCCGAATATTTACACAGTGAACATCTCTCATCTTTACCCCAGTTCCACAGTTATGGGAGCACTGTAAGGAGCAACACAACTAATAAATATACTAGTGCATATTCTAGTATTAAATACAGATTAAGGAACAGTGCACACAAAAATACAGTACATTTTACAAGGCTACTTAAAATCAGCTATCTCAGCACACAAATACAGGGTTTCAGTTCCACCATATGGTCATATTGTGTTAAGGCCACCACCATGTCACAGTACCACAATATTGGTGAGTCCTACATTAATCTTAACATGAAAGACAATCACTTAAAAAGTGATGTGCTAAATGAATATAAAATTAAAGTGCATTAAATTAATCCATTGTAAGTGCACTGTTAATATATGTCACTCAAAATGTGAGAAAATACCATTCGAAAAATAAAGTGCCATTACTAAATAATAAAAGTGACAGTGCTTTTAAGTACATATTAACAATGCATTGTTGTAACTCTGCTTTATAGTAAATAAATATTGTTAAAGTGATATTGCTATCTAAAACCTCCTCAAATTTGTACTTTCATGTGGTCATCTTCAGAGCGGCATCTGAAGGAGGTAGAGGGTTGGAGTGGGGTACTCAACCCAAAAAGTCTGAACTCCACATATACACAAAAAAGGGAATTTTGGGCACTCCTGGAACATAGTGGTGTCTTTAACACAATATGTCCATATGGCAGAACTGAATCCCCATATTTGTTTGCTGAGATATGAGATTTTAAGTAGCCTTCTAAAATGTAAAACTGTATTTTTGCGGGTGCTGTTCCTTAATCTGTATTTTGTATAACTTTTGGCCTTTAAGGCAGCACCACTGCAGATAAATAATTGCATGTTCCAGGTGTACCCCAACTCTTCTTTGTTCCACTTGTATTGACATTATAGAAGCACACTCCAAATACCATAACCATCTTTGTTCCTTACATATATTGTGGTGCAAGGAGCGCAATCTTCTTAAATGCATTATAGCTGCAGAGATTTTCTAATCTTTCAGCAGTTATATGCCCACCACCTTCTACAACATTGTGCAGGGCAAGCACACATTGTACAAAGTCTAACTGACATGTTGTCTTATAGAGAGCCACGTGGCTTCTATTAGTTTGTGGAATAGTTTAAATGATGTCTCATTACTATCAGACACAAAACGAAAATTTAAAATAATGTGGAGTCCAGAATTGACTTAAAAATTTCAGTTCTTTCCTAGCCCTAACAAAAGCTGCAGAAATGTATTGAATGGACACTACAGGAAATAAAGCAACTTTACCTTAATGTAGCAGTTTTGGTGTACAGATCATGCCCCTATAGTCTCACTGCTCAATTCTCTGCCATTTAAGAGTTACATCACTTTTGTTTCTGTTTATGCAGCCCTAGCAACACCTGCCCTGACTGTGACTGACACAGCCTGCATGAAAAAATGGTTTCATTTCATTCAGGTGTTAACTTGCTTAAGAAGTTTGTATCTCATGCTCTGTAAATTGAAATTTAATCACACACAGGAGGCTCCTGCAGGTTATAAGAGGCTATTAACAGTGCAAAAGATAAGAAATTCTAGATTACCCCCTTAAGGACACATGACGGAAATATTCCGTCATAATTCCCTTTTATTCCAGAAGTTGTGTCCTTAAGGGATTAAACAGAATATGCAGTAAAGGAACATAGAATATCTAAGTTCCTTTTCAGAAAGTGTTTAGGACAGCTGTGTAAGTCATATGCAAGGAGGTATGACTAGGGCTGTATAAACAAAGTGATTTAACTCCTAAATGGCAGAGAATTGAGCAGTGAGACTGCAGGTGCATGTTCTATACACCACAACTGCTTCATTATGCTAAAGTTGGTTTTGTGCCTATAGTATTCCTTTAAGCAAGCATAATTGATAAGTGAGTATACTCATAAAACATTAAATAAATTAGTAAGAGGTATATTTAACTCCACCTTGGAGTTTACCTTTAATTGGTATTTGCATAATATATTTATTTAGCATATCATACTTTGTATATTAAATCAATTGTCAATCAATTAAGAATAGTATCAATTGAGATTTTACAACTAACAATTGCATAAGCTGACTTTTGGAAGGTGTAGTTTCATTGCCATAAAATATGACTGCACCTGGAATCACAAACAACTTTAAAAAAAGACTGTTGGATAAAGCGTATAACTGCTGAAGGAACAGACTCAAATTACGCTGATAAATTGCATCGAAAAGGACAGGGTTTAGTTCTTAAAATGTTTTAGTATTAAACTGCATTCAAAGTGCTTTTTCTGCACAAATAAAGTAGATCCGTCAATCTATTGTTTCCTCAACATCTATAAACACACCAATTTTTGCTTTGCTTCTTTGCTCTGTCAAATACAAAAAAAAAGCACTTTCTGCTTCTATGGCAACAAACTCTTTCAAACAATCAGTGCTCTCTCCACTGCATCACATGGTTACAGGCTAGATTATTTTGGCCTTGATGAAATTGCTAACAGCAGAACATTTAACCAATTAAAGAATTATTGTAACAGGAACAGGATAGATTTTTAAAACAAACAGGAGTGAGGATCCCCAGCAATATTTAGTTATGAAAGTGAGAAACCAATCATTTTTTTTCTCACTTATCACATACTTTCATCTATACATTGAAAAGATTACCTTGCTCCAGGTCCCCACAGACCAGGAAGCACATGGTCGCAGAAAGCAGCGATGAGCAGGTGGAGGCTTAGCGCTGGGATCACATGTGTTATTTGAATCTCCTGAACACCAAACTGGACGCCACTTTGCACCCAAACCACAAGATGTAGAACACTATAATGCAGAGACACAATATTTTACACAGTCTTAAAGCATCAACACAGTATTTACTGGTTACACACACACACACACACTTATAAGTAACTCTGAATAAGAATAGACTAATTTACTGATTAATTACTAAACAATCGGTTCTGTAGGGAGATGAACTTTGCATTTTATATTGGTTATATTGGTTAATAAACTTGGTGGACATCAATAAAATGAAGAAATAATTAGTTTTGAAATACCTCACTCCAGTTTCCGACCTCCCAGTAGCCCTTCCATAGATAACTGTTGCCCACGGATGATAAAGAAGTGGTATGAATTGCAACAGATGGTGCAGGAGTTACAAAAAGGGAGTTCCCATCATTAGAGTTTTCAGTATTTAGCATGTCGAATGATACGCTTTTGTCACTATCATTAGAGTTCACTGGAAACAGGGCAGCTTCAGTAGATGGTAAAGATGTGATATGAAGAGCAGTGAAGACCGTATGATCAAGTTCTGGTTCCATGGTAAATGATGATTCAGAGGAGGGAGGGCGCATGGTATCTCCTAATTGAGACACCGATGGATCCCATGGTAAAGTGGCTTCAGTTGGCATGGTCTTCGATGTAACATGGGGAACATAATCAGCAGATAGGTTAAACAACACAAAGTCCTCTGAGGCACTTGATATATTTTGCATTGGATTTGTCAAATTGTTGTTTGATGAGAGCTGCTCATTCTGTACATGTCCTGGAGCAGGATTCACGTTCAGAGCTTTCAAGGGATATGTGGTTGGATCCTGCATTATGTCCTGTAACGAATCTGATGATGTACCATACAATGGAAATTGTGAACGATCCATTACAGGCCAGGGAGTGGATGTTGGATACTGTGAAATATCCTGTGCTGTAACTGGTAATGGGTCAAAGTTTGAATATTGAGAGGAGTATGTGGTTACTTCTGTAGGGTTTGGGAGATACGATGGTGGATTTTTTGAGAGATCTTGTGCTACCTTAGATAAATCTGTAGTAACATATGTGGGTTCTTGTGTGCCACCCTGCAAGGGATTGTTAATGAGATGGGTTAATGACTCTTCAGGGAGGTTGACTGATGGATCATGTGGTTTCTGATAAAATGAGGTATTTGGAATACCCTTACTGGGTGGACTTGTGTGTAACTCATCAGATGTATTTTCCACTTGATGATTTAAGTTATTGTCATTATCCCTTTTGCTGGATCCACTTTGGTCCTCTTCTTTAGAAACAGAAGAGGTTTTTTTACTAGGTATGTTTGAGATCTGAAAATATTTACTATAAACTGATATATCCATTTTTTTAGTTGCCAGTTTTACAGTTGTAGTTGTAAAGTGGATCATTTCTTTCTTCTGCTCTTCATCCTGTTTTTCAGAAACCTCAACCTCAGGAATTTGTGTAGGATGTTCTTCTCCCCGCCACCCTACATCTCCAATTCCATCTATATCATTGTTATTTAAGGGATCGTAGTCTAAATCTTCATGGAAATTGATAAAATTATAGTCGTAATAGAAATCATCAACAAATGCTCGTCCTCCTTTCCTTTGTCCTCCCTCTCCCACACTGGAGAAATCTCCTTCTGAAATTGAGTTGTCTTCTGGGGGAAGCTGGTTATTAGGAAATGTCCGAGGATGACCTGGAAAAATGTCATTGAAATTTTCCTTGCTGGATCCTCCGCTACCAGTCCAATCAATTCGAGAAAAGGAGTCAAATGGGCATGAAGATAGCACACATGCACGCTTACTGACAGGATGGTCAGAGGGATCACAGTCATTCCCCTCAATATCATTAGAGCAATACACTTCCCGATATTGCACTCCTTCCCCGCAGGATACAGAACACTAGAACGTAATGATGCATAGAGGTTTAGATATTAATATAAACAGTACAACAGAAATAATGCAGTGTATGAGTTGTGTAACACTGTAAAAATATGTAATGATGTTCAGCAAGTTACAGAGTTACATAGTTGTCTAGGTTGAAATAAGACTAAAGTCTATCAAGTTCCACCTTGAAACCCATTCTGGTGATGCAAAAGAAGGAAAAAAATCCAGTTGTATCCATTTCTAATTATGTCACAAAAAAAAAATAAAAAAATTTCTTTACTCCATAATAACAATCAGACTTCTCCTTGGATCAACAACCTATTTACATACATATTAATTATATCTTTGAATATTCTGTTTATGCAAAAAAAGTAAAGAAAGAAAAAATATTATCAGCTGGATTGAATGAAATGAAAAACAAACTGCTGAATATGGACTAAAAAAAGCAGAGCTGTGACAATGACCGAGTTTGAGAATATATCAAAGTCAGCTATTTTGGCCTAAATTTGTCGATTTGATTTTCTATTAACTATAATTTAATGTTTAGTAAATACACCTTTGTGAAATAATTAGTGAGTAGTTTGTTTTTCTGCCTCACCACACTTACCTCACTCCAGTTACCCTGATGCCAAGTGGCACGACATAGTGTGGGGTATTTGCAGGGCATGCTGGCCTCAGGTTTGGGGAGGTGCACACAGTCTACGGGTTGTAATGCACGTTGTTCGTCTAGCCCAACTCTTTGGATACATAGGACTGTTCTCTTTTGGACACCATTTATGCCACACGTGATGGAACACTGCTGCCACTCTCCCACCCACCACCTGAGAGGGACAAACATTAAGAAAGAGATACACAATGAGATAAACAAATATTTTGCACAAGCTGCTCTTTATATCTGTAAGGGGGTTAGCATACACTTCTTTGAATTGATGAGTAAGACCACAAATGTGCAGTCTGCATGCAATTCTTTGGATGATAGAGCTAAATTATCTGATCTGGGATAAAAATGGCTTCAATATGTTTGTTCTCCACCTGTAAGCGCAGCATGAGTGTGGTTAGCAAAGAACTGGGGTGTAGCTCACCTTGGAGGGCAAGCCTCTTCATTACAAGTCCTATGTCTGTCATCTGGTCTTGTCAGAAAGTCACAATATCTCTCTTCCACAAGACCAACCACTTTCTCCACACAGTGGACCAGCTGCCTCTGCACTCCTAAAATAGATGAGCATGACATGTTAGGCCTGAAATAATTTAGAAGGTGTCTGTGGATATATCACACTGAAAGATATATCTCACTAACATGGAACATTGAAAGTGTTCCTCAATAATCACAGTTCTGCCTCAATAGTGGTTTGAAGAAATGAACAAATTACTGAAAGCAACTTATATCCTACCGAACACCAAAACAAAGTCAAATTACACTTTCTGCCCTAAATAAGGCTGCCTGATCACTTGGTTTAAAGCCACTACAGATCCCAGCACTGGGAAGGGAGATACATATATAAGCAAACAGAGGGAGAGGCAATACAAGCGTGGTGTAAGTTGCAACATAGTCAGCTGGATCTCCAGGAGCTCTGTCTTTTTGCTATGGATGTATGAATAATTACAACTTTACTTACCTATCTCTCTGTGTCTGCCGTGCTCAAACAGCAGCTGGAGATGCTGCTCACAGTTCTTTGGCATCCCTTGCAGCTTTTAAATGAGCTGTCCATAAATGTTATGGGAATATTTTGCAATTGGAATTTGTTAATAATAAAGTATTTACATTTCTGAGTGTCCCAACTGTATACCAGAGATTTGGGGTTATGAAGGCATGTTTCTAACATGTGTACATGTTATTGACAGTGAATAGGTTAATGCCCCCCATAACAATAAATTTAAGATTCCGCCATTAAATGGTGTGAGTGACTACTTTGGTCTTACCTGTGCCACAGGTGGCAGAACACTCCGTCCAAGAGCCATATCTCCAAGAAAAGTCAGGTGGCTGGATCTCATTGCTGTTGTCTGGATCTCTTCTGATGGTATACTGATAACGAACTCCTGGGTTCTTCTCCTGGAACAGCAGCTATGACCAAACTAACTGATCAGCTATATTTTCATTTAACTTTTCTATACAAACATGTTGGTTAAGGGGTTGTTATATGAATGTGAATGACGTCTGTGCATCTACATATAACTGGGTGGAAGAAGAGGTAATTTATGAGATATCAGTGTGAGTGAACGGTCGGCATGCCTCCGTCCCACAGCTAGTCACTGTCCTTTATTATCTGCCCCTTTCACCTTTGAAATATTATACAGATAGTAAGACGACAGTGATCGGCTGTGGCAAAGGGTTATATCAGCAGATTAGCTCACACTGATTCTTCATTGGCTAAATTACACTGAGCATCTTCAATTGAAAAGTCGTTTTGTGAAAAGGGGATGGAAGGCTAAGCGCAACAGATTTATGCGGCAGAAAGCTGAAGCAAAGACAGGGAGATTAGAATGTGCAGGACCATACAGCATGGATATCAGACCAAAAGCTATGAAATGCGTCTATGATGTGTTGCTGACCAGTGTGTCCCTTTTATGTTCCACTTGACATTTTAGACAGATAAATAACTGCTCATTAATATGTCTCCTTCTGTTACCTGAATCCAGACTGGCTCATATGTTGGACCAGGGGCAGTTAGGTTCTCAAGATTTCCAGTACGGGTATAGGTAAAGGTTGTTCCTGCTGCTCGGTAATCACCATTCCACTGTATTGTCCACTTTCCATTCAGAAAATACTTCTCTGGATCTTCGCTGCGCAATGCTAAGAAGTTTTCTGCCTCTGCCACTTCTTCAATGTGGATTTCATGAGCTCCTGGGGGAATGAGCCCAATATCCACATAACCTGTAGGGAATAAGATACCAGTTCATATAGTTTAATCACCAAACTGTCACATGAACTCGGTCTCTTACATCTAATATTTATCTCACACGTCCTTATATTCAGAATCTTACCAAGACCATCACTGTCCTCAAACATTTTGTGGACAGTATGACAAGAAGATGAATCTCCCAGGCATACTCCACACCTATCCTCAACTGCGTTGGAGTCAATCTCAAAGTCACATCCAATGTTCTGCAACAAAGCACACATTTCTGAAATTGGTTTCCTAACAGGAATATCGGTACCCTGTCGCACTTATGTAGGGATGCTTGACAAAAAGATTACGACATAGGATCAGGGACATAACATTTTTCAGCATACCTTACAGATGCCATTAATACACATGTCCCTTCTGGAATTATCCTCGTAACATGGAGTTCCATCAATAACTGCATCCAACAGCTTTTCTGCAAAGTGCTCTTTATCGGCCCGGCAGTGAAGCTCACAGGGATTAACTAACCAATATGAAAAGAGTATGACTAGGTATCACAAAGACAGCAGAATTCAAAAATAAAATACATGATATGTGATAAACATCCCTGTTCAGATTAATCACTGTTTTTGTATTACGTTTTCAAATGTTTGGATTAACTCCTGTTAAAGTTTAGAAAAGTCAAGGCCAGTGTTTCCCAACCCAGTCCTCAAGGCACACCTACCAGTCCAGGATTTAGGGATTACCCAGTTGTGTCTAAGGAGTTTTTTTTCTTCTTTGTAAAAACACCTTAGACACAACTGGGTAATCCCTAAATCCTGGACTGGTAGGTGTGCCTTGAGGACTGGGTTGGGAAACCCTGGTCTAGGCTACCAGAAAATAAAACATCATAACTGGCGGCTAGTGTGACCATACTCATGGGCGTCCGCAGGCCAGTAGGTGGCGCTGTGTGTGGAGAGAGGCAGGGATAGGAAGCTACATCTTATTCCTGCTTCTCTCTCCTGACTGAAACCGCAGGGGAGCAGCACAGAGTGCAGCCAGCAACTCCCAGACTGCAGAGACAGCCTACAGATCAGGTAAGTGAGCGATGGGGGGCGGTCTATAGATCAGGCAAGTGAGGGATGGTGGGGAGACAGCCTACAGATCAGGTAAGTGAGGTATGGGGGGCAGCATACAAATCAGTTAAGGGAGGGATGGGGGCTGCCTACAGATCAAGTAAGTGGGGGATGGGGGGCGCAGCCTACAGATCAGGTAAGTGAGGGATAGGGGGAGACAGCCTACAGATCAGGTAAGTGAGGGATGGGGGCAGCCTACAAATCAGGTAAGTGAGGGATGGGGGCAGCCTACAGATCAGGTAAGTGAGGGTTGGGGAGCAGCCTACTGATCAGGTAAGTGAGTGATGGGGGGCAGCTTACAGATTAGGCAAGTGAGGCATGGTGGAGGAAGCCTACAGATCAGGTAACTGAGGCATGGGGGGCAGCCTACAGATCAGGTAAGTGAGGCATAGTGGGACAGCCTACAGATCAGGTAAGTGAGGGATGGGGGGCAGCCTACAGGAAGGGTCAGCAAGGAGCAGTAAGGTAAAGTAGGAGAAGAAAGTAAAGTAAAGCACTCTAAGCCAATCAGTAGCCCCCCTTTTATAACAAAGTAAAGAGGTTTTATGAACCGGGAACTAGCGATTGGCTTAGAGCGTTAGCTGACCATTCTTGCCAATCAGCAGCACCCATGCCTGACATCAATCTGCACTTCCTGACACTCCGTTTCACAAGCTACTACTGAGCGACCTGGAGATGGAGGAAGCCTTTGGGGATAAACCATTTGAGAGCGGTTTAACTCCTTAAAGTAAAGTGAGCACCCAGGGGCCTCCTGGCATCATAGCATTTTCATTTAGATGAAGTTGTTACCAGAATGTTCCTTTAACTTGATTAAAGAAACACTATAGTGTCAGGAATACAAACATGTATTCCTGACAGCATAGTTGTGAAAACGCTATTCACCCTGGCTTTATGTGATAATGACTGTGGCGAAAGTGACCTCGCCAATGGTTTTTGGAGGGGCCTGTTTGCCAGCCTCCTGCCCTGCGACTATGGCCCTGGGATGTATTGCCCTTCTAGGAACTGATTTGGGCATATTGTATTTTATTATGCTACTGCTGGCCCTTTAAGAACCATCTGGGGATATACTGTGGAGTTACTGGGTGGCCACCATTTCATGTATCTCGCCGGTATATGGTGCACAAAGACATCGTGCAGTAGTTTTAAACTATATAACAGGGGACACATTATACAGTAATTATTTTTCATATAGCCTGTATATGTTCTGCAGAATCTGCATTTAACTGTATCTTCCAAACTACTGAACGGATCTGGGTGAATTTTGGATATGTGGTTCACCCAGATCCCCCGGTTCTGAGGATACATTTTATGGGGTTATTGCATGTTTTGGGGTCCCTGTGATATGTTTTATAATACTGTATTTCTCTGCCTGTGATAATTATATTAACCATTGTGTTCAGTAATCATATCACAGGCAGAGGGGAGGATTTTGTGTGGGAGTGTCTGTGTGTATTGTACGGATTGATTGGTTGTATTTCAAAACCCTGTGGGCAGTACTATGTTTGTGGATTGTGAATAAAAGAGGCTGGATGTGCCAGTACAGTCAGTTCTGCTTGACCTCAAAACGAAGTGTCGTCTCGTTATTGGGGGAATTGGATTGTATGCTGATTGCCAGGAGTGTAAGCTGATTGTATGCTTTTCCTGTTCAGCTGCTTACAGCATTCATATGCTTGAGAGCATTCGTATGCTTCTCCGGTTCGGTGGTTGTGGTGTCTGCTGCAGTGCTTGGAGTCCTCAGGAAGCGCTAGGAGCATCCTTCAACGGAGGTACCCAGTCGGGGTGCCAGGTGATCCATTACAATGACTATGCCCCTCCCCTTCATGACACTGTCAAAAAGGGGCCAAGCATGGATGTCATTACAATTATGCCCTCTCCCCGCCCCCCGGAAAAATTCCTACGGATGCCCATGACCACACTACTAAACAATTTGTCAACTGTTTGCATCATACAGAACAATGATATCCTCTGACTGGTCTATTTAAGAATGGCAAAAGTATTAATATTGTTAAGGTATATTATAGTCACCAAAACAACTTTAGCTTAATGAAGCAGTTTTGATGTATAGATCATGCCTCTGAAGTCTCTCTTTTTCTTTTTATTCTGCCCTAGCCACACCTCCCCTGGCTGTGACTGACTGCCTACATTAAAACAAAATGGTTTAATTTTCAATCAGATGGTTATTTACTTTAAACGCTTTTATGTCCTGCTTTGTAAATTGAACTTTAATTACATACAGGAGGCTCCTGCGGGGTCTAGCAAGCTATTATCAGAGCAGGAGATAAGAAATTCTAAATTAAACAAATTTTGCAATTTAGGAAGTGTAAACAGATGACTTTTACAGGAAGTGTTTAGGAAGTCTGTGTAAGTCACATGCAGGGAGGTGTGTCTTGGGCTACATAAGCAAAGATGATTTAACCCCTAAATGGCAGAGAATTCAGCAATGAGACTGCAGGGGCATGATATACACCAAAACTGCTTCATTAGGCTTAAGTTGTTTTGGTGACTATAATGTCTCTTTATTTTGGGTAATGGCTACTAGGAGAAGCTGAAAACCATTATGAAACGCCCAATCTTCTAAATAATTGCATTCCAACTGGGCTTTCCAGCATGACAGTCTTTTACATCTTGCTTCACATCCAAATGAGTCCCTTCATCCACAAAGGGCTTAATGTCTCATTGCTTTAATACTTTAATATGATGCACTTAATGAGATGACCTCACTGTGAATTCTTTTATACTGCACATCAGAGCTTTATAGATTAAGTAATAACGTACTCATTTTTTATGAATAGTTTCATTCCTGAAAAAATAAACATATTATAGTATACTTTCATTCATATTGTTTCATAAATGAAACAACGTCCAACCTTTTCTAATGTGCCTATCAATGCTGCAGTTACAGAGAAGCTATTAAAGAGTTGTTCATATTCAACAAAACACTTCACAGCAGGCTTTTATGGCAAACATACAACAGTATATCTCCATAGCAGAGGTGTCCGATTTGGGATTAAATAGCCACAATTCTAGTACATTCTAGTACATTGTCTTGTGTAAATAGCTATATGCCAAAAACTAAATAAATAACTAAAATTCAACCAAGCCTGTTTAATCATTCCTGCTTGGTACATGCAATGAAGGTCACCTAAAAGGACATCTGTGATAAGCACGTGTTAAAGCAGCAGGTACACAAATGTACTGTAGATGTAGCTGTATCACTTCCATGTCCCTCTCTTCTAACAGGAAATGAAAGGCAAGCTGGGACTTGGGTCAGGTAGATGTTTATCTCCCAGAAATTGATACACATTTAATAATAGATTTCATAGAATTAATGAATGAATGAAACCTACTGTTGTTTGGTACTGGGCTCCAGTGATAAAGCTTTCCCTTGTAAGGAACAGAGTCAAAGTGAGAACACTGCTGCTGGCGAAAAGATGTAGTATTCCGGGGGCAGGGAACAATGTTACACAATCGATATCTCTTCCTCTCTCCAAGGCAGTATCGACCTCCGTATCTAGGACTGCAAAAATAAGAGTCAAAGCCTCACAATGTACATGCTATTTAGTATTGAGGGATATATAATGGTGAAAATGCTGTGTAATAGTGTATACAGTACCCAGGATGCAAGTCATGTAAGGATGATATACCCACCATTCCCTGATGTACACAGAAATCTAATGCCTTATAGGACAGATAAGCATAGCTCCCTGCCTCCTTATAATACATATACATAGACTGATCAGCCACAATATTCAAACCACTGACAGGTCAAGTAATAACATAGGTCATATTGTTACAATGGTACCTGTCAAGGGGTGGGACATATTAGGCAGCAGGTGTACAGTCGATTCTTGAATTTCATGAGTTGGAAGCAGTAACATGGGCAAGCAAAACAATCTAAGTGATGGCTAGACAACTGGATCAGAGCATCTCCAAAACGGCAAGTCTTGTGGGGTGCAATCAGTATACAGTGGTTAGTAGCTACCAAAAGTGGTGTAAGGAAGATCACGGTGAACCGTTGTCAGGCTCATTGATGCATATAGGGAGTGAAGGCTAGCCCATTGGTCCAATCACAGAGAAGAGCTACTGTAGCTCAAATTGCTAAAAAGCTTAATGCTGGCCATGATAGAAAGATATCGGAACACACAGTGCATCGCAGTTTATGGAGCTCCGTAGCTGCAGACCAGTCAAAGTGCCCATGATGATTCCTGTCCACCGGTAAAAGTGCCTCTAGTAGGGACATTAGTGGAAGAACTGGACTACGAAGCAATGGAAGAAGGTTGCCTGGTCTGAAGAATCACGTTTTCTTTTAGATCAGGTGCATGGCTGGGTGCGTGTGTGTTGTTTACCTGGGGCTATGTTCTAATGAGAAACAGTATCCTGTCATTCATGTGGATGTTACTTTGACACGTGCCACCTACCTAGAGATTTTTGCAGACCATTTACACACCTTAATGGCAATGGTGTTTCCTGATGGCAGTGGCCTCTTTTGGCAGGATAATGCACCTTGTCACACTGCAAACATTTTCAGGAATGGGAACATGTCAAACAGTTCAAGGTACTGCCTTGGCCTCCAAATTCCCCAGATTTCAATCTAATTGAGCATCTGTGGGATGTGCTGGAACAACAAACCCGATCCACGGAGGCCGCACCTTGCAATTTGCAGGGCTTAAAGGATCTGCTGCTAATGTCTTGATGTCAGATACCACAGAATATGTTCAGTGGTCTTTTGGAGTCCATACCTTGATGCATACCTGTATAGCACATTTTTGTACAAATGGTTGATCAAAAAACAAATTCACATTCCTTGATGCCAATTAATGTAATGAAGCTCATTTGTAATCCCAATTCCCTTAAATAGTGGCAGCTTTCACAGTCTTTGCTTTGAAGAGGTTGTGCCATAATAGCATAAAAGAGTACAGTGTCAACTTGAAAGCACATGGCACAAATACTAAGGGTCTGCTTACAAACAGTCTCTGCATTCCCTGAAACATAAAAGGTCTCCTACACCCAGATGAAGAAGGACGGACTATGGGAAATATGGAACATGGACTCTGTCACAGAAGGATGCAGACTTAGGACAGGGGTTCAGATGTAATAAAGGTCTCAATGAAGGTCTGAGCCATGTTCTGTTAATTAGATATATTTTCCATCAAAATTATTACATGTTCATATGTCATAGCTCCTGCTTGGTCATACTTCCCAACATTCCAGATGGGAAAGAGGTCCACTTTTATTTTAGAGAGGTGGGGCTATTCCGGGAATACTCAGGAAATATCATGTAAATATATTAATTATAATGAATATAACTGAAAATATAATTAGAAAAAGTCCTAAATATAATATTTACACAAACTAATTTCTAACCACAGTTAAAATTTCACTTTAAACATTTCTGTGAATTTTATTGCAGTGGAGCTCGGTTATACACTAAGACACTCCAAAATAAAGATCTCCTAGAAATATGGAACATAAGGATATAAAAGGGGGACTTATCCATACAATCAGAGCTATCTTAGCACACAATATTAGGTAGGTGGTTTAATATTATATATATTGTTGCTGATCAGTCTACAGTACCCTGCTTCCTTATAAGACATATACACACAGCACAATGTCTTCCTTTTATACAGTTACATACAGCACCCTGCCTTCCTAAATACAGATACATACCCACAGCACCCTGCGTCTTTACAATACGGAAATACACACTACTACACTATGCCCCCATATAATACAGTTACACACAGGAGTCTTTGTTTCCATTTAATGCTGAGCTATATAGCACTCTTTGTCGCAATATAATACTGATAAACACACATCATTAAATAAAGATTATGTCATTTACTTTCTGTATAGCACATTTTTGTACAAATGGTTGATCAAAAAACAAATTCACATTCCTTGATGCCAATTAATGTAATGAAGCTCATTTGTAATCCCAATTCCCTTAAATAGTGGCAGCTTTCACAGTCTTTGCTTTGAAGAGGTTGTGCCATAATAGCATAAAAGAGTACAGTGTCAACTTGAAAGCACATGGCACAAATACTAAGGGTCTGCTTACAAACAGTCTCTGCATTCCCTGAAACATAAAAGGTCTCCTACACCCAGATGAAGAAGGACGGACTATGGGAAATATGGAACATGGACTCTGTCACAGAAGGATGCAGACTTAGGACAGGGGTTCAGATGTAATAAAGGTCTCAATGAAGGTCTGAGCCATGTTCTGTTAATAAGATATATTTTCCATCAAAATTATTACATGTTCATATGTCATAGCTCCTGCTTGGTCATACTTCCCAACATTCCAGATGGGAAAGAGGTCCACTTTTATTTTAGAGAGGTGGGGCTATTCCGGGAATACTCAGGAAATATCATGTAAATATATTAATTATAATGAATATAACTGAAAATATAATTAGAAAAAGTCCTAAATATAATATTTACACAAACTAATTTCTAACCACAGTTAAAATTTCACTTTAAACATTTCTGTGAATTTTATTGCAGTGGAGCTCGGTTATACACTAAGACACTCCAAAATAAAGATCTCCTAGAAATATGGAACATAAGGATATAAAAGGGGGACTTATCCATACAATCAGAGCTATCTTAGCACACAATATTAGGTAGGTGGTTTAATATTATATATATTGTTGCTGATCAGTCTACAGTACCCTGCTTCCTTATAAGACATATACACACAGCACAATGTCTTCCTTTTATACAGTTACATACAGCACCCAGTGGAGCTCGGTTATACAATAAGACACTCCAAAATAAAGATCCCCTAGAAATATGGAACATAAGGATATAAAAGGGGGACTTATCCATACAATAAGGAATGTCTTTCTTACATAGTGACACTTGGAAGGTATGCATATAGGCTGCTACAGTAAATAAGTAGTGCAAGTGGGTGTACGTTGGTCAGCGTCATGTCTCTGAAACCATACATCTTGACAGCCAATAAATGATGGCAGCACTAGTCTCCCTTCAGATATCTCAGCCAATCCAACTACTAAGTGTAATGAAGGAGCTTATACTACTAAAGTGAATTTTATGACCCTCCAATATTTGCCCGGTTTGACAACTTATTAAAAAAACGTCAGATGTAGTTCAGGATTCCCCAATAAGGGCAAAGGTGTATCAGATTCTGACACTATGTGTCCAGATCTGCCGCGTATTAGGCCTGCCCAACAAGCTTTTGAGGCTTTGAATATTGGAGCTATTACTTACAGTTCCCCCCACCCCAAAAATTAGAAATGATATCTCCAAGACATATGTACTGTCACCATATCCATGTATGAATATTTCAGCATGAAGCAAATATTGACCTACTACACAAGTGCTTAACCTGATTGGTCCAATTCATTTGATACACCTTGTTAGTAAAAGCTGATATGTTCTGGTAGCATTTGAAGAAGGAGTGGAATACTGGGAACGGAGCTTAGGACAGGTGAGTAAATAATTTACACATTGTTTGAAGGAAAGGAAAGGCAGAGAAAATATGAAGAACTGGAAAGATCTCAACATATCAACAATAGAGGAAAGAGCTTAGTGCCAGAATACAGGAAAACATGAAAAGGACAAAAATGCATATTGCAAAACGTTACCAAATATGCACACAGAGGTGAAAATCTGATTGCTTTTAATATGACAAACTTAAACCTAAAAAAATCGCAACGGTCAAGGAGCTGGTGTCAGGATAAGCTAATGCCCACGCAGTACTTAAGTAAAAATAAAAGAAAACCCTAAGACGTATTACCGGCCTTAGAGCGGCCGGATTTAACGTATAAAAGGAAAAACCACAAGACAAGCTATGGACAAGAACGCAGAAAACACGGAAACAATGAACAAGCCATGGGTCGAGGAATATAGAGGTTAGGAGCCAAGCCAAAGGTCAAGGAGTACAGAGATCGGATAGTCAGAAGGTAAGCCAAGGTCAAAATACACAAGAATCAATATCAGAAACGCGCTCTCGGATAACCAAAATGGAAACCACGACAGGGCACAGAGAAATGGACAAAAAAGGTTTATATAGCCTAAGGTTCTACCTGATTGGCTGCAGGGAAGCATGTGATAGTGAACGTGTGTGTGTGACATCACCCACACGTACCAAATGGAATGGCACTCTAAGGGTTAATCACAAACCCGTAAAAGGATCTAATCTGCAGCGGCCGGCGTCTCTAATGATTACAGACCCGGACGCTGTATGAGGGGGAGGAGTTCCTGTCAGAGGCTTGAGGTGAGTGATGGGCGGCATTAACATTACCACGTGGGAATGCCGCCAGAACAAGATGCGCCCGCCGGGTCCCAGTCTGCTCTCTGGCAGGCGGCATGACAGCTGGAAAGTAACATTGTTGTATGACTCCAAGTCAAGAGTACTGGACATTGAAACAACAATAAATCTAGCCATGTGACATCTAAAAAACTATTAAAATAGTTATTTGAATGCACTATACCAAAAATGTCATAAGCACATGAGGCCACCACAGGTAGAATGACATGGAAGTATTTATAGGATAACTCTGTTTGAAACATCATAAATGCAACTCTGAAATACATGTACTTCCAGGTGTGGAAGTAATGCAACCAAACCCACAGGGTTACATTTATGTTTGCCCCAGACAAGATATAAAAACCTCCAAGAAGAGACCCCTAAAAACTACAGCCATTTGACAGAGAGTCAAGCATGGAAAAATAAAATGGAAAGTGATGGTGAGTAGTGTGAAATTAAACAGGTGAATCTCATTTTGTTCCCAAGCTATTTTATTGATTGTAAAACACAAAATGCCACATGATTTGGAAAAGGAATATGTTAAAACAAAACCTCTTTAAGGTGCCAAAAACATTTACAACATGATTAACATATAGTAACCTTGTCAATACAAATATCCCTTGTACTTGTCTCCCTCCATCGTGGTTTCTCATCTTCCCATGTAATTACTCAGCTTCTACAAATCACAAGGGATGTTAGGTTTATTCCAAAAAGCACATCAACTACCACCTAAGGAACAGCACACACATAAACATCGTGCTTCCTTTCAAACAGAAGCACTATCTCTAGAGAGGTTTAAGTACCTATAGTGTAAAAAGAAGAGTCTTTTCTCTCTGTCAGTAATATAAAGGATCTTCTTAAATCCCTATAATTGGGAGTACTAGTTCCCTTCATACAGATCCCTATTTGCCAAACTGAAAGAAATTGGGAAACTTTTAGAGGAACACATCTGTTTTTTTCAATCAAATGTTCCAGCTGCACGAGCAATTAGCCTACTGCCAACATCTGTTTTTGCTGCCACCATTTTTGATTGCTTCAGGATTCCCAGTAATGAATACTTTCCTTGTCTAAATATTCGGTTCTTTTGTCCCAACTGCTGGGGATTGTGTCTAAAAACAGTCATATAGTCTAGCCAGAGGCAGTACTTTCATCAATGATGACATCAGTTCTAATATTTTCAGCATTTCTGAATTGTGACTTCAGTAAGTGTTCTACTTACATTTCCTTGATTTTTGAACATGACAATATTTTGCAAAAGCTATGTGTATTGAATTCTCTCAAACAAACGGACATTGAATGGCATTTCGTTTTTTTTTGTTGTTGTTTTTTTTTAACATTTCCTGGCCAGTGAAGGCCATATATGCCATTGCCACTGTCACTGTTCTTTAAAGACACTTTGCCTTTCACGTAGAAGAGCACAAAATTAATCTTGAAATAATCTTGGAAGCATTTGCAGGGATTATAATTTTATTAAAAATGATGCAAATGTAAATCAGAATAATATTTGGCAAAGTAATACATTCCACAAACTCTCGTGATATTTCACAGTTCAAATATACCAACTGTAATTCTTCTGGAATCCAGATATAATAAAGAAGTTGAGATGGTACAGAAAGTAAAGACTTCTTCCATATTGAACTGTAGCGGCTGGTCAAATAAGATTTGTAACAAATCAAAATATCAGATATATCAGAATAATTGAACCTAATAAGATGCACCCGTCTCCAGGTCAATATCTTACCAACTTTGTGGGCTTGATGACATTCTTTAAACAATTGCCATGGTCTTATGGCACAAGAACACATCAGCCAATCCTATTTACTTACTCAACAAAATCATATCCCATTCTGACTGAGTAAAATAGGTTAAAGACATTAAAGGACCACTATACTGCCAGGAAAACAAACTCGTTTTCCTGGCATATAGTGCCCTGAGGGTGCCCCCACCCTCAGGGTCCCACTCCCGCCAGGGTTGAAGGGGGAGGAAGGGTGTTAATCGCTTACCTTTCTCCAGCGCCGGGCTCCCTCGGTGCTGGGGACTCTCTTCCTCCTTCGGTCATCATCGGCTGAATGCGCATGCATGTCAAAAGCCGCGCGCGCACTCAGCCAGTCCTTAGGAAAACATTCTCAATGCTTTCCTATGGACGCTGGCGTTTTCTCACTGTGAAAATCACAGTGAGAAGCCTGGAAGCGCCTTTAGTGGCTGTCAATGAGACAGCCGCTAGAGGCTGGATTAACCCATTTGTAAACATAGCAGTTCATGCTATCACCTGATGTCACAGGTGAAAATTCAAGAATACCATAAACTTCTAAAGAAATTGGTGCTAAAATGGCTGTATAATAAGGCTCAAAACATACCATGTGATGTACCCTGTGGTGTCCACTTTCTCAAATGGTATGCATTTATGGGGTAATTTGAACTGTCAGACTGCTACAAAGCCCCACAATGTGGTATAGACACATCAAATACATACAAATTCTGATTGTAAAAACTGAAATGGCACTGTAGCTTCACAAAAACCTTGTTATATGTGTGTATGTTAAAAATCAGAAACAAAACACAATTTTAATACCGGGGCCAGGGATGTGGAGCTAACCCTGGTTTACCACATAGCATCCACGTGCACACGTATTCAGCTGTGACGGGAATGTCTCTGACCCGTCATCCATCATTTTACTCTGTGTACTTTGTGAACTTGTACTACCAAAATAAACTGAAATCCTAGACATATTAGATACCCTGTAAATCAGGACATATACATTCATTTATTTGAATAACTTTTCTTAAACTGCACTAATTATGCACACACTATTATTGCCAAAACTGAAAAAATGTGTATATAATATGTGTTGATGCATTAAATGAGAAAGCTGGAAAATAGACATAGTAAAAATGCCAAACTTGAAAGGAAAAGCATCTAAAGCTTTATCTTTACAGTGTTAATTGATGTATAAATAAAACAAAGTATGGTAATACATTTTACACATTATATTGTAAATACAATGCATATAAATCATGAAAATCAGTGAAATGTGTTTTGTGTGAACTGATATCACAGGTGAACAAGTGACTTACGTAGGATTACTGCAATGACGCTCTGCACTCTGTATTCCAGCACCGCAGGTTCTCGTACACGATGACCATGAGCTCCATGAACTCCACATACCATCTACAGGAGTCGGGCGATGGCCAACAGGAACACAGTCTCCACTAAAACACCACTGCATACAATATGGATAAGGAGTGTCTTACTAATTTTACAATGATCTTCACAGTAATCCTAGCTATGTACTTCCACCACATTTCTAAATCCATAAATATGGTTTACAGTCCATCTCAATGAAGTGCAGTGGCTACACAGTTACACATCACTGACGAGGCCCACAGAAGGCCAAAATGATCGTCCGGAGTATCTGTATCTCTTGTCGGTTCTGGATTGCCCTTATGGGTGGGATCAGTCTGATATGCAAATGCTATAGGTTCTCTCTGTAATGGCACAAGTCAGCAAAAAAACAAAGTGCAAGCTACTGAGGTTCCTCTAAGTTTTTGCCCATTCTCAGAGTTCTCATATTCTCTATTTGTTTGCAATGTTAAACATTACTATTTGTGGCCACCTGCACCACGCATCTTTTTTTGTGACAATTATGACGCAATATGCTGCTACACCACGTCCTATTTTGCAAAGAAGACTATGCATTATATTCCTGTTTCTGGGAACTCCTTGACTCAGCTTGGTTTATTATTCATGTTATTTCTGCACTCCTTCACTTCAGCTTGTTGATGACTTCTTATTTGCTATTTTGTCTACATATAGGCACAGCATTACATTCATCTATCTAATTATACTCATATATCCCATACTCCCAGTCTCTGTTAGGATAGACCTTAAATTCAGATTCTGCATGTTGGGTCTCTTTGACTCCATGACATTTCCCATCCCAAATTCCCATGTGTAATGGCCCATGACAGGCTCCTTACTTGGTGTGGCCTTCGGTCCATTTTCAAAGTGCCCGACTGCTCAGACCACCCCTGGTTACACTCTTTATTCTCCTGCATACATCATTAATTCCAATATGATCTTAAAAACTGAGTTAGTCCCACTATGCTCCTAGACATACCTTTAATCCCATCACTCCTAGAGACCGCGTTATGTCGGGCCAGTTACATTCGTCATGCTTATAGAAACAGCATTCATTTAAAAAAAAAAAATAAATAAGATATGGTATTATACCCCCAATATTCTAGATATAGCATTAATCCTACCACTCTCCTACAACCTACATGCTCATAGATAGGTGACCCACTCAGGTAGTCAAAGGCTTTATAATATGGCTAAAATTGATTATGCTTATGCAGAAGTGTAACTTTCCCATACAATCTACAACATTCCAATTACTTTTTCGACACTCCTAAAGGCTATCCACCTAATTATCCCCTATATACTGTATTACTCTTTCTTCATAATGTTTCTGGAGTTGTGAATTCCTTTACTAAGTACCTTGTTTTCCCCGCAGGTTGTTCCATCTACAGCAGCATCAAGCTTGGAGTGACATGTTGAGCCCACCGAGCACCAGAGAGTGTTACAAACATTCTGCAAGGATAGAATATGGCAAATATTAAAAGCAATGAATCACTTTCAAATAGTGTTATGTGTTTTGAGAGCATTTAATTTGCATCAATTAACACATTATTATAAAATTGTGCTGTGCTTTTATAGAAAAGAACCACATTTACAGTACACAAAGGCATATTTTTAGGTAAGTTCCTTACATCAATGTCCAGACAGTAACTGGAAGTAGATCCGTACTGCAGGCGACATTGGTGTCCAACATCATACAACACCCCAGGGGGCACAGAAGGAAAATTCAGCAACTCCTTACTGGGAGGATCATCTAGACAGAGCCCCCATCCACGGCTGTAAGAATATATGCAGATCATGACAAAACAGTGGACACAATTAGAATGTAACATCGTATCCCAGACTTAGAATGGATTATTTTGAAATCTGTATTATATCTGAACACATTTATCAGATGCATGACTATTTTGCAAAGCAGTCTGTAGTTGTGATGTGGCAGGAAGTGGCTGATCTTGTTTTTGTTTGGAAATGTAAGAGGAAGTAAGTGGGGGGAAGGTCAGTGTGAGGGGGACAGAAAGAGCAGTGATTATTTGGTCAGTTCAGGGGTGCGTAGGCTGCTCAGTAAGATTTATATTGATGTAAATAAAGACAGATAAAGTTAGCGGAGATTTGGCTGGGAATCCGCACAAAGAAACAATATCCTGTTCAGTTTCTAGCCAGGAACTCCATCTTTGTACTCAACATGAAATATCCTGCAGATAGGCAGATGGACTTGGAGTGTTTTGTAGTGACATACAAATGAACAGTAAGCCTTATGTAGTGAATACAGAGAACGTACAATATAGGCCAATAATTGCTAAACGTTGCATTACAGATTTCTGTGAATTGAATTCCCCATGATGCTCAGCTAAGCCAATGGCTAGCTGACCACCACAAGTTATGTAGTTTCAGTCAATTCCACTATTTTATTGTGATTGCCTCACTTAGGACTTTGTCTCATTCATTACTCATTGTTACTAACAATTGTATACATCTAATTTTATTGTAAGAAAACATGCATATATAAAAAAAAACGAAAAAAATAGTTAATGGGACTTGATTATGAAAGCATTTATTTAGCCCCTTTAGAAAAATAGGTAAGCAAGACACTGAACCTCAATGTACTGCTTACATGCGACACACATGATGTGTATCCGAAGCTCTCACTCCTAATTCTAGCATCTTGTTGAGTAACTTCCACCTTGTATAAACGTATGTAAAAACTGAATGTCTAATAAGTGATTATCATTTAATTGTATAAGCCTAATGTTGAAAACTTAATGCAAAATCAAAGTAAATCTAAAAATAATAAACGTAGAAAATAAAATAGAATGAAAGTAAATCTCTTACTCCAAGAAGCGGGTTATGTAATCTCTGCTACAGCGAGACCAGGTGAGTGGGGCTGTATCATATACAAGTTGTGGTGACATGATGTGTGGTCTCTTTCCTTTTGGTTGACATTCATTGCCACTGCCATCATGCTGTACACCAAAGCTAGAAAATAACAAGTGCACAAATCAGCCAGGTGAGATCAAGTGACAGAGAGCAATCATGACTTATTTTGGGATCAGTAACTATTGTATTCTGTGTATTCCATGATGCTCGTCCAGCTGAGAATGAAGTGAAGTTCACAAATTATATACCAGCTCTTCTACAGATTAAAAAAAATACTCTAAGCAGAGAAAGTAAAAGAACAAAATAAGAAAGGGAAAATATGGCAAAGAGTATGAAGAGAGCACTGAAATAACAAAAAAAAACATGGAGGAAAAGGTTCTATTGACTAGACAGAGAGACTGGTACAAAAACGCCTGAGGAGTAACAGTTAACTCCCCTTTAACAGTTATCTAAAAATAAATTTCTCAGTACTTTCTATTAAACAGGAATTCAATATGTGCTGAAAGATTTACTAAACTGAGGATTGGATATTATCTGTAACATAAAACATGGTACCTGTGTCCCAGCTCATGAGTAACTGTGAATGCGGTGGGTAGGCCAGTATCCTCGTTAATGTTACAGCTGCGATGTGGTTGGCACATGCCAGACACGTGAGAGAGTCCAAGGGTTTCACAGGGGCGATTCATGGCAGCACAGATGTCTCTTCTGCAACATCATGCATGTATGGGTCAAATATATTAATTTTCGCAAGAAAAATATAAGCAAAGTTAGAAATTTCCATCCCTATGAGAGTAAATATTAAAGTAAATAATGGCGACATACCAGATAGTGCTGAATTTTTTCATTTACTAGAGGGATATGATGTAAAGCAGCATTTTGGTTTGGTGTAATGTAAGACATTGTGGATTCTGTGATGGACATGATGGAAGATTGTTTTGAATAATGTTGTAGGCCCTGTTTTGTCACCTATTGAATATTTTCACATTTGCATAAATTTATACCAGAAGAATTTATTTCACTTCCACTAGAACCTTTATGGATGCCGGGAGGTAAAATAAAATGAATGTTTTGTCTTAATGTTTTCTCAAACAACTTTTGTTTTCAGCGTATATCAGACTGAGCTGGCCCATATTCATGTTTATACTGGAATTCCTGTGCAGAAACATCTGTGATATGCAAAAGTGTATCAGTTAGAACTGTAGATTTCCACGGAATCCACATATTGATTACTTTCTAGTTTGTCCACATATTGATTACTTTCTAGTTTGTCCACATATTGATTACTTTCTAGTTTGTCACCTGGTAAGGAGCACGGCAACGTCATGATGTAACGGATGCTCCTCGCCCTTCATATTTAGGCTCTTCTGCCACTTACAGAAGCTACGCAAAGTGTTATCAGCATGATGAGTGATTTTCAATTCCTCCTTAAAGAATAAAAATTCCAAGAACTTTAGCATTAAGAAAATATGTTTTTCTGTCTAACATGACCCTGTCTCAGTCACTTCTTTCAGCCTTTTGCACTCACCCTCAACCATTTCCCAGATCCGTAGCTTTTGTCCCCCATTACTATTTTATTTAGTCAACCACACATTCCATTCTTAACCCTATTGTCCTCACTCCCACATCTGTCTTTTGCTTTCTCTCCTCCTCCCCTCTGCTATATTAACTACTCTAAGCTCTCTCTTGTTTACCTCCCTTTATTTTCTTGCACCACTTCCACAGTGGTTGGTGCATGTCAGTAGGAAGTCTCTTCATGTTACCTCCTCACTCTCTAGCAGGATCAGGCGTACAATGACAATGTTTATTCTGTTCCCAATGCTAGCGTCATGAAAAAGTCCAGCTACCTGCAGTAAATGAATCAAAAGAGTAAGTGCAAGCAGAACAAAAAAGGATGTATGGAAATACAGACATATGGCAGGACAAAATAATGAAAAACGTTAACAATATCATAATTTCTTACCATATTCATGATAGTTAAGACATAGTTTTCCACGTGATTTCTACCATGGTATTCTACCATCTTCTGGTCAGCCACAACTAGCGTCTCCACCCACTTCTCCTTGCTAATGGAACGTGGCCTGATACGACGTGTCTGGTTGTTTCTAAGCTGTGAGTGCTCCCAGCGCTCTCTTCTTTTCTCCCATTTGTTCTGGGAATTTGGATGCTCTGTTATTTAGAAACATAGGTTTAATAGGCCTGTTTACAAAAAGAAAAATGAATATTTTCTGATTTGTTAAAATCACACTATAAATAATACCTTATTTACTATTGTTCAAACCTGTGACAAGCGTGTATTTCAGCACTGGAAGGCAGACTGTGAACTTTCCACCATAAGGCCATCCTAGAATGATGGCCCAAAAATGCATTGTGTGCAAAACCCACACAGCATGACGGTCCAGCATACTAGCAGTCATCAAAATTGGCTAAAAATTATTTTGCAGAAATCGCAAATAAACAGCAAGCAAACTGGTTGCATATAGCTTGCTGTGCTCTAAGAGTATGTCCACTATATTCATTTTACAAAAAAAAATGCAGATTTTAACAGAAATGTGCACATACAAATTAAGAGCCAGCAATTGCCCAGAGCATCTGTTTTTAAAAGGACTTCTCATTGAGCTTAATTGAGAAGTATGTGATTGGACAGCCACAGGGCTGGGATGATGAAGGAAGGGAGGGTTTGCAAAGGCTGCAGACAAGAGATCTGCAGCTTTTGCAAACTGTTTTTCAATGTATTCCCAATTTAAAAAAAAAAAGAATAATTAAATAATAATTAAATACATGCATGATTTCATAGTGGATATATCTACTAGATGGTGTTTTGTTTTATTTTTATTTGAGAAGTGGAGTGTCCTTTTAAGTGGTTCCAACTGCGAGTTAAGGACATATGCATATTCAGATGAGTGCTAACTTTCAGTTCTCTATTTACATTTAAAATATGATAAGAGTGTTTGCCTGGTAGCATCTGGAACTTGGTTGGAAAATATTGGAGAAACAAAAACCTATTCTACAATTACAAGTTATTATTTTAATAGATTATGATGCGGATATGAAAGTGTGTATACTTAAGCCAAGGAAACTGTCATAGATTCCTTTATTTTAAGCTCAATTATTATTTTTTTTAAGTTGTAAGCACATACCTTTATGCAGGTTTTGTTTAATCATCTATATTGAATGTTTTGTTTTTTTAAATAATTTTTCGGTGTTAACCAGGACTGCCATCCTGAAATGTGGGGACTCTTATAAAACCACTGGTTGGGGCCCCTCCCAGTCATTATCTCTCAAATAAGTATAAATATGCACCTACACAGACACATGCTCATTGTCACGATTCGGGGAACCAAACACGCCAACACACACACACACAAAGTGCCGTACCGGACCTTAGAGTGGCCGGGCTAAGCACACAAAGAATAGTCAGGAAACAAGCCGAGTAAGGGGAACCAGAAGACAGAATAACGATAGACAAGCCGAGGTCAAAGGGTAGGAGAAAGTCACAAAGTCGGATAACAAGCCAGAGAGTACGTAACCAGAAGCACAAGTTCAGAATCAATACTAACAAGCAAAGACCACAACAGGGCGAAGAGGAACAGGAAAGGTAAGTATATAAATCCAAAGGTTAATTCTGATTGGATAATTTCCAATCAGAATTAACAATCACACGTGGGAGATATCTAAACTTCCCACTGTGATTGAGGCACTGTGTCTTTAACGCTGGGTCAGGTGACTGACCCCGGCGTTGGTTAAAGTGGGCGGTCTCCCAGCGTGCAGCGTCATGCATGCTGCCGCTGGGAGACACAGAGGAAGAGGCGGACGGCACCCGTGGGAGAGAGGGTGCCGCCCGCCGAGCACACGGCTGAAGGGGGACCGCGGACGGCTGGAGGGTGAGTGCCGCGAGCGGACTGCAACCTCCCCTCGCAGCCGCCCGCGGGACCCTGACAGTACCCCCCCCTCGAAGACCGCCCAGAGGGCGGGAAGCAGAAGGCTTCAAAGGAAACCGGGCATGAAAGGAGCGGACTAAAGAGGGGGCGTGCAAATCAGAGCTCGAAACCCAAGACCGCTCCTCAGGGCCGTAACCCTTCCAATCCACCAGGTATTGCAGCCGACCCCTAGAAACACGAGAGTCGAGAAGGGCAGCTACTTCGAACACGTCACTAGAGACAGTACGAGGGGAAACGGGCCGTCCGAGAGGACGAGAGAACCGGTTACACAGCAAGGGCTTCAAAAGCGAAACGTGAAACGTGTGCGGAATACGCATGGAAGGAGGCAAGTCCAGGGAGTAGGAAACGGGGTTAATCCTACGTAACACTTTGTAGGGACCAAGAAACCTGGGAGCAAACTTCATGGAGGGGACCCTGAGACGGAGGTTCTTGGAGGACAACCACACCCTATCACCCGGAGCATAAGAAGGGGTCGCACCCCTATGGCGATCAGCGAACTTCTTCTGAGCAGCTGCTGAACGAGACAGCGCAATATGGACCTGATCCCACGTCTTCCGTAAAGAGGCGAGGTGCTGGTCCAAGGCGGGCATTCCCTTGTCAGAGAACGCTCCGGGAAGGACAGAAGGCCGAAACCCATAAGCAACCTCAAAAGGACTTAAGCCAGTAGACGAATGAGACACCGTATTCCTGGCAAATTCAGCCCACGGAAGAAGGCGAGACCAGTCGTCCTGGTGCGCATTAGTGAAGCAGCGCAAATACAATTCCACAGACTGATTAGCACGTTCGGCTGCACCATTAGATTGCGGGTGATAGGAGGAAGTGAACGACAAGGAGACCCCCATCTCAGCACAAAAGCCCCTCCAAAACCGAGAGACAAATTGCGGGCCCCTGTCAGAAACAATATCCTGAGGTACCCCATGCAAGCGGAACACTTCCTTGGCAAACACCTGGGCAAGCTGAATCGCAGAGGGTAGTTTCTTAAGTGGAATAAAGTGGGCCATCTTAGAGAACCTATCCGTCACAGTTAATATCACCGTCTGACCATCAGAAGGAGGAAGGTCTACAATAAAATCCATGGACAAGTGGGTCCATGGTTTCTTGGGTATAGATAGGAGGCATCAGTAGGCCTTGGGGTCTCATATTAGGAGACTTACACTGCGTACAGACCCGACAAGCCTGAACAAAATCCACTACGTCTCGCTTGAGTGAAGGCCACCAGAACTGTTGAAGGAGGCTCTTATAAGTCTTGGTAACCCCCGGATGACCAGCAGTTTTGGCAGTGTGAAATAATGTTAACAACTTTTTTCTGTCACTTACTTTCACGTATAGTTTACCAACAGGCGTCTCCTGAGGCGCTTGGGTTTGGTATGTCTTAATATTCTCAAGGAAGGGAGATGAAACAACCAAACGGGTAGCAGCTATGATCTGAGAAGCTGGTACAATAGGTTCAGGGGTTGGGTTAACAAATTCTAAAGGTTCATACTGTCGAGAGATAGCGTCAGCTTTGGCATTACGGCAACCAGGTCTATAGGTAATAATGTATTGGAATCGAGACCATCTAGCGTGTCGGGCGGACAACCTTCTAGCATCGGCTATATAGGAGAGGTTCTTATGATCTGTTAGAACCATAATTTTGTGTCTAGAACCCTCTAATAAGTACCTCCATTCCTTAAAAGCTAACACAATAGCTAATAGTTCTCTGTTCCCAACATCGTAATTCTTTTCTGGATCAGACAACCTTTTAGAAAAGAAACAACAGGGATGGAGGGGTTCGTCATACGATAACCTTTGTGATAGTACTGCTCCCACCCCCGATTCAGAAGCGTCTACTTCCATAACAAAGGGAAGAGAAGGATTAGGGTGGTGTAGTACTGGAGCAGAGGCAAATGCTTTCTTGAGAGTTTCAAAGGCTTTAAGGGCTTCAGGAGTCCAAACCCTAGGGTGTAGACCTTTTTTAGTCAGCTTTGTGATAGGGGAGATAAGTGGTGAGAAGTTTTTTATAAATTTTCTATAATAGTTAGCAAAACCTATAAAACGCTGGATAGCCTTAAGTCCTTGGGGAAGTGGCCAGGACAGTATAGCTTCCAATTTAGCAGGATCCATACTAAAACCCTGTTCAGAAATTATATATCCCAGGAATTGCACAGAGGTCTGATCGAACAGACATTTTTCTAACTTACAATAAAGTCCGTTCTGTAATAATTTTTTAAGCACCATCCTAACATGTTTATGATGTGACTTCAAATCAGGAGAATATACAAGTATGTCGTCAAGGTACACCACGGCACAGACATGCAATAGATCCCTAAGGACATCGTTTATGAGATCCTGAAACACAGCAGGAGCATTACACAGTCCAAAAGGCATGGCCAGGTATTCATAATGCCCACTACGCGTATTGAACGCTGTCTTCCACTCATCATTCTCCTTTATACGGATAAGGTTATAAGCCCCCCTGAGGTCTAGTTTAGTAAAGTACTTAGAACCTTTAACGCGATCAAACAACTCAGTGATGAGGGGGATAGGGTAGGCGTTTTTAACCGTTATATTGTTCAGACCCCTGTAGTCTATAAACGGCCTCAAATCGCCCTCCTTCTTTGCCACAAAAAAGAAACCAGCACCAGCAGGAGAGGAGGACCTTCTAATAAAACCTTTCCTTAAGGATTCTCGTATGTACTCCTCCATGACCTGGTTTTCTTTCTCAGAAAGAGGGTAGACCTTATCCCTAGGGGGCATAGTGCCCGGTAATAGGTTTATGGCACAGTCATAGTCACGATGTGGAGGTAGCTTATCTGCCTCCCTCTTTTCAAAAACCAATGCAAGGTCTGCATATACAGAAGGGACAGAAACAGAGAGTGGTTTAGCCGTGGGCACGTTGAGTAAACAAACAGGACGTACATGAGCCATACAGTCTCGTTGACAGGATTCCCCCCAGGATAGTATATCCAAGCAACCCCAATCGAGAACAGGGTTGTGTTTCACTAACCAGGGAAAACCCAGAACGATGGAAGCAGTAGGGGAGTCAATTATTTGGAAGGTTAACCTTTCCTTATGCAAAACACCTACAGACATCACTATTTCTTGGGTCTCATGGGTCACCAGAGGTTTCTCAAGTGGTCTACCATCTATGGCCTCAACGACCAAGGGTGTGGCCTTTTGGATCAAAGTTAAGGCTGCGGTTTTAGCGAAGTTCTCATCCATAAGGTTATCTGCCGCACCTGAATCGATCAAGGCTTTGGTGGTTATGGTGGTTTTATTGACCAAAAGAGAAACCGTAATAAACGGTCTGGAGATGGACACATGAGGGGACAAAGTCATAACACCCGAGGCCGACCCCTCTCTAGGCCTTAGGTGCTGTAGTTTCCCTGTAACTTAGGGCAGGCATTACAGTGGTGCCCCCTCTTTCCACAATAAAGGCATAACCCCTCCCTTCTACGATATGCTCTTTCAGCCTCAGTTAGCCCCGTAGCACCCAATTGCATGGGTTCGGGGGTTGGTTGACTAGGAGCGGGTAGTGCTAGTAAAGCAGTAGAGGGGGGAGCAGGTAATGCCCGTGTATCCATCCGTCTTTGACTACGCCTCTCTCTAATACGGTTATCAATAAGAATGACATAATCTATGACATCATCTAGAAGAACAGGCAATTCCCTGGATGCTATTTCATCCAGTATGTAGGCGGCCAAACCCTCCTGAAAGGCTGTTACGAGGGCATCATTATTCCAAACCACTTCAGCTGCTAGCGTGCGGAATTTGATACTATAATCCGCTACAGATCTATTACCCTGTCGTACCCTAAGCAGAGCTTTGCCAGCAGAGGCAACCCTACCGGGTTGATCAAACGTACGTTTGAAAGCTGTCAAGAAATCCACAAAGGACATAGGAGATGTATTCTCCCACATGGGGTTAGCCCATGCTAAAGCTTTCCTGGACAGGTGGTTAATCAAAAAGGCAATTTTGGATCTGTCAGTGGGATAGGAACGTGGATTCATCACCAAATGGATGTCAATTTGGTTAAGGAAACCACGACACAATGCTGGGTCACCGCTGTAGCGTTGTGGCGGTGTCATGTGAACAACATGAGCAGGAACGGGTACCGGAGTGGGAATGGGTTCGGGCACAGCAGCAGCAGCCTCCTGGACGGCAGGTTGCAAGTGTGCAGTACGAGCCAGTATGGTTTGTAAAGCTTGGGCAAACTGGTCCATACGGTGGTCCAAGCCATCCATTCTAGCCTCCTGATTAACTAGGAGCTGTGGTATGTCAGCAGGTTCCATTATGGCCCTGTTGTAATGTCACGATTCGGGGAACCAAACACGCCAACACACACACACACAAAGTGCCGTACCGGACCTTAGAGTGGCCGGGCTAAGCACACAAAGAATAGTCAGGAAACAAGCCGAGTAAGGGAAACCAGAAGACAGAATAACGATAGACAAGCCGAGGTCAAAGGGTAGGAGAAAGTCACAAAGTCGGATAACAAGCCAGGGAGTACGTAACCAGAAGCACAAGGTAAGTAGCAATACTAACAAGCAAAGACCACAACAGGGCGAAGAGGAACAGGAAAGGTAAGTATATAAATCCAAAGGTTAATTCTGATTGGATAATTTCCAATCAGAATTAACAATCACACGTGGGAGATATCTAAACCTCCCACTGTGATTGAGGCACTGTGCCTTTAACGCCGGGTCAGGTGACTGACCCCGGCGTTGGTTAAAGTGGGCGGTCTCCCAGCGTGCAGCGTCATGCATGCTGCCGCTGGGAGACACAGAGGAAGAGGCGGACGGCACCCGTGGGAGAGAGGGTGCCGCCCGCCGAGCACACGGCTGAAGGGGGACCGCGGACGGCTGGAGGGTGAGTGCCGCGAGCGGACTGCAGCCTCCCCTCGCAGCCGCCCGCGGGACCCTGACACTCATAAAGGCAAAAATTCCCACAGACAGACACAAGCATAGACCAGGGCCGAATTAAAAGCCCATTGGCCTGGTGCCCATTGGCCTGGCTCCTCTTGCACTGTGTACTTCGAAAAGGTACTGTAATGTAACATCCTACCAACACTGCTGCTAAGTTGAAGGGGAGCGGGCAGTGCCCTCAGTTGAGGGGCATGCTCCAGTGGAGAACGTCAATGCTCTCCAGTTGTGGAGTTCTTTCTGTCTACTAAACTGGACCCTTTTTGGACCTCCTTTCCACTATTGCCTGCAGCCCCCAGCAATTTTGAGTGATCTTAAGTCATTATCCAACACAAACTCACTCTCACCTGCCTGGCTGGTGCACATTCACAAAGCAATGTGCAGCTGGGCAACTTTCCCAGCAATTCTCACTTCTCCTTTCTATTAAGTGTGAGGTACTCTGCTGTGCATTGTTTGTGAAGACACAGTAACCAGGCAAGTGAGATAATGGTTGATTCCAGCCCAAAGATCACTTAAAATGACTCAGACAGGGAAAATAAGGGAAGGTTATGGAGAAAAATAGTAAAAGAAAAAAAAAAATCAATGTGGATGATTAACCAAACACTTATTAAAATGAAAGTAAGTACACATTATAGCATTGGTTCTTCACTGAAATAAATTCAATGTATTACAGTCTTATTACATATTCTGAACAAGAATACTTCAAACTAGACAATCCATCTATTTGTAAATGCCAGGGTTGCATTGGCCAAGAGCAATATGGGTAATGCAACCTAAGCATGTGCCAATATGTTCATGTGAACAATTAATTGTGCATTGTTATATAAAGATGGCAAGTACAATCAGCTAATTGTCTTCCACAAAAGCTATTTGGGTGATAGCATTCTGATTGAGACGAGTGGTGTAACCTTATTTGAACACATGACGACAAATATTATCACACAATATCCTATTGTCAAACTTAGTACTCAAAATTCGTCTGAAAAGACATGTTTCAAAATGCTCAAATGCCAAAAAGAATGTCACCATACCCATTATCTGTTATCATCACATAATTATCACAGTCATTACTTTAATTTTATTAAATTCATGTTTATTTAATCAATCATGTTTTATAACAATAAAGTGTATGTCCTCAAAGTGTCCCTATCGATGGTTTTAGTTTTTTTCTCTCTTTATGCCAAATGTATTTTAATGACCCCCCTCCCACCCATCTTATCTTTAATATTTTATTGTCTTCCTTCTGCAGGACTTCATGATGTCTATTTGCCCTTCAGTGACATTCATTTTACTGATGAATTCTGGATAGATTTAACTGGCAAATTAAGCAAACCTTTACTTAAGTGGTCTCTCCGTGTCATCTCAAAGAAGTTCTATCAGGTGTCAAGTCCATGGGCAGCATCTTTGCTAAAGCTGTTAAACCATTTGGAAATTGTTTAACACCAAAATTGGGTCTATGGGCATCCCTCTGCACTGCCTCCACTCTCCTAGCTTTACTGCTATAATGATAAAGAATGTTCTCTTGGAACTCTGGTGATAGGTTGAGGGTTATACCTATCTCTGGCTGCACATTGTGAGTCACATTCTCTCTGCCTCTCACTGGCCATCTATTGTGAGTAACAGCAGGGTATGAGGCAGTGTGGACAGATGTTGGAGGATCCAACTTTGGTGTTAAACTGTTTGAAAATGGTATAACATATTAAGGTTATATTGCACCCAGGGACTCCAGTCCCAAAACAACTTTATTAAGATGAAGTTGTTTTGAGAATGAAGAATCCCTTCAAGCTCCATTGTGAAGTTTTGGCAAGTAGTTCCTACTTTTCCTTATCTAATTTATGAAAGCTAGAGTGCTCAGGAAAAAAATTAAAATACATTCAGACACAAGGAGCTATATAGAAGCAGATTAGATGATGTTCACTTTCAGTGATAGAGCCACTGTAATAAGCAGCTGGACTGTCACTTTTTCTTAAAGAAGAGGTTTTTGTCCCATGCAGTCTAGATGCTTAATTCTTAGCCATGTGGGAGTTAAAGTATGCAGTCCTTGCCATATCTGCCATGGCTGTGACTTATACTGCTCAATACACATGTCCTGAAATATAAATCTTATTTTAAATGCACAATATGATTTATTTAGAATGTCTTCTCTCCTACTCTGATAATTGCCTGCTTGAGACTGCAGCAGCACTCTGTGTGTGATCAATGTTAAAGTGACACTATAGTCACCTGAACAACCTTAGCTTAATGAGGTTGTTCAGGTGAGAACTATAGCTCCCTGCAGCCTTTCTCATGTAAACACTTTATTTTCTGAGAAAATACAGTGTTTACATTGAAAGCTAGGAACACCTCCAGTTGCAGTCACTCAGAGTGAACCAGAGGGACTTTGAATACTGTGGTCTGCATCCATAAGGTCTTCGCATGTAGTATGGTGGGTAACGCCGCCTACGGTACGGGCGTTGCTGATTAGGACCTTCTCCTTCAGGTGCACTCTCAACTTCTTCTGGTTTCTCTCCACCCTCATTGTTTGGATAATTCTGCTGGTAGTTACGTGAAGGACCTCTACGACGTGGATAACGCCTATAATGATTACGGTCTGCTGCATATTTACTGCCTTGGACTGGAACACCACCAGGGCCAGTTACATTAGCTGCTTCTGCACCCTTTTCGCCTTCTACTACATCGAACTCCACAGTCTCTCCATCTCCAACACTGCAAAGGTATTTTCTAGGGTTGTTTTTCTTGATGGCAGTCTGATGTACAAACACATCTTCTTTTGTGTCATTCCTGTTGATAAAGCCATATCCATTTCGCACATTAAACCATTTGACAGTCCCCAAAACCTTGATTGCGATGACCTTCTTCTCTCCCACAGTGGCCACCGGTTCCTGGGCGGGCTTGTTCTCCAAGGCAGCTGGCGGCTGCTGCTGTTGCTGCTGTGTTTCGACCTCGCTACTCATGGTGGTGATTAATGGATGGTTTTAGCTTTCAAAGGTGTTGACTTCGGGCCGGCGGTGGCTCGTTCTGTGACCTTTTATTCCCCCTGGGTGTTGATGGTAACTCAGGCCGGCGGTGGGGCTGGTGCCTCCTTCGAGCTCCCTGCTGTCCGCTCTCCGCTCCCGCTACCGATCGAACTACCGACTTCTGAGTTGATGGAGGCATCCACTCAGATCTGCTGTGCTTGAGTATCCTGTGATTCAGTATCTCCTCCCACTGCATGCAGACACTGAAATTTCCTCATAGAGATTCATTGATTCAATTCATATCTATGAGGAGATGCTGATTGGCCAGGGCTGTGTTTGAATCATGCTGGCTCTGCCCCTGATCTGCCTCTTTGTCAGTCTCAGCCAATCCTATGGGGAAGCACTGTGATTGGATCAGGCTATCATATGTCAGCAGGCTGCTTGTTTTTCCTGAGTCCAACAGCATGCAGAGTTACAGCTTCTGGCTTAAATACAGTAAGAATTTTACTATATTTATGGAGGCATGAGGAGCCCAGGGGGGCTAGATGGCCGTGTTAACACTATAGGGTCAGGAATATATGTAGTTGCACTGGTGACTATAGTGTCCCTTTAAATTAACAGGGAACTTCTACAGAAAATACACTGTGCAGGGTAAAATCTGCTGGTGTTTTTAATGAAAGTTCTGTGAGTCAGTGCCAGGGAAGAATTGGCTAAGACTGCATAAAATTTGAGAAGACAACTAGCATATAATCTGCACACCAAAACCACTTTATTAAGCCACAATTTTGTAGTTTTGGTGTTTATAGTGTCTCTTAAATCTAACAAATCAGCTATGCTTTCAGTTTGACTACTTATGTCAAGAAAAAAAAAAAACACTTTGAATTCCTGACAATTCTCACTAATAATCTTTTTGGTCATAGATTGTCTCTTTAAGTATCACTATCTACCTGAAAAAAACTGTGATTTACACCTTTTGAGTGAATCTGTAGTGAAAAAAAACTGTTCTAAATACAAGATTGTTCTTATATATGCAACTATTTAAAATATGTGAAAACATAATGAACCAAATCATAACATTTTGATATTCTACACATTGCTATACATGTCTTTGAAGTAGCAGGCCCATGTTAAGGCTAAATATGAGCCATGAGATTCTTACCCCTAACACCACATTGTTTGTAGCCAGTCGGTCCTTCTGTCTTAAGCTCTTCCAAGTGACGCCTGTAGATTCGATGGGGCATTGACTCTCCTGAAGATGGTGAAGTTTCCATTGGTTCAATGAGGAAGTCCTCTTGTGCCAGCTGGAAAACCCCCCTCTGTAACATAAAAGACATGGATAGGATGGATAATTGATATGTTGTAAGGATATTCTGCTGGTCACTGCAAGAGTTAAGGAAGAAAGCGACAGTGAATGTATGCCCTGAGGGGAAATGGATGCACTACTACTTGTGATAATAAACTGAACATCAAAACCAGATGTGTGGACACGTCAGACAGCGGACACCTGGCATCTCACCACTGTACCAAACACAACATCAGACAGCTCACACCTGGAATTCCACTCCCCCCCAGACATGTTATTTTGTACATCTGGAATTCCCTACTAAACACACCAATCCCAATTCATTCCCAAATAATAGCCAGATGCACTCTTCTCTCTGTAGCTTACCCTGTGCAACAACGTGTTTTTTAATGTCTCGCTAAAAAATGTCAAGGTGTAGATATTTTATATGAATTGAGTCAATTAACACAAACATTAAACTTACCAGTCCACTGCATATACTGACAGCAGCCTTCCCCATGAAGTGGTTTTGATCTTGCACCTCCCCCCTCATGTGGCAGTAACTCGGGGTCCAGGTACGTATTCTAGCCTCTCGTATACCTCCATTATGCCACTCACTTACATAGCCGGGGGACAGCAGCTGGTGGTTCTGGGTAAGGTTAAAGATCAGCTCCACTCCCTGGTACTTGATTGCATAGTAAGCAGGGGGAGCAGAATGGGGAGCTATACCTCTTTTTTTAATTATCCGGGGTGAAAGATCAAAGGTCAGAAAAGAGCCCTGTTCATCCACACGGACAGGGTGAACAATTTCAGAGTCCAAAGAGAATCGGAGAGGAACATCTGCAACTGTGGGAAAATCAAAACAGACAACACTATAAAGTTAATATAAAAGGAATATTATTTATTAGTCTTAAAACAAAATGACAAATTCAGAAAATTTTGTGCCAAACGGCATCCTTAATCACCTTTTATATAGGGATATGATTGTGAACATAACCTGGAAACCTATAAACTGTGTATAATGCAGGTCTAATTATAGAGCTGCGGAAACTCTGTTTTTATGCTATAGCATGACACTTTTATGCTTTTTAAGATGTATTCTTTTATACCAAATATAGGGTGTAAAATTATTGATAATGCTTGTCTTCATTCTCTGTATGCTAATACTGGCAGCTGAGGGGACCCTTTGGCATTTCACCCTGCAATCTATAACAGAGTGCTGTCTTCCTCACTACTAGAAAGAAAATTACTTGTACTCCATTTTTTTGTTGCAATAGTTTTTAAATATTCCTGGTGACTCCAATAAACAGGACAGTGTCAAAACTGCACCAACATTAGCCCAAGTACCAAGGCTCACTTCTCACAGACGAGAGGGAACATGGCCTGTCCCATCACAAGGCACGTACTAGGGTACAGAGACACGGGAGGTGCATGCTGGGACATATGTCCCAACACAGGCAACTCCTAGACCGATAAAAGTTATCAATCAGGCTAAGGCCCTGAGCACAAGATCCAGAGCTAAGACGAAACATGCCATTATAAAGGGTTAAACTTGAAGAATACAACAGAAGGTGTGCGGGTTGCATGTACTGAAAGAACCATTACTGATACTGTCCAGGTTAAAGAGACATACTGTACAAGTTTGTACTCTAATACCCTTTTCATGTTTCTGTACCCCCACCCTGAACAGCAAAATTAAAATTGTCAAATTGGAAAAAAAAATATTCCTGGTGAAATTTAAAAAAACCTTTCTTAGTTAATCCATTAATTCCAGTCTTTATGTTATAAATCAGCACCTTGAAGTATGCGTTCATTACACGAATCTGTGATATAATAGTGTGGTGTAAATACAATCCTGATAGGTTTGTTCTAGGTAGGGAATAAAATTAATCCAGATTAAATATTGCAAATAAAGGTTACACGTGGTCATTGTTTTAAGAGTCTGTATGTGCAGAACTTCTGCCTGAAACTCTGCATATCCAGAGATATTATTTTATTTATTTTATTTATTTATAAAATATTTTACCAGGAAAGATACATTGAGATTTCTCTCGTTTTCAAGTATGTCCTGGGTCCACAAATCATTGCATTGTTACATTAGGTACAACAAAATACAAAAACAATATTAATACACAATATATACAAAATTTAACATAGAACAGGCAGGAAATATATAATCAACCATGACACATGCATTCTGTTTTGAGGTATGTAGGAGGGATCTCTTAAATGACTTTAGGCTTAGGGAAGATTTTAAATTGTGCGGGAGGTCGTTCCACAATTGCGGCGCTCTGTAGGAGAAGGAGGATCGGGCCGCTTTCTTTTTTGCACATTAGTGCCGGGGGCTATTTTGACCCCATAGCACACGTACAAAAAATAAGCCTGTCGTCAGCACACTGGTAACATACATAATTAGGTTCTCCCTTGCAGGCTGTGCATCTGCTAGGGGATTTTTTTTTAAACAAATCCCCTCCATCCCGACCTCCATCCATCTCCTCCCTCCCTGATCACAGTGTGCACATGCGCTCTGAATCAGTGAAACAGTCCAATAAAATGCCTCTCTGTGAGAAGCATTTCACTGGACCTGATGGAGAGGGAGGCTGTGACATCGGACGGGACGTCGATTCCAGAAAGTAGAGCTTCACCTGGCACTTCCTTCCATTTTCTAGGTTATTTAGTAGGGTTTTATGGGGGGTGGGGGAGAGCCTTATGAGTAATGCCAAGAAGGGCATTCTAAACTAAAAAAATATATTTTAAAAAGGGGGTTAAAGTTAATATTGCAATATGTCTCATCCAAAGTAAAACAAAAAAATAAAAAATAAAATAATATGGAAGAGTGTGCTTTGAGCATTGTACAAAGACTATAGACCTATATCTACTAAATATGCAGAATTATAGATAATATTAACCTAATTAGTTCTTGGCCTTAAAACAAACAAAAAACATTTACGTATCAAAGTAGATATGAAAATGTGCTAAACCAGCCAAAACAATGCCAGAACAGTTATTTCAACAATTTTTATCTGACTCTTGACACATATTTTGATTCAGCATAGCACACGTGACAGGTTCAACTTCATGAAATGGAGATTCTTGTTAGCCTTGCATTGCTAGCAGGGACGGATTTACATATCAGGTGCGTGTAGTCACAAAATTCTAACCCCAATAGTGACCTCCTTAGAATTAGAATTAGATAAAGTATAATTAATTTATTAACTAGATATTGCAGGCCTAAAGAAATCTAAAAAACATATATGCATTATTTGACAACTGCATGTGTTCAAATGTATGTATGTATATATGTGCATATTTCTTCACTGCTTGTAATAATATGTGTTTGAATCTATAAGTTTTGAAGCTGTGTAAATGCATACCAAGATAAATATAATGTTAGAAGTGGTTAGGGTAAGGGGGGCAGGGTGTAGACTCTCCAGTGCCCTCTATTGGTGAAGCTGAAAATGCATTGATTTGTATTATTGCAATATGCAAATTAGGAACTTGCAAACAAGTAACCAGTTACATCTGTCCATAGGTTAGAAAGTTGTGATTGTATTATATATTTGATGCATTAATTAGAATTGCTTGTTCTCCAATGATTCTTTATATTTGTATATTAAATGGTGTTCACCACAAGTGAAAAGACAAGTCACCAAATGCTAGTCCCTGCCTGGACGAAGAAGACACCAGCAGATAGGCCTCTGCAATGAGGGGAGGTGAAAGATATATCATGACCCTGGTCTCAGCAAGGATGCCTCTCTGAAGTGGCAGACCCACATGCCCTTGGGAATTTCGTTAAAGAGGAATTTCATGTTAGAGAGGGGTGAGCACGGTTTGATTACATAGGGTGTTTAGTGTTAAGAAGATTAAAAGTATGAGAGGGGTTAAAGTTATAGTACAGGTACAAAGGCCCTTTTGGATTATTGGGGTAAATGTACCATTTGATTACATAGGGTATTTTATGATTATGGAGTTTAGAGTTAGGAAGGCTTAACTTTAGTACTGAGGTACATGAAGAGTTTACTTTCAGATTTAGGCTTTGAGTGCTGGGAAATCCATTCCTGATTGCCAGTTACCATAATGCTAAGAAATACTAGAACAGCAGAAATGTATTATAACAATAGCAAATGTGTTAGTCCACTACTTAATGAGAATCCATCCACATAAAGGAACAATATTGCAGACATTACAAATCTCCTTACATTAAAGGCTACCATTGCTGTTTCCCCAATGGCACCTCTACGTAGACACACTTTTCCTTTTTTCAGATGAGGACAACAAAATATTGATCTATTGTTGAGCTTATACATTTTTTATTTATTATCCCTTTTTTTAATTAACGTCTTCTATGGGGTTAAAGTAAACATGGGCTTATGCTTTTGATGCTTTGCAATGCATAATAAATGCAAAGGAAAAGTGAATTCTACCATCAACTCAGATTCAGTAATGGTCCTCAGGCCAAAGACATAGCAAACTGAGACAGCTTCTTTCTAACGCTATGTATCTGAACAATGCTACTGAAACACTGCCACAGTTGTAAGAAGGAAGCAGAAAGGGGTAAGGGATAGTTCAAAGCATATTTGCAATCTGAATATTAGCTTGAATGAAATTGTTTTAAAAAACGTAACTATTTACGCAGGATGACAACTGGCGTAGGACTCTTGGCCAACACTTCCCTAAAATGACTATAAGCACATATATGTCCTTCCACACTGTGCCTTTGCACTGCCGGACATTTGGGATGCCACAATCCAGTGAAACGATTTGGGTAGTACTCAGTCCCAGGACCATCAAACAGGGGGCTATTTGGAAGAGGAATCAGGGAGGTGACAAAGCATCTGATGACACCAAGGACTTGAGGGAGCTCCCTGCTCCGTAGCTACAGGAAGCCAGCATTAGTGACCGGGACTTCCAACCACACGGCCTGGAACCCAGCACCAGATCGGAGAATGGTCGCAGCCCAGCCAAACTTCTCCTAATGATTGTTCAGGCGAGACGCCTCCAATCTGGACCCTTTGCACTTGCACTTCCAGAGCTTTCCTGGTATGTCTGCTGCTTGGGGATAACCTGGGGAAATGTGTTATGAATCTGGTTGTGATTCAGTTATGCCCCAGACACCAAGGCGCCAGGTGGGGAATGTGTTGTGTGCTTTGATGACCCTCTGTTGTGGATCTGTGTACATAAACTGGCCTGTTGCTAAATACAAGTTGTAATACAAGTTGTTTATGCTTTACCCTTTATCAATCCTTGGCTGGGATTTGGAATCTTAGCTATAATCACTCTAAACCTCCTGTACCAAGGAAAGGGAATACTTGGCGGAGATACTCAGTCCAAGTATTGGAGCTCCGTCACAATATGTAAATAAACTCACACCCTTGTCATATATAATCATTCTGACGTGTGCCTGTTATAGTACACACATTTATATTACATTAAAGAGGATTTTTTTCTTTTTTAAACTCTGCTACCGCAATTACTAGCAACTGTGTATATTTTGTAATACACTCATATAAAGCTTTGGTCTCTGTAGTTGTTGATGTAGTTCCACAGCAGCTGGACAGCTATTTGCGTATTACCCAAAACTTTACATTATTCATTAATTTAATTGATCTAAACTTCCTGACCAAGTCTTAACAAAGACAGTTTGATTTGAAACCTCATAATAATTTGTGTTCAAATGAGAATTCCGTGTACAGTTCTTATCACCTTAAAAGCCTTGTGTGAACTGGAATGCATGTCACATTACTTAGCCAAGTGCTTCTAGCATACATCAGCAGTGGCACTTAGACTGACACCATTATAGCTCTGCTGACTCCACTCCCTGATACTTCCTCCATTTATTTGCTGATTTGCGGTGGTTAACCAAGTTTAAAAGCCACAATGCAGGGCAAGGTGTAAGGGTTTAAATACCCTTTATATCTATAAAATGCCAAGTTGGCATCTCAGCAAGCTTGGCTAAACATTAGCATAGCATTGCAAGGGACAACTTTGGATATTCAGATCTGCAGGCTCAAATTACTTTAAGTGTAAAGCTTTGGATATTTGGCATGTCAACACACCATCACTAACTTAAAATTAAAGGGACATTATAGTCACAGAAACACTACAGCTTAATGTAGTAGTTTTGGTGTCTATAGCATGTCCCTGCAGCCATGGCCGGATTAACATAGGGGCTGATGGCGCCGCAGCTTCCGGCCCATGCCCACGGAATAAGCCCATTGAAAAAAACAAAACCCTCACTAAGTCTTCATTGAATACTATTCTACCAATCTACATCCCCAATACTTTCCTTACCTTTCGTGTCACTTTACCCCACTCCCTCTAGTATGTAAACTCATTGAGCAGGGCCCTCAACCCCTCTGTGTTTCTGTGCGTCAAACTTGTCTGGTTACAATTACATGTTTGTTAGTCCACCCATTGTAAAGCGCTGCGGAATTTGTTGGCGCTATATAAATATAATAATAATAATTTTTAATTAAAAAAAATAATTGTGTTTACTACTCTTCACGTGCTCTTGCTTAAGTATGGAAACTTAAGAGGGATGTAGGGGAACACAACTGGTGTGGACTGGCTGACAATGAAATTAGTTAAGGTAAAGCTGACTTTGCAAATGTTCTTGCTGTTTCATGATTGCTAACCCATCACACATATTACCACCATTGCTCCTCCCACCCCCCCAATAATACACCGAACACCTTCTTAGTGGATAAGGGCAACGGCCACGGCTTTATTAAATTTTGATCTTTAACATTATCCAAAAACCCTGTCAGCTGTTGAGCAGATGCCCAACAGACAGTTCTCCAACCTTTTTTCCAAGAGTCTAAACAGCCGGCACTTGCCACCAGCTCCCTTGCAGGCTGTCATCTCCCCAAAGCGACTCTTTGTCTTATCCTTTTTTCCCCTGTGCGCTGTAAAGGATACTCCCAAGCTGTGGCAAAACAGAATCATACAACACGACACCAAACCACCACAGCCCAACACAGGGTGGGAGGGCAGGAAAGTCAGTCTGCTCCTTTTCCTTGACTCTGCTGACTGGTAAGTCTCCTCCCCTAGCATCTTACAAAAAAACATCATTTTACAATATTAACCCAGCCCACTAGGCATGGGCAGCAGTCATGCTCCCCCATCCCAAGTTGTCCAGGGGAAACTATCTCTCTAACACTGTGGCATGTTCCCTCTCTTCTACACTCACTACATACACTTTTTCTCTGTCCCAGACTGTATAACAGGAGCTTCTGCCTACTAGTAAGAAGGTTAGGAAAGGAGTGGACCAGCGAGTGCTAGGGGACAGTTCTCAGAAAGCTTAGGGCTAGCGCATCATTAGACGCATTTATGCTAAGCTTAGGGTGTTGTCTGCACAGTATGCCCTTGGTTGGTCATCCTGCATGATTGGTAGGCAGCCTGACATGCATTCATGCCAGGCTGACCATCTAATTCTTTGTGCAGACATGCCCCCTTTTTGGGCATGTTTATAACCCTTTCTGGTTCCTTGATTCACAACAGTGGCCCAACCATTTGCGAAAGATTAGCATAGGGTATGTGTTTTCTGATAGCTACATCCTGTGCGGTTCCCTCCAGCACCACCTCCACCAGATACATACCACTTGGGAGGTAAAACTGTTTTAGTGTTGTCTGTCGATAAGATTCTGTAATTAGGACCATCATTATTGTCAGCACCATGCCCAATGGGCTCCTAATCTAGCCCAGCTGCAGTATTAGCGTTGTAAACACTGCCTTTTAAGAGAAAAGGCAATGTTTAAAATGCTGGCTAGTTCACTTCTAGTACAGTAATTTAGACGGCCACTAAAGGTGCTTCGTAGTCCAGTGCTGCGCATTCAGCAAATCCACCCTCTGCAGAGAGGCAGTGAACGTTCCCCATAGAGATGCACTTATTAAATGCATCTCTATGATGAGATGCTGATTGGCGCAGCGTAGCGGTTTGCTGTGCATGCACAAAAGCCTCACAATGCTTTCCTATGGGATCTCAGCAATGAAGGCGTGGGAGAAAAGGAGAATAAAATCACCTTTAACCTCAACAGAAAGGGTGCCCGGGGACCTAATGATTTATTCCGTCACATGTTTGTATTCCTGATACTATAGTATTCAGCTAAGGTTGTTTGCTAATCTCTGATTAATTGTCAATTACTACAAATTGTAGTGAACTGAATTCAGAATGGCAAATTAAAAATTCTTCCAAATCCACTATTTTGTATTTTAGATTTCCATCTACTACAAGTCTGAGTTTATGTCAATAAACCCGATTTCTTTGCCTCCTTCTTAATCTTACATAGCTTCAATCTCTATTAATTATGAACTCATATTGTTCATCAACCAAAAAGTACATCTGTGGAACTTTACATGTCACTAAATACTGATAAACTAATAAAATCTCAGTCCCAGACTACTTAAAATTATCAATCATGCATTCAAAAGTACTAAACACACAATATGACTTTTTCTCCAAGAACCCTTTAAAGGGCTGTTCCAACTAAAAAACAGTATTTTAATAAACCATGGCTATCTGGTTGGAGTTACCCTTACTGGCATGCTGGTCCCCCTACCTAAAAGAAAAAGCAAAAACGTATCTGAAATCACCTGTGATGCAAAGGATAAGTTTTCCCTGCAGCCTGATCATGTAATGACATTGCTGGTGGGGAAAGGATGATCCACAGGACAGGCTATGGGGGGGGGGGCTTTGATAACATGGAAGAAGGGGCTGTGCTTCCATTGGACATATATCAGCAGTATTCAATGTAAGCTGATGACAGATGCCAATTATGCACAGATTTAACATTAGACAACTTGAGACTCTTGTTCCAGGCTAGCTGATGATGGTGCCGGAGGTGGAGTTACAACTCTAGCAGCAAAGTGGTCTAACGTTATATGTGCAGCTTTTCAAACCAGAACACTGCACATACAGAATGCAAGCATCATGACCACTTCAAATGTTGAAATGGCTATGTTGCTTGGATTAACCCTTTACTTTTAACTATAAAGATTATGGCTGCCTATAGTTATATGAATGAGAGCTACATTTAAGCCCGAAACAAACAGATAAGCTTATATTGGTGTAATATTGCTTTCCACATGTTCATAGCAGCTAGTAGTGTAAAAAAGTAATTTTAATATCAGTCATCTGCTAGTACTACAAATAAGGCTAGGCAACTTCCTGTCGTCTAGCTTCTGTAGACTACATTTCCCATGATGCTCAGCTACCTTGCCTGGAGGTTAATACAGGGAGATTGGAGAGGTCACACTTCTTTGACAACACTTCCTTGTCTATACAATCCAAACTTTAGTCTCATGGATCCCTTGAGTTCCAAAGCGTGGCAATATAATGCTAGGAACACCCTCTTGACATGCAAGTCAATAAGACCTTACTACTGATGAGAACTGGCTCCTTGGCTGGAAATAAGCAGCATCTAAAAATAACTACTGCAGATAGAGTTGCTCATGTGAACTGCTCCAATGACACACTAAAACTATTAAGAATAGTTTGTCATTACAACACCATGCAATGAAATAAATTGCACATGAGAATTTACCCTCAGGCCCAACAGGTTTCCCACAAATGTTGGTCTCCAGCCAGAATCCCAGTCTTATAGCAGGCCTTTCCAGGTTCTCACACTTTTTTAGTGTGTGTTTGTATGAGTGTGTGTGTATATAATGCAGAGTGTGTGTTTGTATGAGTGTGTGTGTATATAATGTAGAGTGTGTGTTTGTATGAGTGTGTGTGTGTATATAATGCAGAGTGTGTGTGTATATAATGTAGAGTGTGTGTTTGTATGAGTGTGTGTGTGTATATAATGCAGAGTGTGTGTGTATATAATGCAGAGTGTGTGCATTATATACACACACACTGATACAAACACACACTGCATTATATACACACACTCATACAAACACACACAATATACACACACACACACTCATACAAACACACACTGCATTATATACACACACACTCTGTGTGTATATAATGCAGAGTGTGTGTGTGTGTTTGTGTAGTGTGTGTTATATATATATTTTAATTATTTAATATTTTTTTAGTCCCCCTTCCCTGCTTGTTACCTGGCCAGGGAGGGGGCTGTAACATTCCCTGGTGGTCCAGTGACATCGGCTGTGCAGGGGGGGGGGGGCGGAGCAAGCTGTTACTTACCTTTACAGCAGCTCTGGTCAGCTCCCTGCAGCTCCCCAATTCAGCTCACAGTGTAAGTCTTGCGGTCTGCGTGCCGCGCGGAGCGTTGCCATAATACAGACACTGACTCGAGTATAAGCCGAGGGGGGCTTTTTCAGTATACGGTATATGTGCTTGGCTAATTACATATACATGTTAATATGTGTGGGCAATTATATATGTTTATAAATACACATCTGTCCATGTCTCGCAGTGTGCATTTTTCAGAGATTGTATTGCTGTGACATGCAAATCAATTTATGACATTTGTTTCTGGATTTTTTTTGTTTTTTTGTTATTCTGTCTCTCACTGTTAAAATACATCTACCATTAAATTTATAGACTGGCCATTTCTTTGTCAGTGGACAAACATTCAAAATTAGTAGGGGATCAAATACTTTTTTCCCCTCACTGTATCTTTAAATAAAGATTAAGAAACTTTAAAATGTATTGTAAAATACTAAAACTGGCATGGATTTCAACATCAATATTTTTTTTCGAGGCCTACTAGCCCTGGATCATTGCTGTTTATTTTCTTTTTCAAAGGAGCGGTTTCTTCTACACTTTGTGAACACCATACTAGTGTTTCTTGATGGCATTCCTCAGTATATGGAGATACTCAGTGTAAATGTACGCATGACTTCACCTTTATATGGTTCTCCTCCTCCTCATAATACATTAAACACTGCTGCAGTGTACAGAATCAGCTTGGGTTAAAATTGGCATTTATATTGCACTAACTTATTCCGCAGTGCTTTACAGTGTTATAAAAAAGGGCAAATGTAACAATAAATGAGACCATTACAAAATGTTACAGGAACAACAGGTTCATGAGAACCCTGTTCAAACAAGCTTACAGCCTAGAGAAGGTTAACACTTAATATGCTAATGTAAATAAACAATATATTTTTATTTTTACTGAATTTTACTTACATTGCATAAATTCAATGAATAAATATAATTATGTTTTTAAAAGAATATATTGTACTGGAAATTCCAATTTTTGATTTGTCAGTATAGATTATTTACTTTATGAACATTTTGCATTTTATGACCTTTTCCTTTCTATTTGCATCTAAAACACACACTCCACACACACTATAACTACTACAGGTTATGAGAATGGCTATAGGCTTTTGTTTGTTGTTTTTATAACATTATATGTGCCCTAACACCACTCCCAGCGTCTGTCAGAAATTGTGGAAGCACTGTTTCCCAATTTTGTCATCTAATTGTTTGCATGGTGTGAGCTTGCATTATAATGGTCAGTCAAATAAGTCAGTCATTTGAACTTGCAGGAACTGCGTTGTGAGCACACATCACGTTCCTTCACTCACTATGCGAGAGTATTAGACAAATGTGTCACTCACTATGCAAGAGTGACATATTTGATGTCATAGGCTTAGTATTTACATTTGCTTCACTTTGAAATGTATTGGATTTTGCCCCAAGGGATGGCCACACATGCAAAATTAGTCCTGAATGCTTGAGAAGTAATGGACAAGACAATTCAGAAATATGATACAAATTCAAGACTTATTGTTAAACTTTGCTCTGTGTTTGTCTCGCATGGCAAATACATTTTTTTATTCAAGAATCAAATCAAGTCAAGTAATTTTATTAAGACACGGAGGCTCCTATTATGCTGCACTCTTTCTTTATTTCCCTCAGCAGCAAAGAAAAAACTTTATAAACATAACCAATAGTAACATTAACAGTCTCAGGTGTAATCTTCCTAGTAACAGGAACAGCCAATCAGGATCCACTTCTCCAGCATAATAGGCTCTGTCAACCAATCCTGTTCCTCTTTCTTTGCTGCTCCCTCAGTTAAGTATATCTGATCCCTCAGGCTCCTTAACTGTGGGATTAGTTTTATATTGAATTACTTTATATTGAATTACTTTCATATTATATTAATATTTCCTAGCATTCATTTCATAGTGTTGATTTTATAGCATTAATTTTATAGTATTAATTTTCTAGTGTTAATTTTTTATATGTGTTACTTTACTACCTTTTACTTGGTATAATTGATGTGCTACTGTAGAAAACGTTTCTAGGGACATCCTTCATAGTTGTCCCTTTATTATTTTATTCTGCTGAATTTCCCCTTTAAGTTTTTTCCCCGCTCCAGCCGATCGCCCCTCAGAGCCTAATTTGCAGGGGCTCGGGGACGTCGGCAGGAGCCGCACCCGGCGCTTTGCGCCCTCCTGCCGTGCCCGACCGCCGACTACAGAGCTCACTGAGCTCAGTTATCAGCTCCCTGCTCGCGGCGTACTTGTGCGCGCTGAGCGCTACACATTTTCGCCGCGAGCAGGGCTTACCGGACTCTCTGCCTCCTCTGCACTGCTCCGGCGGCCATTTTCTGTTTTTCCCGCGCGCGGCACGTAGCTCCACCCCCAACTCCCGGTCCTCGGAGTTGGGTTGCAGCTACAGTGGCGGTCGGACGGCTCCTTGCCCCCCTCCTCACCTGTCTCATTTAATTGTGCTTATTGTTTTGTGAGTACTTATTTTCTTTTAAAGGTATATTCCCCCTTTGTATCTTTGGGTTACTCAACCCATCTAGGTCAACTCAGTTCATTTATTTAAAGGGCCAGTGGTATACATAACATGCCTGGGGATAAAGATGTACCCTCTGGGTCTCTTATCAATAATTTGGGGTCTGTTAAAACTACCCCAGGGGTACCTGAAATTGGTGCAACTAACCCCGCTGATTTTGAATCTACTGCTGATATGCAGCTTATGTTTGACAACACCATGTCCCCTGTGGTGACTAAGGCCCTCACATCAGCAATGGGACTGATGTCTGAATCTCTGTCACAGACTATTACTCACGCTATACTTGGGGCACAAAAGTCGACCCAACCGGTCGCTTCCCAGGCTTTGCCTGCAGTAACCCCTTCCCAACCTCACGCAAGGCCACTGCAAAAACTAAACACTCTTCAATCTCACAGATGGACAGCTACACACCTGTCACAGATGGCGCGCCTAATATACCACCGCGCAAAAGAGCCACTAGCCGGGCAAAATCGGCTAGGTTATGGAAGCGGGCAAAAGCCCAACTAGAATCTGAGTCTGATCTCAGCGAGATTGAAGAGGTCACTGATATGGATTCGGAGGATCCATCAGATCCCCAATCAGAGGGTATGGTCGACGACCATGACCCGAGTACACAGATTGCACCTCCATCTGAGTCGTATGACATGGAGCTTAAAGTGCCAGACGATGCCACCAGATTAGTTGACCCCTACGGGGAACCTCTGTTCGACCCCGATGACCTATGTCATCCAAGGTCAGCGGACTGGTCACCTTCGGCCCATGTGGCCAAATACGTGGCATCGCGGACTCGCAAACCTTTAAATAAGGTGACACGAAGCAAATTGCGGGCAGAATGCCCACGCCCCACTGTCCCTGACGAGGCCTGCAGAACACCTGCAGTTGACCCAAAAATCATTCAATTCTTGGGCAAGACTGGCTGGAAGCCTAATAAGGGCCTTGATTTCTCCCTGCGCAACTGCCAGGACAAGATTTTAGACATATTGGGCCCGGCAACAAAAATTTTTGATATGGTCGAAAGTGACCAAGAATTAGATCGTTCCGCCATAAGTGGTTGGATACAAAGAGTGATTTGCCTGATCGGCAATGCCAACTGTGCGGTGGCCACAGAGCGTCGCAAAGCGATTTTATTAAAGATAGAACCAAAACTGGTGAACATGGCTATAACCGAACCGGGCGCCCAGGCCCATGGCCTCCTGTTCGGAGACAACTTTGTCAAGGAGCTTGGCTCCTTTGTTCACACTTTCACTGCCCTAGACAAAGCGCAGTCAAGCATGCGCAAGATTTTCCAGCCAAAGGTTTTTGGTGGGGCCGGAAGAGCCAGGAGCCGTCTGTCCGGCCGTGTCAATAGGGGCTCGTTCCGACAGAGCCGTGGCTCCTACACTGGACATGCCTCCTTCACGGAGCACCGCAACGCCCCGGTTTTCTTCCCACAACGTGGGCGACCATGGGTGGCTCGGGGACCACGTGGCTCCCGCCCAGGCAGACGACCTTATGGTAAGTACTCTCCTGTTTCCTTCTTCCCTATGGGCAGTGGGGGGCAGACTCCGACATTTTTCCCATGTATGGTCACACATCTCGTCAGATGCTTGGGTACTGAACACGGTCAGAGGGTACACCTTAGAGTTCATATCCCTCCCGATACAACTCGCCCCGCCACGGGGCATGCTATTTTCTCACCAAGACGCCTCCCTTGTAACCAAGGAGGTCGCAGAATTGGCACACAAACGGGCCATCTTAGAGATCCCCATGGCTACCCCAGGGTACGTAAGCAACCTATTCTTAGTTGCCAAAAAAGGCGGCGGCGTCCGCCCAGTTATCAACTTGAAACAGCTCAACACTTTTGTGGCCTACAACCACTTCAAAATGGAGGGCATACACTGCCTCCGAGATCTCCTCCAACCGTTGGACTGGATGGTCAAGTTAGACCTGCAGGACGCCTATCTTACGATACCAATCGCACGTCAGCACCAGGACTTCCTCCAATTCATATGGCAAGGAAGGAAATGGAGATTCACATGTCTCCCTTTCGGTCTGTCCTCAGCCCCATGGTGTTTCACCAAACTTATGAAGCCCGTGGTGGCTCTGCTTCGAAGTCGAGGGGTTCGTCTCATAATCTACCTGGACGACATCCTTATCATGGGTCGTTCCAACCACATTCTCGACACCCATCTGTCATGGACTCAGACTCTTTTGCAAAATTTGGGTTTCCTTATCAATTGGAAAAAATCCATCCTAACCCCTACACGACACATAGAGTTTTTGGGCCTCATCGTGGACTCCACTCTACAGACCCTACAACTGCCGGCAGCGAAACTGTCCACCATGAAGAAGGAAATCAGGCGTACTCTGACGACCCCCCTGATCTCCCTAAAACAATTGGCGAGAGTGGTCGGCCTCTTGGCGGCTTCCATACAGGCCATTTTCCCGGGCCCTTTACACTATCGAGCGCTACAGCGCCTACAAGCCTCCCATTTGAGAGACGGGACCGCATACACGGACATGATCGCTCTGGATACAGAAGCAAAGACAGAACTCAGATGGTGGCTATCCCATATGGACGCCTGGAATGGCCGAGCCATTTTCGGTACCGAACCGGATATGATCATAGAATCCGATGCGAGCTTGCACGGCTGGGGCGCACGCTGTGGCACTGTTTCTACCGGTGGCAGGTGGGCCGAAGTGGAGTCGACGCTTCACATCAATTGCCTAGAACTCCTGGCCGGTTCTTTTGCAATCCGCAGTTTTTCTCCAACTCAAGCCCGATGTGCCATCCTTTTGAGGATGGACAATGTATCGGCAGTCCGTTATATAAATCACTTGGGCGGCACGAAATCGAAGGTCCTGGCGAATTTGGCACGAGACTTTTGGCAATTTTGCCTGGCACACGGCATTTCGGTCACAGCAGAGTACATTCCGGGCCTCAACAATACCACGGCGGATTGGTACTCAAGGCACCTCAGGGATTCCAGCGACTGGCACCTGGAACCCAGGGTCTTCCAAGACATCCAGTCCCTATGGGGTCCTCTGGACAAGGACTTGTTCGCTTCCCGTTTGAACACCCAACTCCCCAGATTTTTCAGCTGGAGACCGGACCCGGCAGCGCTGGCAACAGATGCCTTTACTCAGGACTGGTCCTCCGAAAGGAACTACGCGTTTCCTCCCTTTGCGTTGATTCCCCGCTGCCTACTACAACTACGGCGACAGACGGGAACGGCAGTGCTCGTGGCGCCATTATGGCCGTCTCAACCATGGTTTCCTTCCCTGTTGGAGATGGCGATAGACGTACCCCGTACTCTCCCACACTTCGAGTACCTACTTCGAGACCCGGACGGGTCCCCCCACCCCCTGGTTCAGCAAGACTTATTACACCTCATGGTGTGGCTGATTTCCGGGAACCCTACTCAATCGAAGGAGTTTCGGAATCGACTCTCCAACTTCTCGAGAGCGCATGGGCACCCGGCACGAGACAAGCTTATAAATCTGCTTGGCGCAAATGGCACGATTGGTGCATGGAACGGAATTTGGATCCCATATCAGCTCCTCTGACTTCGATCCTGCAATTCTTAACCTCCTTGTTTGAAAGCAGCAAAGCATATCGCACGGTGAACCTCTACAGATCGGCCATTTCAAACTCACACCAAGGCATCGAGGGCGCACCGATAGGACGCCATCCACTGATATGCCGACTCTTGCGCGGCATCAGATTCACAAGACCTCCGCTACCACGCTATTCCGTACTGTGGGACGTCTCCATCATCCTCAACCTCCTCGAATCTTGGCCAGATAACGCAACACTATCTCTGAAACACCTGTCGGCGAAACTGGTTATACTACTATGTCTCATATCCTGCAAACGGGTATCAGACGTTAGAGCCTTAGACGTCACCGCACGGTCTTATACTCCGGAAGGGGTCGCTTTCGATATATCTCGGAGAACAAAAACCTCTACGAAGAAGGTGACATATCCAGCCTTTCCTGACAAACCTCGCTTGTGTCCGGTTCAATGTCTGCGAACCTATGAACTTCGCACCAAGGCGTTGCGGGACCCGTCTAGGCATGAACTCTTCATCTCCTTCCAGAGACCACACCTACCTGTGTCTACCACGACCCTGGCTCGCTGGGTCAAATGGATCATGGCTACGGCAGGCATAGACACTTCCATATTTTCGCCACATTCCATACGAGGAGCAATGGCTTCAAAAGCCTCTTCGATGGGTTGTCGCCTGGAAGACATTCTGAAAGCAGCCGACTGGTCTTCAGAATCTACCTTCCGGGACTTTTACTTCAAACCAATACACCACTTTGCAGGAACGGTAGTTTCTCAGCTTTAAACCAGCATAATAGGAGCCTCCGTGTCTTAATAAAATTCACAGATTTTACTATTACCATGACGTAAAGTCATGATTTTATTAATGACACGGAGGCGAGTATTATCCCTCCCTCCCACCCGGCGACGGGGGAAGGATAGACGGAAGTTGGGTAAGTTGACCTACGGTAAGTCATTTTACCATGTCTAGTTGTTACAGTTGTAATCGCCAGATGGTTACATTACAGTTGTACTTAGATCAAGGTAAGTCTTAGTTACGATCACTGCTTACCTATCTGGACACCCACATGTATAGGTTACACAACAATACTCACTTGGACACAACACTGACCAAACACTATCTTGAATACCTATGACTATGCATACACTAAGTTTTATGCAAAGATATTACCATATTTTTCCTCTCTTACAGCATAATCTGCCCATCTATTCCGGGAAAATCATGTTCTATGCAGTTCAACGTTTTATTGGATAATTTTACTTCTTCGGGATTGCAAATAAAGAGGAACAGGATTGGTTGACAGAGCCTATTATGCTGGAGAAGTGGATCCTGATTGGCTGTTCCTGTTACTAGGAAGATTACACCTGAGACTGTTAATGTTACTATTGGTTATGTTTATAAAGTTTTTTCTTTGCTGCTGAGGGAAATAAAGAAAGAGTGCAGCATAATACTCGCCTCCGTGTCATTAATAAAATCATGACTTTACGTCATGGTAATAGTAAAATCTGTGAATTTTATGGCAAGACAGTAGGCTTCATATTTGCTTTAACCTTCTTTACTGAACCTCCCAGCAGCAAAGAAATAGTTAAACATATAGAGAAAAAAAGCAATCAATCAGGACACATATTAGAACATAACAGTCTGTCAGGCTCCTCCCAAATCCTCTTTCTTTGCTGCTTGCCTCCCAGGTGAGTCTATTCCAATTATAGCTCTCTAATATATATTATTGACCTACCTTCTATTGTTTTTTTCCATATATTTTTTGACTCCTTTAATTAACTTTCCCTGTCTCTTTTATTTCCATTAGGTAATGGTGTGTTTATTTTATCTGTGCACTTTACCACATAAACCTTTTCACAGGTTAGCCCACTGTCCAGTCCCTTCCCTGTGCTTTTTATTTATGAATGACTGGGTTTTTTTGTAGTAAAACCTTAATAACCTTTTCCTTGGTGAAATTATCTTCAGACCGCGCCACTGCTGTGGCTGCGGTCCGTTTTAATCACGCCCGCGATCTATTTCTGTACCGCCCGTTTTTCGCGTCATTTGATTGACACGCAGTTTCCCGCCTTCCTTCTTCTATGCCCGCGGCCATCTTCTGTTTGGCGGGTTAGTTTCCGTTCGCGCGCTTTTTCGGTAAACAGCTCTCTGCTACTGGATTGCAGCTCTGTTAGACGGTAAGTTTAATTGCCCCCTGCTGGTACATTTTGTTATTACATCTGAATATTACACAGAACACTTGCTTATATTAGCCTATTTGTGTTTTTATTTGCAGATTGCCCTCAAACTATACCATACAGCTCTATCCCTATTAGAGGGTGACCCCCTCTTGCCTTTTTGATTTAAGGGTGATCCCCTTGTGCCTCTTTATTGAGGGTGACCCCCTCGTGCCTTATCTCTCAGGGTGAACCCCTTATATATTTTATTGATTTGCACAGGTTACCCCTGTCATTATTATATTGACAGTTTAACTGCCATAATTGTGGATGAACCCCACTTGGTCCCCTTAAAGGTGACTGCATATTATCTGGGTGAACCCCAATAAGACAGCCCCTGCTTTTACTTGTTTTGTGTAAAGTTTGTTAATATATATAATAAAAAAATAAATAAAAAAAAAAGAATTTATATAAAATATGTTTAATATACCTTTTGGTATACTGATTCTGTGGTGAACCCACTACTATTTTACTGGTCACCATATCGGACCAACCAGAACCTGCAATGTCAGCAGAATTAAAAGCCTGGCTTCAAGCTGCAATTGCAGACTCTATCCCCAAAGCCTTGGCAGCATTTCGTGACCAGACAGCCACTACTGCCACCATCACGCAATTGTCAGACTCGGATGATTCCAGGGTCTCTGACCATGACGAAGCCCCACGTAAACGCCCGTGGAAGGGTAACAGTGCTTCTGCTGGCAAAGGCAAAGCCCCAGCAAAGACAGCTAAATTGTCTCATGCCAAACCCACTTTGCCCTCAGAATCTGACCTCTTAAAGGATTCAACCTCTGGCTATCACCTACGAGTGATAGACAAATACAATGCGTATCCAGAGGAGGATCTCCCAGGTGACCCTTCCCCTTCTGAATTTGTTACAGAGACTTTCCTCCTACCCCAAACCCAGTCCTTTCAGGACACTGACCCTATGTCCACTACTAATTTAGACAATACTAAGGACGATATCCTACTGGATACCAATGGTTGTCCTCTATTTGACCCACGCTGCATCAGACACCCTCGTTCAGCGGAATGGACACCCCCTGATCACATTGCAAAATATTGCAGATTATGGCTTTGTAAACCCTTAGAAAAGGAGATTAGGGCCAAATTAAGAGCAGAATGTCCACGGCCTATGATCCCTGATAAGGTGGCTGTCACCCCTGAACTTGACCCACTCCTGGTCACTTTTCTAATTAAGACGGGTAAAGATCCCCGCAAGGGAATCAAAGTTGGCTTAAAAGCCACCCAGGACAAGCTGATGGATATAGCAGGCCCGCTTATCCAGATTTTTATAATTGCTGATGAGACGCTAGCAGGAGGCAATTTTGACGCACACATGGTGCGTGAATGGGCACAAAGAGTGTTATGCCTGTTAGGCAACGCCAATGTAGCTATTTCTGTTGAACGGCGTAAAGCCGTGTTATATAAAATTGATGCCAAATTGGCAGAACTAGGCACCAAAGAACTTGGTCCAGAGCCTAACGGACTATTATTCGGGGACAGGTTCATACGAGACCTGAATAAACACGTATCTGTGTTTACCTCCCTTAACAAGGCACAATGGAACCTTCGCAGGGTGTTCAGACCCCAGCGTTTTTCCGGGAGAGCTGGTCGCTATAAGGGCCGAACGACTGGCAGAGCTGCCTTCACAGGCTACAGGCCTCAACCAGCAGACTCATGGAATTCGGGCAATACCCGTTTCTACCACAAGCAGTTCTTTCCCTCTAGACGTTCCATCAGAGGACGTGGATATGCTTCCCTCCGGGGCCGCACTGCTTCAGGTAATCGACTTTCCTTATTCTCAAGTTCCTATTGCAGGTCGGCTAACCCTTTTTTTTCCCAACAGTGGTCTCTATTAACTCAGGATCCATGGATCCTTCAAACTGTATCTGGTTTCCATATAGATTTTGCAAACGACCCTCTACAAGAGTTCCCCCCTCCACCTCGGCACATCTCTCAAGAGGTCAATGCGACTTTGGAGGCCGCGCTAAACGACCTTGTCGCCAAGGGCGCTATAGAACGTTCTCGGTCCCCTCACAGATTCATAAGCAACATATTTCTGGTCCGAAAACAGTCAGGGGACTTTCGACCAGTTATCAACCTGAAAGACCTAAACACTTTTATTGGTTTACCAACATTTCAAAATGGAGGGTATCCACCTCCTTCGAGACCTACTCTGCGAGGGAGACTGGTTCTCCCGTTTAGACTTGACAGATGCTTACCTCACGGTTCCTATAACACCGGCCCATCGCTGTTTCAGACAGTTCAGTCAAGACTTATGGCAGTTCACATGCCTTCCCTTCGGACTCTGTTCCGCACCCTGGTGTTTCACCAAGCTGATGAAACCGGTCGTGGCCTTGCTACGCTCCCAAAGGATTCGCTCCATCATATATCTGGACGATATCCTCCTTATGGCTCGGGACCCAGGCACTCTACGCCTCCATACAGACATGACCACAGCTCTGTTACAAAACTTGGGGTTCGTGATCAATGTCCAAAAATCCATCCTCACCCCATCTCAGGTGGTTCAATTCCTGGGATTCCAAATAGATTCCGTTTTGGCTATCCTACAACTCCCTTCAGTAAAGATCAAGAACATCAAAAAAGACATTAGAAAAATTCTAGCCTCTTCGACTATCTGCCTTCGCGACTTAGCTCGCATAATCGGACTACTCTCCGCCTCAATTCAGGCGATCTTCCCAGCTCCTTTACATTACCGAGCAATGCAACGTCTGAAGACTCGCTCGTTACGTCACTCTGCATCTTACAATCAACAGATCTCCTTGACAGACGAAGTCCGACTCGAATTGAACTGGTGGCTACACCATATGGAAGCATAGAATGGGAGAGCGATCTTTGGATCACAGCCAGATTACATCCTAGAATCAGATGCCAGTCTTCTAGGCTGGGGTGCATCATGCGCAAATCTCTCTACCGGAGGTCCTTGGTCCCCATCAGAACGGGCATTGCACATCAATTGCCTCGAGTTGATTGCCGGGTCCTTTGCGATTCGTAGTTTCGCAAAGGACTCCTACAATTGTTCCCTAGTACTGAGAATGGACAACATCTCAGCTGTTCAATACGTGAATCGTTTAGGAGGATCCCGTTCCAAAATGCTCTCAGACCTCACAAAAGAACTATACCAATTTTGTCTGGACAGGAACATCTCCCTGCGAGCGGAGTCTCTACCGGGTTCCGACAACTTAGTCGCAGATTGGTTCTCTCGACACTGGAGAGACTCCAGCGACTGGCAATTGGACCCACACGTTTTTTACCGTCTCCATCTTCTTCGGGGTCCATTCAATATCGACCTATTTGCGTCTCGTCTGAACCGACAGACGGACACTTTTTTCAGTTGGTTGCCGGATCCGACCTCTCTGGCAGTAGACGCCTTCCTTCAATCTTGGCCAATGACCGGCGCTTATGCCTTCCCTCCGTTCTCCATGATCCTTCGCACTCTCCATCAACTCAGGACTCAGGGGGCCACAATAACACTGCTGACCCCTTTGTGGCGTACCCAGCCATGGTTCCCCAATCTCTTGGAGATGTCGGTGAATTATCCACTACTGCTACCTGCCACGCACGATCTTCTCAAAGATCCCGCAGGCAATTTTCACCCTCTTGCGTTGCAGGGTCATCTCCAGCTAGCGGCCTGGACTGTTTCAGGGGATCCTGGAATGCCGCAGGACCTTCGGAGACTGCTAGAGCACTCTTATGGGACTCATGGGCCCCCGGGACTAGACGCTCTTACCTCTCAGCCTGGCGAGTTTGGCATCGCTGGTGTTTGGAAAGGTGTATTGATCCCGTTTCAGCTTCTTTGATTAACGTCATGAACTTTCTGTCCTCTCTTTTTGATCAAGGTAAATCCTACAGATCCATTAATGTGTTTCGTTCAGCAATTTCGGCAGCTCATGGCCCCATTGATAATACAGCAATAGGTAAACACCCCTCCATCTGTAGAATGTTGTGTGGCATTCGTCTTGCTCGACCTCCTGTCCCAAAATATTCTCATTTTTGGGATGTTGCTCTTGTTTTGACCTTCCTAGAGACTTGGCCACCCAATGAAGCACTCTCTTTACGACAACTGTCGGCCAAATTAGCTTTTCTCCTCTGCTTGGTTTCTTTTAGGAGAGTCTCTGATTTTCAGGCATTTGACTTTCACGCTATTGAATTCACGCCCCAAGGTGTATGTTTCAACATTTCTCGCCGCACTAAAACTAATTCCTTAACGATTACTTACCCTTTGCGTTGCTCGTTGTGTCCAACACTACGTCGCCTCTACATCATCTCTACGTCCCCCTACGGGCCCCCTGTTTATCTCATATGTGCGACCACACAAGCCAGTGTCTTGTCTCACGATTGCCCGCTGGATTAAATGGCTTCTAGATTCAGCAGGCATAGATTCATCTTTAGGCGCTCATTCTGTCAGAGGCGCTGCTGCCTCTTCCGCCTTTATAGCTGGGCGATCCTTTGCAGACATCCTAAAACGCGCTGATTGGTCTAGAGAATCTACCTTCCGTACCTTCTATTTTCGACAATCGTCCCATGCTTCTTTTTCTTTGGTTTCCACGCTTTAAAACAGCAAATATGAAGCCTCCTGTCTTGCCATAAAATTCAGGATTATTCTAGTTTAAGTGACTGAATAATCTAAATTTTATTAAAGACAGGAGGCGAATATTTTCCCACCCTATTGATCTCCCACCCAGATTTTTTTCAGATCACATGTATTCTTAAATTTTTTTTCTAGGTTTCTTGTTAGACTTTATATTTATCTGACTGGTTTTCTTGTTTGCTCTGTTTAGGTGCTTATCAATCTGCCTGGTTCTGATTATTTTAAATTTTGCAATAGTTATACTCATAATATCCAGGGGGTAGATCTGTAAATGTAGATATCTTGCGGACACCCAGTCCAAGTGACCATACTTTCACGATCTTTCTCTGTCTTTTAGTGTGAAGTTTCTCTACATGAGCCACGAAGACTACGTTCCTTTGGTCTCTAGTATCGGCTGCGTTCTGGTTTACATGGTTGATGGATTACTCAAGTTTACACGGTGGACTACACTTATGATCGGCTGCATCAGAAAGAGGATTTGGGAGGAGCCTGACAGACTGTTATGTTCTAATATGTGTCCTGATTGGTTGATTTTTTTCTCTATATGTTTAACTATTTCTTTGCTGCTGGGAGGTTCAGTAAAGAAGGTTAAAGCAAATATTCGCCTCCTGTCTTTAATAAAATTTAGATTATTCAGTCACTTAAACTAGAATAATCCTGAATTGTGGCATGGACAAGAGACTTTGTTCTACCTTCAGGATTGATTCCATTTTTTAAAACCACTTAAAGCAGGCCTTAAAGACTCTGGTTAGCTCCTTGAGCAGGGTCCTCAACCCCTCTGTTCCTGTGCACCCATTTGTCTGGTTATAATTACGTGTCTGTTAGACCACCCATTGTACAGCGCTACGGAATTTGCTGGCGCTATACAAATAATAAAATAAATAATCTCAACCTACCACATAGTATCTGCTAATCAGTGTTTGAAATTGTGCAGGAACTGGGGTAACAGCACTCCCTTGATGGATCTGTGTGAAAAGAACACTGCTATAAGCGGTTTTAAGGTCCCTACAAAAGCTATGGTTACTTCATCTGCATAGAACAGGCATCTTAACCCCTTAAAACCGGAGGGCGTACTATTACGCCCTTTTCTAAGCGGCTCTAAACACTGCAGGGCGTAATAGTACGCCCTCCGGTTTTTATTACTTACCTGGTCGCCGGCGATCCCACGCTGGCGATCGCGGTTGGGGAGACTCACTTGGGATCCCAGGGAGTCCCCCGCGGTGGATCCTGCCTCCTCCGCCCCCCACCCCGGCCATGTGAGAGTGAGGTCCTTGCGAGGACCTCACAATCACATGGCCGGGTTAGCTGGCTGCTGCATTGCCAGCAGGGGGACTGCCTGTAATGAGTTAGTCCCCCTGCTGGCTGAATTCAAATAAAATAAAGTCCAAATCAGTGTAAAAAGAAATAATTATATACATACATACATTATATATATATATATATATATATATACACACACACACACACACACACACATACACTGTCTAGGTGTATTTTACTATTAATATATTTTCCCAGGTCCCAGCACTCAATGTTCCCGGTCTTTTCCATGCTCCGGTGCAAGTAATCTCTGACCAATATATAGCATCCAAGTAGAGAGCACTCTGGAGTCTTCGTTTAGAAGACTCCAGAGTGCTCTCTACTTACTTACTATTAATATATAATTTTATATTAATCAAATTACACATAGACTGATGCTGATTAAATATATATATATATATATATATATATATATATATATATAAAAAATATGTAAATATGTTAAAAAATAAAATTACAAAAATTAAAAATAAATAATTAAAAAATATATAGATGTGTGTTATTTCGTTCTAACTGTATTGTGATATTAATATATATATCAAAATACACGTAGAACGAAATAATATATATATGCGTATATATCACTATATAAATATATATATATATATATATATACACACACACACACACACACACACACACACACACCTATATATAAAAATTATTTGTAAAATTTTTTTATATATACATACATACATACATACATACATATATACACACACACACACACACACACATATATTAATTCTACATATATATTTATGTAATATTTTTACATATTTAGGTATTTTAATTAATTACAATTAGCGGGACCTGCCTGACAACCCATGCCAAAAGTATAAAACCTTTACATGGGGGTTACTGATTGACTCGGGAGACTTCGCTGAACACAAATATTAGTGTTTCAAAACAGTAAAATGTATTACAACAATGATATCGCCAGTAAAAGTGATGTTTTTTGCATACACGGACGATATTATTGCTGTGATACTTTTTACTGTTTTGAAACACAAATATTTGTGTTCAGCGAAGTCTCCCGAGTACAACAGTACCCCTCATGTACAGGTTTTATGGTGTTTTCAAAAGTTACAGCATCAAATATAAGGCTTGTGTTTCATTTTTTTCACATTAAAATTTGCCAGATTGGTTACGTTACCTTTGAGACCCTATGGTAGCCCAAAAATGAAAATTACCCCTATGATGGCATACCATTTGCAATAGTAGACAACCTAAGGTATTGCAAATGGGGTATATCCAGTCTTTTTTAGTAGCCATTGTGATCCTTGTTTGCAGGTAGCACGGTCCTCTAGGGCAAAAACATGCACAGTCCTTGTAGTTGCAAATACTTCAGGCACTTTATTTGTAAGTTCACACAGGATACAGCAGTTAAATGAAAACAAAAGTAACTGAAAACCCTATAAACAAAAACCTGGCTCGTCTGAGCACTAACTGACATTAGGTCCCCTATCTCTCAGGGTTAAACTAAACAAAACAATAGTGGTTTCACCAACCTAGAGTCTTTGTCCACTCTCAGCACTCCAGTATTTAGCCAGCCTGCTGCTTCCAGCCTTTCAGAGAGAAAAAGAACATTCTCCCTTACCTGCCTAGCAGGGAGGGATTTTATTCCCACTTGCTGCAGCTGATTACCTACAGCTGAGCAGTAGGTTGGAGACAGTCCAAAACCCTGGGCTGGATCTAAGTCTTCCAAGAAAACCGCTAAGCTGCGGAGTGGAGCACTGGCCCACCCTGCTCTCCAAATGCTCCACCCCAGGGGCCCATAACTAAACAATGCTTTGTGTAACACACACAAACTACACATACTCCCCCTGGGGTTAAAAATCATATGCCTCTCTGAACAATTCTGTCGAGATATAGACCCCCTCACAGACCACCCCATTCACCTTATCACATATCCCCCTCCCCAGCTCAGACCCATCGGGGCGAGCGGCCTGGGACCATAAACAGTGAACTCGGGAGAGGCCATCCGCATTACCTTGGGCAGTTCCGGCCCTGTGAGCAATAGTAAACTGGTAAGGCTGAAGACTTAGGAACCATCTAGTCACCCTGGCATTCTTTTCTTTGTTATGCCTCATCCATGTTAAAGGAGCATGGTCCGTGATCAGTGTAAAACATCTCCCCAGTAAGTAATATCTCAAGGATTCCAAAGCCCATTTTATCGCCAGGCATTCCTTTTCCACTACGGAGTACCTCTGTTCATGGGGATTCATTTTCCGGCTCAGATACATGACAGGATGTTCCTCTCCTTCATGTACCTGGGACAGAACCGCGCCAAGGCCCACATCAGACGCATCGGTCTGTACCACAAATGGTTTAGTGAAATCCGGAGCCACCAAAACAGGGTCAGCACACAAGGCTCCCTTCAAGACTTGAAAGGCATGCTCCGCTTCCGGGGTCCACTTAACCATAATCGGGCCTTTTGCCTTAGTAAGTTCAGTCAATGGGTTGGCAATGGTAGCGTACCCAGGGATGAACCTACGATAGTAGCCGGTTAAGCCTAAAAAAGCCCTGACTTGCTTTTTAGTTACAGGACGTGGCCAACTGGTGATGGCTGCTACTTTGCTCTCTTGTGGTTTAAGGAGCCCCCGCCCGATAGTGTACCCCAGATATTTTGCTTCTTCTAGCCCTAGAGAACACTTAGCAGGGTTAGCTGTCAAACCGGCAGCCCTTATACTATCCACAACTGCCTGAACCTTCATCAAGTGGGTTTCCCAGTCCGCACTGTGAATCACCACATCATCCAGGTAGGCGGCTGCATACTGTCTGTGGGGGTGAAGTATCTTATCCATCATACGCTGAAACGTTGCTGGGGCACCATGCAACCCAAATGGTAGCACTTTATATTGGAACAACCCATCAGGGGTAGAAAACGCGGTTTTCTCTTTTGCTTTCTCAGTCAGGGGTACCTGCCAGTATCCCTTGGTGAGGTCCAAGGTGCTCAGATATCTGGCCTTACCTAATCGCTCTATTAGCTCATCCACACGAGGCATCGGGTAGGCATCAAACTTAGAGATATCATTTAGCTTACGGAAATCATTACAGAAACGGATTTCCCCATTTGGTTTGGGCACTAACACAATTGGGTTGTTCCACTCACTTTGTGATACTTCAATCACCCCCAACTCAAGCATCTTTTTAACCTCTGCACTAACCGCTTCACGTCTAGCCTCAGGTATCCTGTAGGGCTTCAGATTGATCTTCTTCCCAGGTTCAGTTAGGATATCATGCTTGATTATATGTGTTTTTCCTGGTATTGGGGAAAACACATCCCTATTTTTAGACACAAACTCCCTGACTTCCTGTTTCTGATGGGGGGCAAGAGTATCAGCGACATGCACCTCTGGACCCTGCTCACGAGTGGCTTGAGTAGGTTTATCTCTGGTCACGATGAGAACCTCTCGTTCTACCCATGGCTTCAATAAATTTATATGATATGTCTGTTCTGGCTTCCGTCTGCCTGGCTGTCTTACTTTGTAGTTCACGTCACTGATCCGCTCAGTGATTTCATATGGCCCTTGCCAGCTGGCTAAGAATTTGCTTTCTACCGTGGGAACAAGAACTAGAACCCTATCACCTGGTTTGAAGACCCGTAGCCTTGCGTTCCGGTTATAGCTTGCTTGTTGGGCTCTCTGGGCCTTTTCCATGTTTTCCCTAACTATGGGAATTACCGCTTCGATCCGCTCTTGCATTTGCGCTACATGCTCTATAAGACTGTGATGGGGGTATGCTCTTGTTCCCATGTTTCCTTGGCAACATCCAGTATGCCTCTTGGATGCCTCGAAAGGTGAGAACCCTGTGGAAGCTTGCGGGACTTCTCTAATAGAAAACATCAGGTAGGGTATGAGATAATCCCAATTTTTTCCATCCTTGTCTATCACCTTCCGCAGCATAGCCTTTAGAGTTTTATTAAACCTCTCCACTAATCCATCAGTTTGCGGATGGTATACCGAGGTTTTCAACTGCTTGATTCTGAGCAATTTGCACAAATCACGCATGATTTTTGACATAAAAGGGGTTCCCTGATCTGTGAGAATTTCCTTAGGTATACCCATCCTGCTAAACATCATCAGTAACTCCCTTGCAACATTTTTAGAGGTGGCATTCCGTAGAGGTACTGCCTCTGGATACCGTGTTGCATAATCCACAACAACTAAAATGTACTGATGTCCTCTTGCGGACCTAGGCAACGGCCCTATCAGGTCCATTGCTATTCTTTCGAATGGAACCTCTATGATGGGAAGGGGTACCAATGGACTACGGAAGCCCTTATGCGGAGCTTTCAGTTGGCATTCTGGGCAGGATTTACAAAACCTCTCTATTGCCGAAAATACCCCTGGCCAATAGAATCGGGTCAGAATTCGTTCCCTCGTTTTTTCAAAACCAAGGTGCCCACCTAACACATGGCTATGGGCTAGTTTTAAAACAGTGTTTCGGTGAGATTGGGGAACTAACAACTGTTCTGCCTCCTCTTCCCCCTTTTTCTCTACTCGATACAGCAGATTATTTTTCACCATGAAATAAGGAAAGCTCAAGGGCTTGTCAGGGTCCGCCCTTGTACCCTCCACTATTTGCACATTCTCTCTTGCAGCTGTCAAGGACTTATCTTCCCATTGGGCTGCTCGGAAGTTACCAGGGGGGACTCTGAGATCCTGAAACTCCACTTCTTCTATAGGGTCTTCAGTATGGGGAGGTTCTACCTCATTACCCAGGCACACCAAGGGTGTCTCTTGCTCGTCACATTCTAAATCGGAGAAAGGAAAAATATTTTCTATACACTCTACCCCGGGTAGCTCCTCAGAGCGCATTTTTGGATGAGCAGAGCACTTTTCCCATAGGCGGCAGAAATGGGGAAAGTCCCTCCCTAATACCACATCATACGGTAATAGGGGCACTACCCCTACAGAGCATTTAACCTCCCCTACCTTGGTGCCAAACTCAACCTCTGCCGTGGGGTATGTGTGGGTGTCACCATGTATACACACAATATCAATCACTTGTTTGGTGTCTAATTTCCCTGGCTGGAGCAGAAAACTTTTTATCAAGGTAACCTCACTCCCTGAATCAATTAGAGCTTGTACATTCTTTCCTTCCACCCTCACCATTATTAAATGTGTTGCATTAATAGCACTAGTCACCACACACATCTTTGAGCAAGTCAATACAGTCCTATGCAGAGCCCTTGTCCCTACATCACACTGCATGGGCTCTTCATTCTCTGGACAGCTGCGTGCAAAGTGTCCAAGCTCATGGCATTTAAAGCACCGGAGTTGTCCCTCAGCGTGGTCTTGTAGCCGTAATGGAGCTGGTGGGGACCTTCTGCCACCCCGGTCACATGGTTCAAGGTTCGGTATAAAGTTTTGTCTTTTGTTTCCCACTTTCCCGCTTATCCGGTTGTTAGCGGTCGGGACTTCTGATGAGGATCAATACTGTATGGCTCCTTGGCAACCAAATACCTCTCAATCAGGCACATCATTGCTTCTGGATCCTGAGGGTCCCCTTGGCAGACCCATTGTCGCAGTCCTGTTGGCAGGTGTCTGAGAAAACGGTCCATCACAACCATTTCCACTATCTTGGTAGCAGGGTTGCGCTCTGGCTCCAGCCACTTCTGAGCGAGCCTGAGCAATCCATACATCTGGGCTCTGGTAGGTTTACTCACATCGTATGCCCAATTATGAAATCTGTGGGCTCGAATGGCTGGTGTTACGCCAATGCGCTTTAGAATTTCAGCTTTAAGTTGCTTGTAATCCTGGATCTGGTCAGAAGGTAGGTCTTCATAGGCTTTTTGGCACTCCCCACTCAGGCATGGAGCTAGAAGCCCCGCCCATTGGCCCAGTGGCCATCTTTCCCGGGCAGCAACCCTCTCGAAAGTGGTGAGATAAGCCTCCACATCATCTGTCTCTGTCATCTTATGCAGGAAGTCTGTGGCACGGATACGGGATCCCCTTTCACCAGGGGGGCTCCCTGCAGATGGCAATATCACTCTCTGCAACACCTCAGTAAGGGCAGCTCTATCCATCTGCTGGGCTTCCTTCAGGTTCTCAACCTGGTTAACCAGTAGACGATTTGTTTCCTGTTGTACAGCGGTTGCCTGTACCAGAGCTTTCACCAGCTCCTCCATTATAGCACCAAGCAGGTAACAGTCTTAAAGGTACGGTGCTACTTGTTTGCTTATCAGGTCTGCAAAAATAAAAGTCCTCAAGCAGACTACCAAATGACTGGCACACCCACAGACCCTCACTGTGCTACTATGCCCGCATTCTCCACCATATTGTGATCCTTGTTTGCAGGTAGCACGGTCCTCTAGGGCAAAAACATGCACAGTCCTTGTAGTTGCAAATACTTCAGGCACTTTATTTGTAAGTTCACACAGGATACAGCAGTTAAATGAAAACAAAAGTAACTGAAAACCCTATAAACAAAAACCTGGCTCGTCTGAGCACTAACTGACATTAGGTCCCCTATCTCTCAGGGTTAAACTAAACAAAACAATAGTGGTTTCACCAACCTAGAGTCTTTGTCCACTCTCAGCACTCCAGTATTTAGCCAGCCTGCTGCTTCCAGCCTTTCAGAGAGAAAAAGAACATTCTCCCTTACCTGCCTAGCAGGGAGGGATTTTATTCCCACTTGCTGCAGCTGATTACCTACAGCTGAGCAGTAGGTTGGAGACAGTCCAAAACCCTGGGCTGGATCTAAGTCTTCCAAGAAAACCGCTAAGCTGCGGAGTGGAGCACTGGCCCACCCTGCTCTCTAAATGCTCCACCCCAGGGGCCCATAACTAAACAATGCTTTGTGTAACACACACAAACTACACATACTCCCCCTGGGGTTAAAAATCATATGCCTCTCTGAACAATTCTGTCGAGATATAGACCCCCTCACAGACCACCCCATTCACCTTATCACACCACTTAGTCACAAACACTGGCCAAAATTGGCGTTTTTTGCATTTTTCACACACAAATATTAACTTTGGCCAGTGTTTGTGACCAAATAGCTACTAAAAAAGACTGGACATACCCCATTTGCAATACCTTGGGTTGTCTACTATTGCAAATGGTATGCCATTATGGTCCCAAAGGCAACGTAACCAATCTGGCGAATTTCAATTTCAAATGTAACGTGCTATATTTGACCCTGTAACTTCCCAAAACGCCATAAAACCTGTACATAGGGGCTACTGTTTTACATGTGAGACTTTGCTGAATACAAATATGTGTATTTTATTGCAGTAAAAGCAAACAGGATTATGACATTGACAGTTAAAATGTCATGTAGAACTAAAAAAAAAAAATAACAAAATTTCTTATTTTCTCCCATTTTTTTTCATATTAAATTATGTTTCATAGCTAAATATTTGATATTAAATGAAAGCCATTTTTCCCCTGGGGTGGGTGCATTTAATATTAAAGAGGTGAATTACGGTTGGACAGACATGTAGCGCAAATGCCAGGTTTTGTTTACGTTTTGTTTTGTTCACAACATGTACATTTGGCTCAGTCCTTAAAGGAACACTATAGTCACCTAAATTACTTTAGCTAAATAAAGCAGTTTTAGTGTATAGATCATTCCCCTGCAATTTCACTGCTCAATTCACTGTCATTTAGGAGTTAAATCACTTTGTTTCTGTTTATGCAGCCCTAGCCACACCTCCCCTGGCTAAGATTGACAGAGCCTGCATGAAAAAAAAACTGGTTTCACTTTCAAACAGATGTAATTTACCTTAAATAATTGTATCTCAATCTCTAAATTGAACTTTAATCACATACAGTAGGCTCTATCAGGGTATAGCAAGCTATTAACATATCAGGGGATAAGAAAATCTTAATTAAACAGAACTTGCAATAAAGAAAGCCTAAATAGGGCTCTCTTTACAGGAAGTGTTTATGGAAGGCTGTGCAAGTCACATGCTGGGAGGTGTGACTAGGGCTCACAAACAAAGGGATTTAACTCCTAAATGGCAGAGGATTGAGCAGTGAGGCTGCAGGGGCATGCTCTATATACCAAAACTGCTTCATTAAGCTAAAGTTGTTCAGGTGACTATAGTGTCCCTTTAAGGGGTTAAACTACCCACCCATGAGCCATTTGCAGAAATCTTTTTCTTGTGGTCATAGGAGGGAAGCTGATAGCACCTCAATTACTAGACTGTCTTTTTAGAGATCTGGCAACTGTACAGTCTGGTACTTGAGCTGCTGGCTGCTTTCCCACTAATGGTACGTGACCAAACAGTATCCGAGGAAGAAAGCTATTTATCCTGACAGGACTCTGTGGTATGTGGGTGTTTGGGTATGTGTGAGTGTGTGGGACTGTTTATATGTGTGCTTAGGGTATATCTGTCAACACGGATCTGTGAGTGTATGTCGGGGAGTACAAATCTGTATGCATGGGCATCGGGGAGAAGGGATCAGTGGATGTATTTGTAAATGTTTGTGTATGTGCCTACATGTGTGTATCTGTGAGTGGGTATGGGGTAATTATCTGTGTGTTTGACAGTATCTATCAATGCAGATCAGTGAGTGCATGTCTAGGAGTACAAATCTCTGTCTGTGGGTGTCGGGCAAGCAAGGAGTGCTATGTGACAAACCGGGTGAATGCTTATTTGGCAGTGATGGCCATGGGACGGATCCGACAGGGGAGATCAAAAAACCCTGGTCTAGCCACAGCAGGGTCGGTGCTGCTTGAGCAACAGCTCAAAGATCTCCCTCACAGACCATAATGCCTTCAGGAGAGGGAAGGAAAAGATTGAACCATGTAGACAAAGTTAACCGCTCTTGATTCCATATCAAACCGTTATTTCATGTTACCAAGGCAATGCTTTTAATTCATCCTGCAAGCAGGAAGAAGCTGTCTTTAAATTAAAATGAATTTTAATACTTGTCCCTCAGCTACTGTCTCCCCGGCACTACAGTCCTTATCTCCCCAAACATCACAGTCTATATACCCGCTATACATATACCACAGTTACTAACTCCTCATACATAAACTACAGCCCCCATCCCTCACACACTACAGCCCCTATAACCACACAACATTGCAAACAGCCCCATTCACAGACACACAACTCCACAAAAAGCCTACCGTCTTCCGCAACTCCTCAAGCAGCATCCCGCCAACATACAACCACAAAAGCAGAATCCCCCACACACACAACCTCACAAGCAGCCTCCTCACACACACAAAACAGCAAAGGTAGTCTACCCCTCACATGCAAGCCCATAAGCAGCCTTCCACACGCAAGCAGGCTCTCCACACCACAGATAGTCTACCTCACATACAAGCAGCCTACCTTACACATGCAATGTCAAATTTAACTTTCAAATGCATACAAAACCACAGGCAACACCCATTCAACACCCTCTCCCAACCCTGTTACTTTTTCTCCTCTAATATTCATCTTGAGATAAGTTGCCTGCAGAACAAGTGTGTCTTTAAATTTGCTTGCACTGTGCATAACAAACACAGGTCAAGAGCTCTTCAGCAGAGCTCTGTGTGTGGGCTGCCCTGCAGAGGCATCAAACCGACATACCCACTTGGTAATTGGTGATCAAACAACATGCCCCTTCTCTGGCCCTGCCCTCCTCATATTGGTCTGCTCTGTATTTAAATACCCAGGATGAATTTTTGTCCTAGTCCGGCCTTAGTGTCAGGGAGTAGGGATCTGCAGCCCCCAGGTGAGAAGACATTTTGGCAAGTGGTTCCAAGGTAAACTGAGCTTGAAACCAGTGGTCTAGAACATCCAGAACTTTCAAAAGGGATGATAGTATATATGCAGGTAGAACTAAGAGCAATAGCAGATGCATGGAAAACAACAAAGAAAACCAAAGAAACTGTCCTAATGACCTAATAAAACATGTACAGCCCCGTATATAAAAGTTGGCATCCATGTTTATTAGATGCTATTTTATGCATATGTTGCATCTAGAAAACCAGCAAGCATTTGGCCCTTACATTATGAATGAATTCTCATTTTTCACATTTATCAATATCAGAAAAATCTGGCAATTGTTTGAGATACCCAATGTGCAAAATCTGGGACAAATAAATATTTGATAAAATTATTAACCATCATGTCTACCTTGAGGCTTCTGTTTCCCTAGTTGATTGAAGGCTTGGCACCTGTGGTTTAACTGATTCTTTAACAATGAAGCTGATAATTTAAATACATCTTACTATACATCTGTATGTTCATGGAAATTGAAAAATGCATCCCCCCCATAGTAATTCAGTGAACTTGGGGGTCATTAGGAAGGCTAGAAGTAAAAAATCTGGAGGTGAATTCAGCCACTCTATAAGAAATGCTGCATAATCCTGAAAACGCCAGGCAGGGAAGTATGTATATATTTGCAGTGTTATTTACTAAAGTGAGAATTGAACATGAATTGCAAATTTAAGGCCAAAATAGCAGAACTTTCTACCAGAAGCTTCCAAATAGGGATGCGATACACCGCGACCTCACATGGTTTAAAGATCTCTGCAATGGCAAAACCAATCTGGATAGAGCAGTGTCTCACTTATAACAACATCTCCTCGTGGGACATATAGAGAGTAAAAACACTTTTAGCAGACGATGGGAACGGGTCCTAGACAAGTCCTTCACCGACGCTCAGTGAGAGAAGAAACTAATACTTCACCACAAGTGCTCCCCTAGCACCAAAAATCAGGAATCAAACAATAAGTTCCTAGCGTTTTGGTACAGAACACCCGACAGTTTACATAGAATTTTCCCGACCGTACCCAATGTCTGCTGGAGATGCGGAGTGGAACCGGGAACGGTAACAAATATATGGTGGGAATGCCAACACATAGAGACATTCTGGGAGGAAGTAAAGCTGAAGGTGGAAAAGATTCCTGGCAATATGGGACATCTAGATATGGAGACAGTCCTACCACACTCCACGTCGACAACTGTCGTAGCATACAAAATAATTGATCCTTTGACAGCTACTAAACACAGCCAAATCCTTGATTCCATTACACTGGAAGCAAAATACGACCCCTACGATAGGACAATGGATGGACAGGGTAGAAGAAATATACATGGCGAAGTCTCTCCATGCCTCCCTGAACTGAACTGACGAGAAACATGTGGAGCGCTGGCGGCTGTGGCTGGTTTATGTTGCCGTGGGGGATGCGGGGGTGGTGGGGGCAGCACAGTCTTAGAGTGTCGTAATGGACTGCTCCCGTTCCCCTCTGATTCACTTCCATAGCAGAAGCTCTCCATGCACCCTAATTCCCACATCGCTTATTCCATATTACAAGATACATTATGAAATTATTTTGTGAGGGGGGAGATTTTATACCAAGAGAGGAATTCTTAGACCCTGGAGGGGGACCTCCACTCCACACATTAACACCCTATGCAACCAGGCCTGCTCTTACCTTTTTTTGTCCTCCTACTCCCCTCTGTTACCTTTTCCTCACCTCCTTCACCTTCTTTTATCTTTCCCTCTTCTATTTTATACAATCGTTGCTAAGCAGGAAGAGGGTTTGGGGATTTTTTACTCGTTGACACGTGGCTGTCAGATACTCCCATACACCAAACGATACATATTGTTCGCATTATATAATATATACCTCTGAGTCATTCCCCTCAAGTTATTGTTGGCTCACATGCGTACAACCTATCCACTAACTCGTAAAATGGGTAACTTCTAGTTCTTTCTTGATTATAAGTTTCACACTTCCTATGGCTAAACCATGATGTACAAACAACATGCTGGAAATCTATTTGTAAGAATTTTATCGATCACTCTATGCTCTTGTGGGGGTTTTCCCTGGTGTCGCCCTCTGTACATAGGCATCCCAGATTGGTGCTTTGTGATTTGGAAGGCATTCTGGACAATTCACATTACCAGTGATGCACATGGTGTCACAGGCACACCTCAACCTGGCCCTGACTTCTCATACTGATCCCATATCTTCTAATAGCTCCTATCTTGAAACCTAAGTATTTAGATCATGCTCCACTACAAGTCTAGGGCAAATAATATATTTATATACCTTTTTCTGGGTTTCTGTTTCCGATCTTGTCTGTCTTTTGATATTTCAGACTGATTTCCTGTTGTGATCAGTAACTGGACTATGAACATGCATGTAAATCAGTATCCTCAGCATCAATTTCTTTTACAAAATATGTTAACTCAAAGTAGGGTCCCAACTCATTGTGAAGGATGGCTATCCTGTTCCATGCATCTATATCCCCTAGCCTAGAGATTTGGAGCAATGTAGTCATTTTTCAAAACAGTAGGTAGGATGTGTCAGGGTGAGCATTTAGTAAACAAATCCCCAAGGCAAATATGAGGTATACGAGGACATGTGGCTCCTTCCTGTGTGCATACTTAATTAGCGGGGGTACTGAGGTGGGATTCTACACTTCTCAATTAGAGTAGTCCCTAGAATTCCCACTCCTTATCGCAGCCCTCACTCCCTGTACATTTAATAAAGGAAGAGGTGGTAAATGATCACTGCTCTCATATGACATTTAGTTTTCACAAGGATTTTATCCTGGTTGTAGCGAGATACTTCTGTCCCATTTTGCTGCCATTCCAGTATCTTTAAATAAGACTCCTGATTGTTTAGTTTTTTTGTGTGCTTATTTTCAGGTTGGTTAAAACAATGAGCTATTTAATGTGCTATTAAAAATAATAATTATATTAAAGTTAATTAAACTGTGATTTTAGCTCTAAAATCATTATTTTGTGAACAAACCCTTATTGGGGCAGAACAATGAATCTTGCTATTTTTTTATGTGATCCTCCCTTAATAGTTGTGGTTTTATTTGCAGTTCTGATGTTTCAACTTGCGAAACTAACAGTATGTTGGAGGTTGGGGGTTGTGTACAAACTGTCTGCTCTCATGTTTTAGGTACAAAGAGCTGTTTTTGACCTCAGATAATGGGAGCAGCCCCTTTGCTGCCATGTACAGGGTCACTGCACCAAACAATGTGAACACTGTATGTTTCCGCTCTTGGAATGTAAAAATGCCCCAGGTGTCTAATAAGATGAACATTAAGCTTACTAGCCTAAGGTCGCAAAACTACAGCAAGTTAATTCTTAACTAGGCACAAATAAAATTCATTGAGATTGTTTGGGTTACTTTCTGTGAGGATTATATTGTAATGTAATTTAGGGTTATTTTTGTGCAAATTCCATAGAGTTTAGATTGTATTAGTTTGGATCACCTGCCCCAAAATATAAGCATATAATCTACAAATTATTTTTAGGGAAAATTGATCGAAATTCACACTAACGTGTGAACAAAGGCGAAGAAGGCCCTGCTTGTTACTCTTTGAACAAATCTTTATCCTCTAATAAATATGAAGCATTACACCACCAGAGCAGAGCTGCTAGGGGATTAGATAGAAATTAGCACACCAACTGGCACAAGTAATAACTATAATTGGCAAGCCATTGTTTGGGTACTGGGTGACCTTTTAACTACTTTTGCTCTTCTCTAAATAATCTCACGTCTTGAACAAATTCTGGATATTGGCAAGCACAGCAGGTCATACCATACAACCAGAATTCATTGTTTTGCCAAAATGATAACAGATTGATGATAACCATAATGTTTTATACCCATTTAGCCTATTTCCATGTCAATTGCAATTTTATCAGACACTTATTTCATACCCAGATACAATCAACATTAAGACTAATGGCTATCTATCCAGCTGTAGTAACAACCCATAACTAATAGCTATCTGGCCATCTGTGATAATAAACCATAACATTTTCAGGTTAGGATACATTCAGGGTTATTGATTAAAGTAGAAATTCAAAGAGAGTTTGAAATTGAAGGCCCAAGCAGCTGAACAGAAAGCATGGCTGACTTAGACAATATCTCCAGTTTGGCTATTTAGCATCAGTAAAACGAATAAAAGAGGTTTTGGGTAGGGGGTTCTATTTTGAGAACATAGTCTAGTCTAACAGTGTCTATCTAACACTGACTAGCGGCTGCTTCACAGCTGGCAGTGAGAAATGAAATAGTTAAATGGGAACAATCCCTTGCAGTGTGGGCAGAGCTTCAAGTGTAGGGTGAACCTCACACTATTAACTCTTTGCTTACAGAGGATAATTGCAATGACGGTAACTATATTCTTACTTGAACGTGCATAGAGGTAGACGATAACGCTGAATGACCTTCCTTGTCCCAAAAGCTTACAATCTAAGAAAAGGTGACCTTAACTAATAACACGAGTATCTATTTGGAACAAACATTATGCACTTTTGGGTTACAACAAAAGCAGATAAGTACTTTTATATTCTAGATATAAGTGCAGAAAAAAATTAGCATCCTTGTCCCAAAAGCTTACAATCTAAGCAAAATAGAGGTTTAACTAATAATATCAGCAGCTGTTTGGAATATACATTATGTACTACGTTTATAACAATAGGAGATATGTGCATTCATTGGAAAATAAAAACTGAAGTGCATTATAACATTGAATTGGCCTATATTGTCCCAAAAACGTGCATTCCTAGCAAAGTAACTTGTGTACTTAGGGGTTAGCTAGCTACCAAAAGTATATATATATATATAAGTGCATTTTAGTATAATTATAAAAGGTGATATTGTGGGATTACTGACCTGGAACATGGGTGGCAACATCACGGAGAACAAAGCAAAAAAGAGCCAGCAGATTGATCCACATCCTGGCAGCTCAGACTGATCAGATTGGAATTGGATGGCTAGCGAGTCATTCTGTAGAACTGGTCCTCAGCCTACTGTGCTTAGTAGTATTCAGTGTGGTGTGCTATTGTGCATGTGGAATGTTTGATGAGGAATGTTTGCTGACCTCTGTGAACTAGTGTTGATACATGTGTGCTTTGTTAGTAGTGTGCAGTGCTGTGTATATACTGGTGTGCGTGTGATGGGTAGCATGGGAGGGATTTGCCTGTAGTGTGTCCCTGCTTACACATTCCCCTTTTGTCACAGCCGGTGTTCCAGTCCTGCTCCCTGGTGACAAATTATATCCCTCAATCGTGGGATCCTCCAACTCTTTGTCTCTTGTCATCTGTTTCTTGTCTACTACTTCAAACTTCACAGATCCTCCTCTAGTACAGCCCTCTAGCTTGTCGCCCAGCCCACACCGTATCTACTACATTAATTTCATCTCAAGTTATAAATACAATTCACTCCCCCACCTCTATAAGTCTCATACTAACTTTAATTCTCATATTAAATTTAGTTATCTTTCTTTTTCCTCTGCAAATACCCCAACCACCTCACACTTTATTGCTACCCGAGAATTTTGCTGTTCTGTCCTCGATTCACATAGGGATAAGTGCCCTCTCACCAAATGTAGTGTTGATGGCTGAAATTAGAGTTTTGTCCTGAAGTTGTGGCGGCACCTAGTGATGCTTCTGGGAAAAACAGTGCAAAGCATTTTGCAGGCAGATCTTTCAAAATCTGTGCTATTAGCCTGCTTGGTCAATTTCCACTAGCCATGAGGGCCAATGACCCAAAGCCCACAACCATCATGCTGTGGGTAGGGGCATGTCTCCTAAATAGTTAACAGTCAGCATTAATATTCCAGCCTGAGAAGTGGATTGTTCTAATCTAATAATGAGAATAAATGGATAAATGTTTCTGCTAAAGTGCAGATTTCTCATTTAAATGTGCATGTTTTAAAACTGAAATTAAAGTAGTGTACTCTTTACCCGTAAAGCACTTCAGCAAGCTGAACTGCCTTATGGCTGTGGAATGGCCCTTTAACACTGGCAACTCATGGCAGCATGGCAATTGCTAAGGAATTATTTTATCCTACCATAGTTAGCTGGGGCTCAGGTAAATAGCCAGAATTTTCTTAATTTGGTTCTAGATTTAAAAAAATCTGGATTTCTCTAATTTGATTATGAATCTTAGTGGTTCAGTTGCATCTGGACAGGCTGAATTCAGACTACATTCAATCTAAATTAGTGGCTGTATTGCGAAATATGGACATACAGATATTTTGCAGTTCAAACATTCCAGGATTGCTTTTGATAATCCAGAATATGATATTTATGTTTCAAGGAATAACCCTGTAATGAGATTATTCACTACAGTTCAAATGTGCACACGATTAGGAAATCTCTGTTAAAATGACTGAACTTTTAAACAAATTTATTATGGGCAAAAATTTTAATTGAGTTAAAGCAGTGTGTGAATAATATATATATAGTATTTAATCATTATTTTGTATCTTATATTGCTCTGTAATAATTTAATTGGATGGAATACTATTAAAAATATATATTTGCGCTTATTTACATAGTACTTAAATTTTGGCATAAAACTGAAAAAATGTGGTTCTTCAGAGCATTTCAGAATAAAAAATTGAAGAAAATAAGAAAACTATGCAATTTCTCCAAATTTCACATGGTTACCTCAAAATTTTCACCAGATTGAAGTCTCAGTATGCAATTAATTTAGAAATTATTCTAACTTTTGGCCTTATATTTTTCAATCCACTGTTTAGTGAATTAAGCCCTATTTCAAATGCAAAACAATCTATATTTGTAGGAATCAATATAGACAGGGATGTGGAAGTTATAATGTCCGATGGCTGGGACATGTAGTTCCAGGCACCAGGCATGCAATTTTTGTTGGCCTTTAGCCCTACTGTGGGAGAGGGGGCTGGGGACAATAGGTCACCGTCCTTTAGTATTATTATTCGGGCCACCACTGGTGAGTGCAAAGAGGGTGACACTGGGTTCCTTTTAGTAAAAAGATAAATTGTGTACATGGGGTGTGCTTGGTGTTAGTGGAGGCAGTGCTAAGACGAGGCTCATCACTCCAGGGGGCCTGGCTGCCCTGTCAACCCTTGCTGATGCACTGGCCCACCGAGATCCTGGGAAAGTTCCCGATTGCACTGCACTCTCCTCCTGCCCAGCCCCATCTTTACCGCAGTGCAAGTGCCCTCTGCCAGTCGGCAGGGGAGGAAGAGAGGTCCTGGGGCAGCCCTGGAGCTACGGGCTAGAGTTCACTCTCACCACTTCCTGGTGGTTCCAGTAGTAGGAGTGAACTCTAGCCCCATACACACACTGCCCCACACACACACACGCCATACACATTTACACACTGCCCACCCACACACTGAACCTTTCACACACATTGCACCACTGCTCCTATACCCTACTACAGCCCCATATCCCAGCAGACTCCAGGTAAGTTGTCAAACTGTTCTTAAACAGTTTGACGACTTACTCTGGGAGGGGGTGCCGACGCTCCTGGCACCATAACCACTACACAGAGGAGTAGTGGTTAATGTGCATGGAATATTTCTTTAAATAATCTACAAGTGCCCCTCTCAGGCTCAGGCTCAGGCTCTGGATCCGCCATTAGTATATGACATGTATATTAATGTGTGTATTAGTTTTTTTTATATATATATATATATATATATATATAGGGGATGTGTAGGGGATGTGTTATGTGTTATTGTAGAGGATCTAATATGTGTGCTTATGGTATGTAATGTATAGGGTTACCAGTTTGTGCAGGTGATGTAGTGTGTTTGTGTGTAGTGGAAGCAGTGTGTATTTGTGTATAAGGGATGTATTATGTGTTTCTGGTTGTGTGTAAGGGATGCATTGTGTGAATCTGTGTTTGTATGCATAAGGGATGCAAGGTGTGTGTCTGTATGTGTGTGCATTGAGTGTAAGAGATGCATTGTGTTTCTGTGTGTATGTAAGAAAAGAAGTGTGTGTGTTTGCATGTGTGTGTACGGGTTTGCATTGTCTGTTTCTGTGTATGTGTGCAAAGGATGCATTGTCTTTGTGTGTAAGGGTTGCATTGTGTGTGTGTTTGTAATGGATGCATTGTGTGTTTCTCTGTGTGTAAGGGAAGCATGTTGTGTTTCTGTGTATGTATAGGGATGCATTGTGTGTGTGTGTGTGTGTGTGTGTGTGTGTGCG